TGCTGTTAATCTCTAGCTGTGTGTGGTGTTTATAAAGGCGCCTGTTATTTTTGTTTTTAAGTTGTCTGCCTTGGTCTCTCTATTGCCTCTACCACACTGCGCTACACTCGGGACAATTCCGGCGTCCGTTAGCAGCTCCCTTCTCTCATTTTTAACTTCTCTCATTTTGTCACCGGTCTAAACGAGCATCGAGGCAGCGCACATCTCTGCTGTCAGCCCCAAGCAAAGACAGACATTTCTTATTCCTCTGGCCGAGGCCAGTCACATCATAGTACAGCCACTGTTGACTTCCACAGAATGGTACTCGTTTATTTTTTAACTATGGCGGGATGATGGGCTGACTCTACCCCCGACTGGGATTTTAACTTTTGCCTTCCGCTTGCTGGTCGAGCGCTCTGACCCACACACACACACCGTGCCAGACGCCGAGCCTGGATTTATGATATGCAATTACAAATTAAATAAGCAATGCCCCCTTTAACATATATGTCTCTTCAGATAACATAAGTATTCTTTACACAACCCAATTGCCCTACGGCCTTCTGAGTTAATAGAGTAAGTGCAACAGCAATTCAACATCCAGTGTCTCAGCAGCGTGCTGAACTCATCACCTGAGTGCTGAATTCATCAGCTGAGTACAGGTGTGTCTCACTTAACGAAGAACAAATGCGGCCAGGCGTGGTGCTGGCCACCCACCCCTCGTGTGCCCTGCCACCTTCATAGGTGCTTGCTAACAGCACTTGGTCCCACAATCTGTTTAGGCTATACGGGTGATCTTTATTTTTGGGGAGGGGAAGGTGTGTGTGCATGTGTAATGGGTTCAACTGAGTTGCAGACGTAGACTTGGAGGCAACACATTTATTCAACTCCAACACTTCCGCTTAACAGAATAACAACCTATGGTGGTGACCACCAGGCTAACTACACTAATTACAACGTAACTGCTACAACGGACCAGACCAGAGCTCGGGTCCAGGTCCACGTGTTGGAGACTCGTTGAACGGAGAACGTCGATGAAGGTTTCTTCCAGGATGAACAACAACAACAACCCTGGCCCCTCTCGGGACCCGGCTTATATTCTCTGCGGCGTGTCTGGCTCCGCCTTTGGCCACGTCCACCTTCTAGAATTCTCGGGAAGGATCTGGGTCCCAATCACGTAACTACCCCTAGCCCCCACTTTGTGGCCCCTTTGTAGACTTAACTGGTCACGTGTCCTCCCGGGTCAACCAGAGTGCCATGGCCTCAAGTAACCTCATCCTCGGCCGGCACACCGAGCATGGTGCCATCTAGCGCTATCAATCAGCACTCACCGGGCCCCTCTAGGGCCGGTACTACACCCACACCACTGTGGTGTCCGCGATGTCGTCACACCGCACGCAGTGCCTCTCTAGGGCCGACACTGCACGTTGACATCCCGCGATGTCACTACACAAGTATGAAGGAGAGAGTTAGAGAGAGCTGGAGAGGGCTGTGTGATTGAGAGAGTGTGTGTGAGAGCGTTGATTTCAAATAAAGTATATGGCTGTAAGGAGGTGATAGGCTATACGGTGGATCTTGCACCGTGGTTCTTCATGTGTGGTAAGCGTTCAGTTAAATGTTATCTTATTGTACAGTTATACAGTAATTTGTATTTCTCGTGTAAAAACTAAATTCGTTCAAGAATGCGACATTTTGGATCCGTAACGTTTCACAACTTTCAAAATGGGAGGGGGTCAATGGGGGAAAATGGTGATCGTTTAACGAGTGTTCGTTTACCGAGCACATTTCGAGGAACATATTTCGCTCGTTAAGCGAGACGACACGCCTGTACCGAACTCATCGGCTGACTGCTGAACTGGAGCAGTGGCGACTGTGTGTGCGTGGGGAATTGGTGCGACGCCCCACTGACACAAGAATTCCAACAGTGTGAAAAAGATATTTAATGTTATGTTATTGTGTCATTTTAAATCCATTCTGCAGAATCAATTCAAAGTTAATAACTCCACGTGCGGTGCTCCACTGAGAGGCGGGGTCTCGCTGAGGGGCGGCCTCTCATTGGCCGATTCAGCCCCCTCTCCCAGCCAATCACAAGCTTCTATTTGCACACGGCCCTGCCCCCATTCGCGGGTGAGGGGCGGGGGTTGGGCGCAGTCTTCCAAACGAGCGTGCAAGCGGGTCCCGTTTCTAGTTAATTAGTTAATTAGTTAAGAGTTAGTGACACGTTAATTTTGTCACTTGTTAATTTCTGTTAGAGTAGCCTCTGCCGACACGGGCTCTTATCTCCGACCGTGATGTACGACGGTCAAGGTTGTGGCCAAACAAATACTCGCCGGAATTACAATATTTTATTGAAATATTTATTGAAATATGTATTGAAACTGGAGGAATCCGATGAGCTATAAAGCTCTTCCATCATGGGACCTCCTTTGCCAGTACCAAAATATGAGAATAGGTTTTTGCCCTTTTTTTCTGGCAACAAAACCTTTTAGGTTTCAGTTCGGTGTTTTAACATCTTAACTCCTGTTTTGTTGCCAGAAAAAAGGAGAAAACCTATTGTCATATAAAGCTCCTGTTCACACATGTCCAGTAGGGACAGATCAGGACGTTACAACAACAAGCAATGCAAAAATACGATAGGAGTGTAAAGTATAGGAAATGTAAACAAATCACTTAAAACATTTATGCAATCAGAATATTTATTTTTACTGGAGGAATCCGATGAGCTATAAAGCGCTTCAATTTGGGTACTCACATCGTAAATGTCGTGGGTCTACTCTCCAACACACCGAGGTGAAGTAGTAACTAATTGGTACATTTTGTTCACGTGATAAACTTTACTAATTGGCTGTGTCGGGTGGTGACGGGTTTAACGACATATACGCGCTCCAACCCAAACACGCCTTTATTATGAATAATATTGGTCACGAAGGCCTACGTATTCTAAAGCTTGTTTCACAGATGTCCAGTATGGGCAGGCAAAAACGTTACAACAACAAACAATACAAAAACATGATAGGAGTGCAGAGTATAGGAAAGCTAAACAAATAACTTAAAAAATATAAGCAAATACTCTTTGGTTCTTTCGGTAAAGTCACGTAGGTAAAAAGTAAAAATAAAAATAGAAATAAAAAATAAAATAAAAGTAAATTAAATCACGACGTTTCGATTGAAACACTTTACCGAAAGAACCAAAGAGTATGGATCATTGCAGTCACGAAAACTTCAAATCTAGAATATAAGCAAATAAAACGAAACTTTTTTGCTATCTCACCAGGTAAAGCCCACTGAGCTATTATCTTTTTCAGAAGCGACCTGGACGAAGCGGCTTATCGTCACGTGAAAATTCATAGCAGCAAAATAATCTAAATAATCTAAATGCAAATTTCCCAGTGCTGAAAATGTACCTGCACAAACTACTCAATCAGGATCACACGTTACACACAGCAGCTGCGGCAGCATCGACACCTACTGCTCAAACTTGGCAAGACCCTTCTCAAAAGAAGATTCCGTATTGAGACTCGGTGAGGTTTTTTTCTACCAGATCAGGCTCACTGAGCTGTTATAGCTCTTTCTCAGAAGCGACCTCACACACAAAATGAGAGCTCAACCAAGTGGATTATCACGTGGAAATTTACAGCAGCCGCAGCAGCATCGCCACCTGCTGTGAAAACTTGGCAAGACCCTTGTCAAAAAAAGATTACGTATTGAGACTCAGTGAGGTTTATACCAGACGAGGGGGTGGGTGACAGCACCACGCCCGGCCGCCTTTGTCTCCCCAGTTGCGATGTTCACACACCACAGCAGTTCCTCGCTTGAGGCTGAGTCGACCTAGGGGAGGCCCAGGAGCGGTTAAAATAATCGTCATCAGTGGTGGCCGTGAGCGGGAATCGAACTCGGGTCGCCGGGTTCATAGTGCGGCGCGCTAACCACTACACTACAATGCGTTACGCGTCCACTTGCGCGGGTCACGTGACAGATTTGACGTCACAGCTTACTTGCTGTACAAAAATTATATGCATTATTGAGCTCCCCCCCCCCCCCCCCAAAAAACACAAAAGTGTATTTTAATAATTTTTGCATGGTGTACAGTCTGGAAAGTACCCACATGGAAAATTTCAAGTTTGTTGCATGTCGGGAAGTACGCTAAACATTTTGAACAGACACACATAATCACAACTTTGCCTTTTATATATATGGAGATCAGGCCCACTGAGCTATACAGCTCTTTTTCAGAAGCGACCTGGCCACAATGATAGCTCAACTAAATGGCTTATCACGTGTAAATGTATAGCCGCCAAATACATATATAGGCGAAGACGAATTTCGCAGAAATACTGCGAAATGTGTATGCATCGTGTCGTTTTATAATTACACAACTGACAGACACGTGGACTTTTGTTGTCCTGGGAAGGACTTTAAGATTTCCCAGCACAAGCCACCTCGCTCACAGGAAAGTGCTGGGAAATCCAGCATAGATGGCAACCCTGGTACTCACACACACACCACTCTCACATACACACACATATATATGTGTGTGTATGTGAGAGCGGTAGCACTTCCCCCAACAGTCAGTTTAGGCTATACTGGGAATCTTTGTAGTTGTAGCTGTTCTACAAACCCGGCAAACCGAGTTCGATTCTGGCTCGCGGACAACACCAGTGGCAATTATCCAAATCGGTCCTGGGGCCTCCCCCTCGGTCAACTCAGCCTCAGATCTTATAGATTCATAGAATAACGACTGAGTTAAGCAGCCATGTTCAGAGACAATGATGTTACGCAATACGACGATGTGGTGCTGTAATGCAATGAAGTAGTACGCACATCATGTGACTTCCTTCACAATGAGTACTTGGTGCAAATGTGTAAAAACCAGGGAGTCAAAAGCAGGCACGATTTCTGGTGGTCACCCACCCACCGACCCCCTGGTGTGCTCTGCCCACCTTCACAGGTGCTCCCACTCAACAGCACTCGCCCCAACAGTCCCTTAATGGCTACACGGGGTGGGGTCTTTGTGTTTGCAGAGGGCCGCTTCAAGGTGTGGGTGAGCACGGGGGAGCTGGCCGCCGCCGGCACGGACGCGCGCGTCTCCGTGACGTTGTACGGGGAGCGCGGCCACGCGGGGCCCATCCTGCTCGGCGCCGGCAGCGGCGGCACCGGTGGCACCTTCAGCAAGGGCAGCGAGGATGAGTTCACGGTGAGCGAAGCCCGCGCAGCGAACCCGGCGACCCGAGTTCGGACACCGCTTATGGCCACCGACACCCAGAGAATTATCTGAACCGGTCCTGGGCCTCGCCGAGGTTGACTCAGCCTCAAATGAGTATGGTGTGCAAACATCAGAACTGGGAAGACAAAGATGGCCGTGCCTGCAACCCACCCCCCCCCCCCCTCGTGTGCCATGGCCGGCTTTCATGGGTTCTCGCTAAAACACTTGCCCCGACAGTCTGTTAAGGCTTCACGGTGGATCTTTGTCTTTTCGAGCCCATAGAGGATGGGTGCACGCAAGAAAGTGTATCCAGCGCACTGGCATTAGGGTTCGCGCATCTCTGCAGTGCAACTGATGTGTGTCGTGCGCCTACACCGTGTCTCAGTGCGTGCGTGCGTGCCTGCCTGTGTGCTGTCGTGTCACACCACGTGCTGTAGGTCTCTGCCGGGAACGTAGGGGAACTCTACAAGATCCGCGTCAGCCACGACAACTCTGGCGAGTCCCCGGGATGGCTCTGCCAAGCGGTACGAGTGAGGCTCCGAGGGTCTCCGCGGGGACGGCAATGCGTGTTGTTGTCCTTCCCCCGCAACTCCGATTAGCACGGTTGTCTACGCATGGTGCGGAAGAAGTTCAACATATGTACAATACGTACAACCCGGTTTGAATTCACACAATCGATCAGAATTGTCGGTGGTGAGCCGGCCAGTTCTCGAGATTATCCTGGAGGCCAACAGGATAATCTGGGCGAAGTAGACAAGAGGGGTGGAGATCAGGTGAGATACTTGAGCTTGTGAAGAACCTGAGGTGAACAACACGAGATGGACAGTAAAACTAATAATGATAATCATAAAAAGTAATCAATCAATTTCAAAGACAATGCATATATTATCAGAGAATGTTTTCGTTTGCATGTTCACTACAAGTATGTGTGATTAATGCGGACATAATTCCTTGCAAAAGGTTTATGTTTGGTGTTTGAACATCTTAACACCTGTTTTATTACCAGAAATGGTAAAACATATTCTTATACAATAATACTCATGCCATGAACAAACTCTTCTTCAATTTAATCGTGACTCTTTTTGACAATTCATTGCAATGGGTTCGAGAAATGATGCGTTTGAGAATCGTCACGTGACTGACGGATAGCCTCCGTCACGTGATGATTGGCTACGGCGCTGCATTTTACAGCAGCGCTGTTTTGCACTGAGGCCGCCTCCTCTGACCAGGGCCACCAAAAACGTTTTGGGGGACCGGGGGCTAAGGTCCAGACGAGGCCTGTGGGGTCACCTCAACTCTTTCCTGAGGCCCCTCTCCGGATCTGTGCTCCCGGAGCAAACTCCACCGGCCCATTAATTCCGTCTGCCGTCACTGCCGTTGTCCCCGCGGGTCCAGGTGCGGCTGCTGGACCTGCACACGAAGGAGGAGTTCGAGATGCGCGTGAACCGCTGGCTCTCGCGAGACGAGGACGACGGAGAGATCTGCCGGGAGGTGGCGGTGCCGCGGCGCACGGGGCCCGTCCTGCCCGGTACGGTGGTTGGTGTCCGCCGTCGTGGGTGGTTGGGGTGGGTGGGGGGAGGTTTGGCAAAGATACATCTGATGCATGCACAGCTCTCTCTCTCACCAAGTCTGTATCGCGCAGATGTCACTGTATGTGCATACTTATGTTGAACTCCTTTCGCACCGTATGTCGCCAACCACGCTATAATCCGAGGTGCCGGGAAAGGGAAACAAACTAACCACGAGTTTTAAATGCCACGTGCACTCAACCACCAGCTCCACCCGCACAGGGAGCAGCCCCTTCGCTACGTCTGATGTTGGCCCCGCCCACTGCCCATTGACCCCGCCCACTGCACGTTGGCCCCGCCCACTGCACGTTGGCCCCACCCACCGCTCAGGGAGCTTCACCCTTTGCCCGCATCATTAGTCGAGTGTGAGGCCATGACATTTTTAAACCCGAGACAAAATCCCGATATCCGCAGATGCTTCAGGTAGAGAGAGAGAGAGACAACGGGAGCAGCCTTTCTTGAGAACTGGGACTTCACAGAAAAACGACACACGGACACGCACAGCACAGCACGTGCCACGTGGTCATGCACTTGTTTTTAAATTCTTTATATTAAGTTCACTTGCTTGCGCGCTTACGACCATGCAAATCTTTCGGTCGTTTTTTAACCCACTTCCCGTGATCCAATCGAGCTGACATTTTGCACACAGACTCGTTGTGCGTGACAATTTATTTTCGTGAAAAAAACTTTCCATAACTTTACCCTTTTTAGGATTTTTTTTTATATATTTAATTACCAATTGCTTAATGGTGGCAGGCAATCATCTGACCCATAGAGGAATCTAGCCGCCACGCATGTAAAGGATTTATAGTGAAAAACTTTGTTTTTACGGGTTAATTTTTTTATTAATGCTCCTCATTGAAAGTGAGACCAAACAATTTGTCGTACACATCGATGTATAATCGGGAGCATCAAGTTTTTTGGCAAAACTTTATTTCCGGCTAGAGGCGTCTCACCGCACCTCTGCCTTGCGTCTGTGCGTGCTATAAGCCGGACATTATATTCTTGGTTCTTTCGGTAAGTCACGTAGAAGGGAAATAATAAAATAAAATAAATATAAAACAATAAAAATTCTCACGACGTTTCGACTGCAACACAAGCAATCATCATCAGGTGTGAAATCCCTTCTACGTGACTTTACCGAAAGAACCAATAATATGAATCCCTGCAGTCACGAAAGCTTTAAATCAAAATTTAAGCCGGACATTATTACCTTCATCTCACCACGCACGGATCGCCTTCTCCCCCGCCCGAGCCGGTGGGAGTCGCGGCTGTATTCACGAGCTATGCTGCCCCCCACCCCCACCCCCCCGTTGTGCCGGGCTGTGTGCGCAGCGGTGCGCTACGAGGTGCGCATCACGACGGGCGAGCTGTGGAACGCCGGCACGGAGGGGCGTGTTCATGTGGCGGTGCATGGCGAGCGCGGCGACACGGGGCCGCGCCTTCTGCAGCGCTCGCGGCACCCCACCTCCTTCCAGCGTGGCCAGGTGGGTCGGGCGGGCGGCGGGCGGCACCCCACGTGGGCAGCGTCGGCGTCAGTCCGGGGGCTTCAGTTTCTCGACGCGACATCAGCTTTTGTTTACCAGGCCGCTCGTCATCATCATTATCATCGCGATCCATGGGCAGATAGCCCCATAGGTGTCCACTGCACATTTCGTCATTTGTTTCCACTTTCCCCTCTGTCTCGTAGTGCCAATATGCTCAGGTAGTGCAACATCTTCCTGGCAATCTCTTCTAACGTCGTCGTCATCGTCAAGCCATTCTCTGTGAGCTCTTCCTCTCTTTCCGGTTCCTTCCATTTTTCCCGACAACACACTGAACATTTTCCTGCTGTTGTTCATCTTGCTACGTGTCCAAATAGTGCCAGTTTCCTTCTCGTCACTGCCTGCATCAGGTGTTATTCTATGTGCAACCTTTTTCTTGCTTCATTACTTCTACGTTGAACACTCTTTGGATCCAGCGTATGAGGCACTAAATTGCCGAAATCACGAAACCGAACGTCCGCAGCTGGTAGACTGGAGCAAGTGGTGCGTGGCTACTGGAGATATTGAAGAGGGATTCTGAATGTGGTGTGCCGGGTGCACAGTTCTTTAGCTGCCCACTGGCCCAGACAGACCCTGGCTGAATTTATGCCCCAGTGTCGGCGCTCTTTGTGTGATCATCATTGCTGTTTGCGTACTTGACGTGTGACAACCCACCCCGCTTACGTGTGACCGCGTGTCTCTGTGTATATGTGCTCACCTCGTGTGGGGAGCGGTAGTGTCGCGGTTATCGCGCTTGTGTAATAAACGACTCTGTCAGGCTCTCTTGGTCTCCGTTGTCGTTTATTTATGTTCTTCGTATCGCACCCCGCTGGTCCTCGGCCGGACCCGCGCCGCCTCCGCCGCGCGCCCCGCGCACGCTCCGTGTGGCCCGCACTCGTTGGTGGCCGCTCCGCTCTCTCCGTGTGCCCCGCACACGCCGCCAGCCACACCGCTCGCTCCGTGTGCCCCGCACACTCTGCTAGCCCCTCACACACCGCTAGCCCCGTCTACCCCACGCACACCGCTGGCCGACGGTGTGCGTCGGTCTTCGACCACGTGGCAGATGGCGCCGCTCCTCCCGCACTGCCCAGCGTGGCTTCCCCTATTCTCGCTCCGTTCCGACTCCTCGATCTCTTCCGGCTCTCTCCCTATATCCTTCCCATCACGTGACCCTGACTCCTCCTTCCCTTACTGCCCCCGTCTCCGCCCCCCGTTCACCTCGTCTCCCATTGGAGCCGAGGTGAGCAGTGGCTCCTCCCACACGCTCCGCCGACCAGGCTCCGCCCCCCAATGCTCCGGGCCATGTGATTGGCGCGGAGGCCAGCAACCACCCCATTTATGCTCGCATTACACTTGCGCTACGAACCCGGCGACCCGAGTTTGATTCCCGCTCACGGCCAACACCAGTGACGAATATCTGAATCGGTCCTGAGCCTCGCCAAGGTCGACTCAGCCTAAAATGAGTACCTGGTGCGTTGTGTAAACGTTGCCACTGGGGAGACAAATGCAGCCAGGCGTGGTGCTGGCCACCCACCCCCTCGTGTACCGTGCCAGCCTTAATAGGTGATCGCTAAAAGCACTTGCCCCAATAGTCTGTTAAGGTTGTTTGTCTTTTCTCACCTCGTGTCCACGTGTCCGTGTGCAGACGGACGTGTTCCGCCTGGAGGCCGTCCACCTGGGCCGCCTGCAGCGCGTGCTCGTGAGCCACGACTCCGAGGAGCCGGGTGGGTCCCGCATATCCATCCGCCCCGCATCTCCCTCCATCCCACGTCTCACTCGACCGTCACGTGTTTCTCTCCATTCCGCGTCTCTCCCCGCCCCGCGTCTCCCTCCATCCCGCGTCTCACTCCACCTTCACGCGTTTCGCTCCGTCCCGCATCTCGCTCCGCCCTGCATTTCGCTGCGCCCTCCGTCTTGCTCCGCCCCGCTATTTTCTCCATCCCGCGTCTCACTCCACCGTCACGCGTCTCTCTCCGCCCCGCGTCTCCCTCCGTCTTGTGTCTCCCTCTATTCCACGTCTCTCTCCGCCCCGCATCTCCCTCCGTCCTGGGTCTCGCTCCACCCCACGTCTTCCACCGCCCCGCGTCTCCCTCCGTCCCACATTCCCGCGTCTCGCTGCGCCGTCCCGTGTCTCCCTCTGCCCTGCGTCTCGCTCCGCCCCACGTCTACCTCCGTCCCCACACACCACTGGCTGTCTGCTGCCCTCGCCAGGTTACGCGTGAAGCCCGTGAATGAATTCGTCAATGAGAGAGATGGGGAGTCCCAGTGGGCTCCAGACTGTAGAGGACAGCCGTGGAGGAGATCTGTGGAGGAAACCCGTAGGGGAGAGATGTCGGGGAGAGCTTTGGAGGAGAGCTGTCGAGGGGAGCTATAGAGGAGAGCTGTAGAGGAGAGCTGTAGAGGAGAGCTGTAGAGGGGAGCTGTAGAGGGGAGTTGTAGAGGGGAGCTGTAGAGGAGAGCTGTCGAGGGGAGCTATAGAGGAGAGCTGTGGGCTTTCTTGCTGGGAATTTGCTGCAGCGACCCGTGCCCTGACTGTGATTCCAGGCAAAGGCTGGTACCTGGAGAAGGTGGTGATCCAGGACCCGCTGGCCGACATGGAGAGCGTGTTCCTCTGCCACCGGTGAGGCCCCCGGTCGCACCTTCGACCTGCGGTCATCCTCGCAGCAGCAGCGGCTCTTGGCTGGCCATCGAACAAAGATGGTCACTACATTGCTTTCAGATGCGCTTCTGTGGCCGTCTGAAACGCTCTTCCTTCCGATATTAGGAAACCACCGGAGCTATGCACTTTTAAATAATCTAGATTGAAAACGTATTTTTGTGTTTAGTTCATTGTCCTTCACCCGCACCTCTGATTAGCACACTTGGCTACGTATGGTGCGAAAGAAGTTCAACATACATACATACATACAGACGGGGTCAGACGTGGTCAGACGGGGATTGCGATTCTCACGCACGCCAAAGTTGCATGGTTTGCGATTTGCGTGACTTTTATCCAAACTAAAGGGTTATGTGATATTTAGGATGCTGGAGCAAACAAAACTTGTACAATGAGACAAAACATTGGTACCCACACGAACGAGACAGCAAAAGCGAGATGATATATTGCTTTTGTATTGAACCCAATGCAAGTCCTACGGCAACAAGAGAGAGAACATTCAGTGGACGTGCGGCCTGCAGATTGTGTCCTCCGAGCTCATGACTTTCCCTGTAGGGAATGTATTCATATGGGGCGGTTAAAATTTCTGATTAAGTAGGGGGAACGGGGGGGGGGAAACAATATATATTTTTAAATGGAATCGCAACCGCCAACCGTGACATTTCATCAGATTGCTGAGAAGTGCATCGTTGCACGCCTGCTTTACATCAGAGGGGATGCTTTATAATATACTTGGTCAGGGGAGTGTGGGGGGGGGAGCACATGTAGTAGTGTCTACAGACTGACTTCAGCGGTGACGCTAGGCAATGTTGTTATCCTGCGAAGGTGGAGCAGCGAACCCGGCGACCTGAGTTGCACTCTCGGCCACCGTTAACACCTGTGACGAGCGATATCCAAACCAAATTCTGGGGCCTCCCCTGCTCCAACCTGTGCTGACCCGCGTAGTGAATTATGGATAAAGGATCAGGGTTGCCCATCGCTCTTGTCACCGCCTCAACGGTGCCCGCTAACGGCATGCGTGCGCGCGCAGTTGGCTGGACACGGGCGAAGACGACGGGAAGACGTCGCGGGATCTCAACATCGTGGATCGAACGCTGAGCGCGGCACGTAAGTGTTCTTATCTTAATCATTATCATCACGATCCATGGGCAGATAGCCCCGTAGGTGTCCACTGCACATTTCCACTTTCCTCTGTCTTGTGCCAATATGGCTCAAGTAGTGCCACGTCTTTCTGGCACTAACCCCTTATGTCGTCAAACCATTCTCTTGAGTTAGCTATTCATACAGCAGAGGTGTGATGAGATGAGTCTATGGTAAGGATGGTGGTGCATGACGAATATGACGATGCGTGAAATAAACGACGATGAGAGTGACAGTGAGTGGTTAATAGTGAATGTGATGGATGGGTAGGGAAGTTGGGAAAAGGTGATGATGGTGGTAATGATGGGGAAAGCATGGAGAAGAGGAGTTTGTCTAAGCAAGAGAAAATAAATGAGTTTTAACAAAAACTGGGCAGTGAAGCTGATTGTGTGTGTGTGACACGTAGGGGCAGTTTGTCTGTTCTGTTCAGTCCACTCTATTTGAGTGAGACCTTTAACTCTACAGTGGTCAGCAAAAGTGGTTATGCATTTCATCATAATCACCCATGATCAGTCCACTGCTGGATGTGCTCTCTCGGGTGCATTCCCTTCTTTGGCTGCCGCTCCGTCGCGAAATATCGACCACCGGCCATCATGATAATCCTTCTAGTGACCCAAGCCTGAACGAACCGTTGTTGCGTATAATTCACGCACGCCATGCGCACACACACGTACGGTGGTCCTATGGAGACAGGCAATGCAGAAAACCTCCGCCACAGACACCACTGGAAGCGTTCACGACCGCACGCGGTGTTTGAGCCAGGAGACGCGTCGACGTTTTTGTAAATCTATCGGGGACGAGGATCTGGCCCCTTCCATTCTTCGTATTTGTTCCATGTCATGCCTGCGTCGTGCTGCGGGTTCTCATGGGAAGGCTCTGACCGCGTGTGCTCTCCGTGTGCGACTCCACAGAGCAAGAGCAGGAGCTGCTTGAGAAGGAGCTGGTGAGTGCTGCGCTCGCCGCGACGGATTCATTCACTTGCTGGGTTGGCTTTAGAAGGGCGGGGTTAATTGTTGTTGAGTAGCGATTTGCTGTCAGTAATGTTGTCGGCAATGTGTGCGTTGTGCTCTTCTCGTTAAGTAGGGTTGTTGCGGATTTTATCGTTGTCGATAATTGCATGCACAAAAATTTGCTAAAATATCGCTGAGTGTCGCGAATTGATGGCCGAGGTTTGCGAGTTGAGTGATGAATGTCGCGAGTTGATGGTTAAAGGTCGAGTTTGTTGTCACGAGTTAGGAGACGAGTGGTGAGAGTTGACGGGTCGCACTGCTTGTGCGCTGCTTGTGCGCTGCATGTGCGAGTAGTGGGCAGCCGAGGGCTGGAAGTTCCAGCGTGGCAGCGTCCTGCAGCTCACGAAACAAGCTCACCGGGCGCCTGCTGCGGATCAAGCCTGATGCCTCGGTTGACGCGCTTGGGGAGAAGGGCGACAAATACAGTGAGGGCCTCACAGCACTCTCCCCCACCTCTATCACCTCCTCCTCCTCATCCACCACCTCCTCCATATTCACCTCCACATCCTCATCCACCTCCACATCCTCCACTTCCTCCTCCACCTCCTCCTCCACCTCCTCATCCACCTCCTCCTCCTCATCCACCTCCTCCACCTCCTCCTCCACTTCCTCCATCTCTTCCTCCACTTCCTTATCCACCTCCTCTCCGAGCACACACGTAGGTCATTGTGGGGAAGCGAAGGGAGGGAGCAGGGCATGCCCCCCCCCCCCCCACCCGGCTCAAGGAGAAGAACTGTGGTGCTGGCTTGAGGTTTCACGAGAAGTTCTGGTCGCGATGAATCATAATCGTGATCATAGTGTAATAAAGCTCGTTGAGACGACTTCTGGAATCCGTCTTTTATTCACTTTATCTTACAGTTACTCCACGCTACTGCTAGGCAACGTGAAAGGGACAGATAGACCGAGAGAGACGCATTGCCACGTGGCAACTCGGAGCCCCGCTCCCGCATGGCCCCTTCCTCCGTTCGTTCCCGTTCTGACCCCGTGTCGTTCGTTTCCACCCCTATTTAATACCCGGGTCACGTGGTACGTTTCTGCCAATCCTCGTTAGCCTGCATCAAATCTTCCAGGCTCCCTCGTCAGCTCCCGAGACCACGCCCCTGACTCATCTCCCCATTGGCTGAGGCCAAAGCCAGCAGACCCAATCCTCATAGCTGTCACCTTTCCATCACGTCAGGGCCATGCCCCCAGGCTTCCCCCCATTGGCTGTAAACCAGGACCGGCAGAGCCAATCACCATGACAAGTTGTGATACGTCAGTGAGCCGGATATATTCTCATATTACAATAGGATCTGGAGGTGAAACCTCTGATCTGGCTTGTCTGGGTGGTGTGTGTGTCCGTCCGTGTGTGTCTGTGTGTTAAGGTTACTTTGAGGTGGCACGGCGGCGTGGCAACGTGCGGGCGTTCAACAGCCTGGCGCTGCCCGCGTACTATCTAGCAGTGGAGCAGAACCACGTCGTGGGCATGGTGAGGGCCACGACGCCTACAAAGCGACCCAGAGCACAGTCCAATGGTGTCATGAACCAGTGATTAAACTAACTTCGTCATAACCCGTTACATTTTTGAATGGGCTCCTTCCATTGTGTAGTGGTTAGCACACCACTGGACTTGCAATCCAGAGGGCGCTGGTTCTATTCAATCTGCTGGCACGGCAGTTGAATGAAGGAGTACGTTTTTTGTCTGTGAACCCAGCAGTACAAATGGGCACTCGACAGTTTGTCGAGTGGCAAATCGCATGTGGTGGGGTAAAGTGTCGGTACCGCCACCTCTTCCAGGACGTCTGACCAGCGTGGAAGACAAACACCCTCTAAAGGGGCTCTCAAGAGCTCCCCCTTAGTGGAGGCCCTTTCGGAAGCATTGGCGTGAGCGAGCGATTGTAGGGCCTGCAACTTTTATCCCTCTTTGCATTCTTAACAAGCCAATGCCGTAACCTCTCACCTCTCCAACAAACTAATTATGCAAATTCACCACCCGCCGTGGAACTTTTCCCAGCGGCTCGACGAGCGAACCGGTTAGACGCGCTAACAAGACGACAACGGAGGTTGACGACGATCGCGCGGCGTGTCGCCCCGCAGAGCGAGAACGGGCCGGCGTGCGACTTCAGCGTGTGCGTGCAGCGCGACCGCAGCGTGCAGCTCGCGTCCGTGCGCTTGCCCGGCCACGCTGTGCTCTTCACGCCACACGGCCGGCCCGGCGACACCAAGGCGGCCGCGCAGGGCCCCGCGTGCCTCTTCTACGTGCACGTCAAGGTGAGCTTCCCGCGGCCCCCCACCCCCGCTGGTCAGTGTCTGGAGACCGACGTCGGGGGTCAGTAGGCCGGCGTCTTGAGACCGTTGGTCAAACTGATTACGGCCCACTGGCCGGTGTCCTTCTTTGGCTGGGATAGTCCCAGTCTCGCAAACGGCTGTCCCGGTGTTCTCAAAGCTTGCAAAAAAAAAAATGGGAATCTATCACCGGTTTAATGCTTTTTGGCCTCACGCTCAACTCGTGTTAATTGTTCAAAGGGCGAAGCTACCTGAGTAGTGGGCGGGGCTGTCAGGAGAGTGGGCGGGGCCACGGGTCGCAGGTGAGGCCAGTGGAAGAAAGAGGGAGGAGGAGGAAGAGGAGGAGTCACTCGCTGCGTGGGGCAGGGCCAGCGGATGAGGCAGGGGCTGCCAGGTGAATCTCACCGTGTCTCGGTTGAGCCTCCCAGAATTCGTGGTCGCTGTATCTTGCCGCTCGCGTGCCGTGCGTGCCGCGCGCAGGGCGTGTTCCGTGACGGGGCGGTGCTGCTGCTCAACTCGAGCACCACGCAGGCGCTGTCGGTGTCGGCGGACGGGCGGTGCAGCGGCGCGGGCCGGCGCTTGGAGGCGTCGCACCTGCGCGTGCACGTGGTGGCGCCGCGCACCTGCATGTTCGAGAGTGTCGCGTTCCCGCGCAGGTTCCTCCGCGTCAAGGACGGCCACTGCGATGGGCTGGTAGGTGTAGCGGCGCGGTTTCAGCGGCCCCTGAAAACTGCACCACGATGGCGAGATGTTAACGACCTCGCCTGGTATGCAGGTCGTGGGTTCGATCCCGACCCTGACGCCTGCTGTAAACTATATTTGCAGTTTGCCTGTCTCTCTCTCTCTCTGTGGTTGCGTGGATTTTTCTTCGGGTCCTCCAGTTTTCTCCTCCACATTTAGGATCAACATCACACGTTTAGGGAATTTGGCTGATATACATTTCCACGTGATAATCCACTTCGTTGAGCTATCATTTGTGGCCAGGTCGCTTCTGAAAAAGAGCAAAATACCTCAGTGGGCCATGCCCAATAAAATGTAAACATTGTAATATTTTATCTGCGGGGCCGAGCTTCAAAATAAAATGTTAGGTTTTGGGATTAATTAAATTCATAACAAAGACGCATTTCTGATTTATATCCCCCCTAGAATCTATAACACCATCAACATCATCATCAGTTACGGTCAATTCACTGCTGGATTAGCTCTTCCCCAAGCTTCCGCCGCGACCTCTCGTGATTCTGCGACGTAATAATCCACCAAGCGCAATAACATCGACTTTGACATCATTAGCACGTACGTCAGTCACTCACGACCGGCGAACATATCAGCCCTGTGCCGTGCAGGGCATTGGAGACCCAAAGCAAACATTTTTCGCAGCTCGCGCGTTTTCTGTTCTTGGCCCTCTGTCTGAAGAACTGCGCCTGACTGCTGAGAATTATCCCATTCATAAAAAAACTAAACATTTAATTACTTCCTAGGATATATTGGATAGATTACCAAGTATTTTTTTGTCAGCACGGCACTCTGAAGCCCTTTGTTGGGTCTGCTGCGCCATATAAAAACGTAAATAATAAAACAGTCTGTTCTCCCATAACGCTGCGTGTTGTTTTCATCATGCGAATCGGATATATAACGCGACGAATGTATTTGGGAACACTTTTTTTTTTAATAACGCTGGATGCTTCTAGATGCTACCCACGCGCCTCGGTTTTTGTTCGGCCTGCGTACGCATCTCACGTGTTATCGCAGACTGTGCTTTACCCCCTATATTATTGATTATTTATTATAGCGAGATTTTTCCAGAGGGTGGTGTTCTTCAGGAACGCAACTACTCCCGCCACGTTATAGGAGAACATCTACTGGTGTGTGTATGTACATGTACGTGTGTGCGTGTGCGCATGTGTGCGTATTCGCAGGGCATTGGCGACAAGCACTGCCACTTCATCGTGCACAAGCAGCGCGACTGGAGCTCGGTGGGGCTGGAGTCGGCGCGCCACAAGGGCATCTTCGTGGGGCTGCAGGCCGACGGGCAGGCGCGGCCCCTTGTCAATGCCGGAGAGGCCAACACCACCTTCTACCCACAAGTCATCTCCTGTGAGACACCGGCCGCCTCTCCCCACTACCAACCAACACCGTGGCTACACCGTCGCCACCCTCATCACCGTCACCACCCTCATCACCATCGCCACCCTCATCACCGTCGCCACCCTCATCACCGTCACCACCCTCATCACCATCGCCACCCTCATCACCCTCATCACCGTCACCACCCTCATCACCGTCACCACCCTCATCACCGTCAACACCCTCATCACCATCGCCACCCTCATCACCGTCGCCACCCTCATCACCGTCACCACCCTCATCACCATCGCCACCCTCATCACCCTCATCACCGTCACCACCCTCATCACCGTCGCCACCCTCATCACCGTCACCACCCTCATCACCGTCGCCACCCTCATCACCGTCACCACCCTCATCACCGTCGCCACTGTCATCACCGTCACCAACGTCACCACCACCACCACCACCGGTCCTGGACCTCCGCTAGGTCGACTCAGCCTCAAATGAGGACCTGGTGCGATGTGTAAACATCGCGACCCGAGAGACAAAGACGGACGGCCGTGGTGCCGGCCACCCACCACCTCGTGTGCCGTGCCGGCCTTTGCAGGCGCTGCTCGCTGACAGCACTTGCCCCAACGGTCTATGAAAGTTACACGGGGGAATCTTTGAATTTTTACGTGCGTGCGTGTGTGTGTGTGCGTGCGTGTGTGCGTGTGTGCGTGTGGGCGTGCGTGTGCGTGTGTGTGTGTGCGTGCGTGTGTGTGCGTGCGTGTGTGCGTGTGGGCGTGCGTGTGCGTGCGTGCGTGTGTGTGTGCGTGCGTGTGCGTGCGTGTGTGCGTGCGTGTGCGCGCGCAGTCGGCAGAGAAAAGGCTTCGCGTCACCTCGACCTGTCGATGGAGGAGACGCCGCGACTCTCGTCGGCCCTCTCCCCCGTGCCGCTCGACACCCCCAAAGGTGGGTGTCGCGCGCGGCGGGCCGACCCGCCGCTGCCGTCGAGTGGTCACACGCAGCTCCGCCACACGAGTCAAGATAAACTAGACGGCTAAACTGTTTTTTATTTGACTGGGTAAGGCCCACTGAGCTGAATAGTAGCTCTTTTTGCAGAAGCCACGTGGCTATCACAAATTATATCTCGACGAAAGTGGCTTTAATCATCACGTGGAAATGTATAGCAGCCAAATACTCTAAACGCGTGACGTTGATTCTAAATGCGGAGGGAAAAACCGGAGGACCCGGAGAAAAATCCACGTGACCATGGAGAGCGAGACACGCAGACTCCAAATATACTGCAGGTGTCAAGTTCTGGATCGAACCCACGACCTCCTGTATATCAGGCAAGGTAGTTAACATCTCGCCACCTTGCCGAGATGCTGAAATTCCCCGTTCCCGTTATGGTGGTCAGTCTCGCCGTTGGACGTTTTCTTCCACTTCCATCTCCCAATGACTCTTCCACTTGTACTGTCGGCTCAGTGGCCGTTGACTCAGTCTTAAGTCACCTGAGCTGCCTGGGACAATCGACGTTCGTTTTCACCAAGGTGTCGCTCGTTTCAGTGACCGCATCGCTTGAATCACGAGTCGGGATGACGCCCCCCCCCCGCCCTCTTCCCCCCCGACTGGGATGTTAATTCCGTGACCTTCCATCGGTCAAATCGAGCGCCCTTGCCGCTGGCACCACCGGGCCGGCTGTTCGGCCGACACGCCCGGACGTTGGAGAGCGACGAAACGCCGACGCAGCGGAGTTGGCGAACGCCGATGCGTCGGGAGTGATGAACGTTGAGCGTCGGACGCCCGACGTGGGGCGGAGTGACGATAGGGCGATGACCGTGCGGCTGACCATCGTCGCAGGGTGGGAGTGGCGCGTGCTGGTCACGACGGGCAGCGAGGGCACGGGTGCGCGCGTGCAGCTCTGGGTGTACGGGGAGCGTGGCTCCGCGGGCCCCATTTTCCTGGGCAAGGGCGAGCACGACGGCATCTTCAGCGCCAAGCAGGAGGACGAGTTCCAGGTGATACCCCCCCCCCCAGGACCCCCCACCCCCAACCCACCCCCAGTCACAGTGTCCATGAACCAGTGCCTATGACCCATGTCCATCGTCCAGATGTCCTTGTTTATCGTCTGTTGTCTATTAAACCATTCCCATTCCGAGACGTCTGCCAGTTGCAGGGTGGGTCCCGTTCACTGCTCAAGCGGTTCGGCGTTTTATTTGCATTTAGAGAGGCGTAGCACCGCTGTTTTTACAGACGTTGTACTGTACTCACCGCAGAGAACCATAGCGACATGACCGCACTCTGCGGGAACTCGCGCCAAACTCTGCCACCCACCCTCCTGCATGGCCTTTTACTTCCAATTCCATTTGTAATCGATTTCGTTCTGATGACGTAGACATACGGAATTGGAACGGAATTGGAAGAAAAACTGAAGACGTATACATACAATTAATTGTCCAACTTCCAGTGTCCATTGTCCAGTGTCCATTGTCTAGTTTCTCTTGTTTTATGTCGAGTATCTGTTTTCCAGTGTCCATTATTTATTGTCTGGTATTTTAGCTTTCATTGTTCATATGTCAGTTATCCAGTGCCCACTTTCCATATCAGCTCCTGTTGTCCATTGTCCAACATCCGGTCTCCATTGCACAGTTTGGAGTTGACCACTTACCTGGATGTGCCTGTTGTATATTTGGAGTTTGCATGTTCTCCCCGTGGACGCGTGGATTCTTCTCCGAGTACAGTGATCCCTCGTTTATCGCGGTTAATGGGGACTGGAACCCCTCGCGATAGGTGAAAATCCGCGAAGTAGGATTGGCCCCCTAGGAATTTCCGTATATGTGTGTGTGGGTACCAGAATGTTTAAAATATGTATATTTATACTTTATATATATATATATTTTACTTAAATCTATTTAATTATAAAACCTTAATATTATACATTCACTCTCTCTCTGTCTCTCTCATAGGATACGTATTATGGTGTTCTACACTCACCAATGACAGTAGTATCTTGAGACTTGACTCCAGTAATGACGACGACGACGATGACAATGACGATGACAATGACGACGATGACAGACCTGTGCAGTTCGATGAATGTGATGATGAATGATGATGATGATGGTGTTACTGCACAGGTATAATGAGGCCTTTAAATCAGTTCGAAAAATCCGCGATGCACTGAGGCCGCGAAACTTGAACCGCGAAGTGGCGAGGGATTACTGTATTCCAGTTTTCCCTCCATCTATAGAATCAACATGCGCTTCGAGTATTTGGCTGCTATAAATTTCAACGTGATGATCAGCCACCTCGTTGAGCTATCATTTGTGGCCAGGTTGCTTCTGAAAAAAGCTACATGCTCAGTGGGCCTTACCTGGAAAAAAAAATAGTTAATCGTAAATAGTAACACAACTTTGAACACGGCATAGAATTAGCATCCTCGCCTACGAGGCCACCTCTGGGCATGTGCCCCGTCCACAGGCCAGCGCGCGTGGCCAGAGGAGGTGACGACTTGGTGGATGAGGGTCCGAGCAACGTACGGCCGCTGCGTTTGTGCGAGAGAGGCCCGAGACGCAGAACAGCAACAAAAAACACGCGGCCAGCCGAAGGAGGCTCAGGATCGGTCAGGAAGGAGAGAGCTTTTGGTCAAAACACTTGCCGTTGGGCGGAAGACTAAAGGCTTGCTTGGGCTGTGCGATTGTTGTCTTTTATCATCCTTGAACGATCAGTGCTTCCCGCGCACAGTTGCTTTGGCGCCGATTTCTATTCCCTTGCATTGCATTATCTTATATTTGTTTTACTTTAGTCACTTTGGTGACCGAGGTCACCTCTTGCAAATTGAAAATCATTCCCCTGGTCTCTTGAGGTCTCTCTCACCGTGCTAAATGAAATCAACTTGACATGCCCGGGCAGATAACGCTCCCGGACCTGGGCAAGATCTACAAGATCCGAGTGGCTCACGACGGCTCCAGCGAAAACCCGGACTGGAAGCTACAGCAGGTGACACACACACACGCACACATCAGGTGACACACACACACACACATCAGGTGACACACACACAGCAGGACACACACACACAGGTGACACACACACAGCGGGTGACACACACACACACAGCAGGTGACACACACACAGCAGGTGACACACACAGCAAGTGACACACACACACACAGCAGGTGACACACAGCAGGACACACACAGGTGACACACAGCAGGTGACACACACACACAGCAGGTGACACACACACAGCAGGTGACACACACACACAGCAAGTGACACGCACACGCACACACAGCAGGTGACACAGTGGGGGGGGCTAGCGCTAGTGGCTGGTTGGTGCTCTGGGTACAGTTCGCAGGAGTATTCCAGTCCGCTCCACTCCAACACCACTTGCCCATTCTTCCCATCGCTGCCTTTTCGCCCTCTGACTTCTCGTTTCTGGAGCTCACGTCCCGGTACCAGCGGGGTGTGACGTGAACGCCCCCCCCCCCACCTCCTTTCCCGTCCCCTGCCCCACCGTGACCTAGGTGGTGCTGCGGGGGCTCCGTGGGGGCGACACGTTGCGCTTCCCGGCCAACCGCTGGCTGTCGCGGCGCCACGGCGACGGGCAGACGGTGCGCGAGCTGCCGGCGGTGCGCGACGCCACGGGGAAGCCGCTCCACCCAGGTGGGGGGCAGGTGGAGGGGGGTGGGGGAATCGTTCACGCGGAGAGACGGCGCGGGGCCCGTGGGTGACGCGCGCCCGTGCGCGTGTTTGTGGATGCTGGGCGAGCGTGTACGTGTCGTGCGTAAGTCTCGCATGTACACGCGTGTGTGCAATCAGGTGGGCAGTCGGGCGTACGCGTGTGTGCATGTGGGGAGCGGTGGCGCAGCGGTTAGCGCCCTGCTGAACGAACATGGAGACCCGAGTTCGATACCCGCTCACGGTTCGAAACTCGGGCCTCCTCCAGGTCGACTCATCCTCCTTAACTTGGAAAAAAAAGTTTTAATAGTTTAGTTATAATAGTTTAGTTTAGCTTGTGTGCGTCGGGACGCTGTACCGGTGCATTGACACGTTACGCACGTGCGACCGCGGTGCAGTGCTGCGGTACCGCGTGTCGGTGAGCACGGGAGATGAGCCGGGTGCGGAGACGCAGGCGCCCCTCTTCTTGTGCCTGCACGGCGAGCGCGGAGACAGCGGCGAGCGCGAGCTGCTCACCTCCGACCACGCCGTGCCTTTCCGCCGGGGACAGGTGAGCCGCTGTCTCCCCCCCACCACCCTCGCCCCCCACTCTCGGCCCCCACTCTCGGCCCCAGCCGCATGCGTTGTGGTTACCACCCCCCCCCACCCCCCAAAGCTAGAAGCGGTGGCACCGCACTCACCTGTGTTTGGCACGTGACGATCCACCCCATCTTGATTCACGGTCACGGTGCAATGGCCTGGCGACGGTGGCCACGCTCGTGGCCTGTCTGTATGGGATAGAGTGTTTCCCTCTCGCATGCGTTGACTTTTCCCTGGATGCTCCGGATTCCTCCCACGTGTAAACACTGAATGACTGGCCGATAGCAGCTTCATATATCGAGGGCCACAGAGCTTGTGCGATTGTTGGTGCCAACTCAACACTCGGCTGCCTTCCAGCTTCTCTGTTCTACCTCGCACCTCTGAGTTGTTTTCTCTCTTCGAGAGTGAGTCGATACTGTGCAGCGGCATGTTACTAATATCAATTATTATTCAAGAACCACGTATTTTTTGTCTCGCATACACACGCAAACACACGTTGGCACACACGACACGCACACACACGTGTACGTGTATGAATGCACGCCTGCGTGTGCGTGCCCCCAGACGGACGTGTTTGAGCTGGAGGCCGTGAGCCTGGGGGAGCTGCGCCGTGTGTCCCTGCGCTGCGATGCGCGCGCCGCTCACGACCGCTGGTTCTGCCACGCGGTGTCCGTGCGGGAGTCGCCGCACTCCGACCTCGAGTACGGATTCCCCTGCAACGGGTGAGGATGGCGCACGGAGGGTGGCGGCGGCTGTGGTGGTGGTGATGATGGCGGTGGATGATGGCGGTGGATGTGGTGGTGGCAGCAGTGGTGATGGTGTTGGTAGGGGTGGTGTAGCGGTTAGCACGCTGCGCTACGAACCTGGCGACCTGAGTTAGATTCCCGCTCACGGTCAACATCAGTGATGATTATCTGAACCGGTCTTGGGTCTCCCCTAGGTCGACTCAGCCTCAAGTGAGTACCTAGGGAGACAAAGGTGGCCGGGCATGGTGCTGGCCACCCCACCCCCTCATGTGCCTTTCTGGCTTTCATAGGTGCTCGCAAACAGCACCTGCCCCAACATTCTTTTCAGGCTATACGGGGGATTTTTATTTTTTTGGAGGGGGGGATAGTGGTGATGGAGTGATGGTTGTGCTAGCGGCTGTGATGGTGGTGGTGACGTAACCGTGGGGTTCGCTGGGGCCGCTGTGAGATTGCATTTTTACCTGAACCTCGGGTGAGAATCATCGTTATCATCATCATCAGCCACAGTCAATCCATCTCTCATCTGCACACAAACTAATTTCACTACACCATTCTCTCAGTGGAAATCCTCTCACTATTATTCTTGATGAGCTTTAACTACCCGGCTTCACCCGAGACTTGGATTCTTGTCTTGGATAAATACACGGCCTACGCAGGAGGGTGGGGGGGCCTGACGTCAGCAGGCACACTGCGTGACGCTGCCGCATGCGGGTGACATCACAGATGTGACGTCACCGCTCACTTGCCATGCAAAATATATCCATTATTGCGCCCCCCCCCCCCCCCAAAACACAAAAGTCTATTTTTAGACGTGTTGTATTGTGTACAGTCTGGAAGCTACCCACATGCCAAATTTCAAGTTTGTTGCATGTTGGGAAGTATGCTAAACATTTCGAACAGACACACATATTCACAAATTTCCCTTTTATGTATATAGATTATCAGCCATCTTCCCTTCTAGCTATGTGTGCTGGGGTGAGGATATTGTATCCTATGACCTGATTCAGCGGTCCACAGGTCGAATCCAGCAACCGCCCTGATTACCACCGAGGGTGTATTTAACTACAACAACACACGACTTCCGTTTCACAGTGGACGTTAAAGGTCCCCCGACATCATTCGTGAAAAATAAAGAGTAGGCCGGTGTTTGCCGGCGTCAGGGTCCAAAATTTACACAAACCCGAAACTCAGGCGCCGCAAATGACTCAATTCGGTGTACACTGCAGCAATCGTCGCCCCCCCCTCCCCTACTGGCAGGCTAACGCCCCAGGTCGCTCTTGCCAAACGAGTCTCATCCTGCTATCTTCGAGTTATTCGCCGGTTATATAAAATAGACCTTAAACTCGGAGCCTCCGCCAGCAGTTCGAGCGGTGTGTCAGGCACCAGGGGTTGTGTTGCGCCACAGGCTGATTGAGGGGGGGGGGGGCTAGTTGGGGTTCATCCCACGACCGTTCGCTTCTTATCGACCGATTTCTTCTCAGGTGGATCCCCGAGGAGTTCTCTGTCGAGGACGCCCAGAGAGAGAAGATGCTGCTTCTGGAAGGTGCGTGCTGTCTTCCCGCACAGACCGAGGCAATCTGGCGAGCCGTCGTGCCGCGATCACGGAAACTTTGTGACCTTCGTCAGTAACGCGGCCCGAACGAGGAACGCTGCAACAGCACGCGTGACAGCCGACGTCTCTGGCAATGGCCCAGCCTCAGCTCTCTGCTGCGATAGGGGCCGTTGCCACGAACGTCGTCTATTCTAGAATGATTTCGTCTGCAGGGCCGTGTTGTTGGGGAACGTGTTGAGGCATCATCGTTTCTGCCTGTGCACCGCTGCCAATGCAGTACGTGTGTACTCTAAGTATGTTGAACTTCTTTTGCACCGTACGTAGCCAACCGTGCTAATCGAAGGTGCAGGGAAGGACAACAAACTAAAGACAAAAAGCAGTTCTGCAGAAAGGAGTTTTCAATCTAGATTTAAAAGTGCATAGCTCCAGCGGCTTCCTAATATCGGAAGAAAGAGCATTCCAACTATATTCAAAAATAAATAGTTGAACAAACACTGCATTGTTACTCTTTGGTTCTTTCGGTAAAGTCACGTGACTTTACCGAAAGAACCAAAGAGTATGGATTCCTGCAGTCACGAAAGCTTCAAATCAAGACTTTTTTGTTAATTCGCTGAAACGATCTTCAAACAAAACAATGTCAGACCCTCCCAAAAAAGAGAGTCCTATGACTCAGTGTGGTGCTCCTGGAATAAAAGAAAAATTGTTCTGATCTCATCACTCTACCTTCTCGGTGGGCGTGTTCTTGGCCTGCCATTCGCCAGTCTCGTTCGCTGGACTGGGACAGAGAGGCCCAACGTTTCATGGGGACTCATGTCGGGGGAAAGTGTCAATGCCCTGCATGCAGAGTGTGCTGCAGACGCACATGGTGTGAGCCCTGCGCTGATGGTTGCTCGTCTTTCTGTCTTGCGATCGTCTGCAGAAATCCGGAAAGTGACGCCCCTGGAAGCGAGGTCGGAGGTGAACGGTAAATAGCCTCGCCTTGGCCGCTTCGCTCTGCCTAGCCCGGTCCGCTCATTCGTTACTGTGCCCCCAGGGGGAAAGGACATTTGTATTGAAACACCCCCCCCCCCTCATGCCCGAAATAGAACGCTCCTTCATTCACTTTGGCACACCTGTGGAGCGTATCATTTCCTGGCGACGGTGGTTGCATTGTTGGGAATGTTTCTCCATCTACTGTTGCCTCTGTTTATCCGCGAGTAAAAGGATGTATCGGCAACTCAAGGTGGGATAATATGTGGGCACCTCCACCCCAACTAGCTATGTAGGTGCTACTTCTCGTAGAGGTACCGACATTCTGCCCATCGAAATGCAAACTATGCTTGTTCGCGAAAGCCTACATGTTAAACTATACTTGTTAATGCTTTTCAACTCGGGTTGAAAGCGTTTTTGCATTAGCTCTGACGACAACTCTTGTAAGGGGCCATCCATTTAGTACGTACGCAAATATCCGTCAACTCCCCCCTCCCTGTACGCACCCTGACTTTTTACACCCCCCCCCCCCCACCTGCGTACGTACGCTTGACGCCCCCCCCCCACCGAATCCTATAGAACGGCCGATATTTAATCCACGCAGAAACGATCAAGGATTAATAATATTAATGTGTTTAAGCAAACAGATAGTTCACCGCCGGCTGCATTATTATCGAGGCTTCAACTCCACCCCCATTTCCTATGCTACGTACATTGTCAGTAGACCCCCCAAACACAAGCGTACGCATTTGGGTTAACCCCCCCTTCCCCCCTCCATGCGTACGTACTAAATGGATGGCCCCTAAAGGATGGTGCAACACGAAGTACAAAGCCGTGTTGCTATTCGGAACTTTACCCTGGAGAACACCAACCACATTGTTCAAGGGCTGTTACCCTAAACGTGGAGACAAAAAAAACCCCAGTGTTAAAAGAAATTCTTAAAACCAGCGCAAAAATGAAGGGCGTGTCTCCCCCTCCCACTCCCCCACCGCCTCTCGACGACGTCATCGCGCATTGCCGCACGTTTATGACTTCGTCCCGTCGTGCGGCTTGAAACCCAGCCTCACTGTCGCACGTTGGAACGCGTTGCAGATCAAGTTTTTTTCTCTTCCTTGTTTTTACACCGATGAGTTTGCGTGAATCACCCTCCCCCCATAATCCGTGATTGTCAAGTGCCACCGTCGACTGCAAATGATCGCGATTGCCATCGTGTCTGCGCGTGTCCGTCGCGTTCTGACATTCGATTACGTACTTGCTTTTTGTAAATTTGACTTTTAAAAAATGTGCAGCTCTGCGAGTCTCTCGGCGTAATTTTTTGCTGAAATAATCGGCATCTTTAATCGTCGAACGTGAGACCTTTACATTTGATTTTTCTATTTAATTTAACTTTATTATGATTCGCAAGCCCTGAGATCAAAGATGCTCATGAAGTAATTGCGAATTGGCATGAAGACGAAACACAATAAAAAAACGACAGAACGTGCCAGCCTATCCGTGCTGTGGTAATGTTCACCACTTGTACATCTCATCCCAAATAAATTGCATGACGAATACATGAAACTCTCCGGTGTGATTTCTTTTTTTAAATCTCTCCGTACAATCAAGCCTGCCCTCTCACGCATGACAGCCCTTTCCAAATTGAAACATTTGTGAGCAGATTGATGTAATCAGACTTTGATCTCAAACAATTGACCATGATCGATGATGATGGTTTATGACGATGATTGTGATGATGACCTCACGCATATGGACAAGAGGTGAAATTTATAACCAAGTCTCATGACTCCCTTTCAGCAGTGTCCTGCCAAATGTTTGCAGTCGGAGGCGATGATTGCTATGTGTGTGGATGTATATACTCCAATTAAGTAATTTGTGGCCCACTCTTGCGAATTACGTCATGGGATCTTTAACGTCCACCCTGAAGCAGACGGCGTGCGTTATAGTATGGTTACCACGCAGACCGCAGTGTTAACCAGGGTGGCCGCTGGGGTTCCAACTGTGAACGTCCGCCATGAGCGGCGGACGCACCACGGTGAGGCCGTGTGAGCGCCTTGCCGGGTTTGTTCACGGGGCAGTTCGGGGTGTTCATTGAGCTCACCACGTCATCGGTCGCTGAAAAGCAAAGGGGGAATCTTGCCGACGGCTGCTAGCATGCAGAGACAGAACGTGAGGGGTCCAATGTGAGAGGTTGTGACTCCAGCCACGTCTGACGTAAAAGTTAAATGACGATGCGAGAGAAATCCGCTGAGGGCGCGGGCTAGAAGCAGCAACAGCAGTGGTGACAATTCAGCTGTAGCATCCTCATTGTCGTTATCATCATTATCCTCCCTCGAAAAGTCAACAACTTTTGTTTACATTTCTTGAAGAGCTACCGACTCGCAGCATAGAAACATTATCACTTCAACCACCGGTTGAGGAACACACATGGTTACGGATGGATATGGATCTGTTTCATTGTCTTCACGTTCAAACGTTGACCATGACTCAGCAACTGTGGCGACGCCTGAGCGTGGCTACGTAGCCCTAGCGTGTGTGGGAATGTCCCCTGTTGCCCGTGACACCTCTGTCGTGTATCAGTCCAGCGGGACGATGGGTGTGAGACAAATGTGAACCTCCTCAAGCCGCGAAATTATCATTGTTTTGTTTGTCGCGTTTTCAGCGCAACAGCTCACCGATCACCTCCCGTTTTGAGAAATGAGAGTAAATCTGGAATTCGGGACAATGCATTGGAACTTGGCAGCATCGTGGCGGAGTTGAGGCATTACCGTGTCAAAGCAGCCAAGGGCACAAGCGGAAGGCCGGAAGGAAACCTTTGTAGCGCCCTCCCTGTCGTAGTTGCATTCGTGCCTTGTCTTGTGTTTGTACCCAATTGCTGAGCGGTTGATATTTTACCATCACGGGAGAGCCTCAATGATTGGACTTGGTAAATCCTGGAGCAGAGGGCTTCCCCCGGTCTCCTGAATCCTACGTCACGTTGGCTGAAATGTGGCCATTTGAGGTGGCGCCGTGGTTCAGTGGGCACGTAATGGCTGTGACAGAAGCAATGAGCCAACACTGCCGTGGTGGCGAGATGTTAACTCCCTCGCCTGGTATATCGGCGGTCGTGGATTCGATCCCGACCCTGACACCTGTGTATTTGGAGTTTGCATGTTCTATCCGTGGTTTTTCCCTCCACATTTACAATCAATGCGCGTTTTAGAGTATATTTGGCTGCTATAAATTTCCACATCTTAAGCCACTTCGTTGAGCCATTACTTGTGACAGCCAATTCGCTTCTGAAAAAGAGCTACACAGCTCAGTGGAACTTACCCGGTAAAATTGAAATAGTTTTTAGTTTAGTTTATCAGGTAACTTTTGAAGTACATTATATGTAGCCAATAGCCACGTTTGGTTCTTCCTCAGTGCCTTGGGGTCTCGAGCAATGCCCCAGAATCATCTCGGTCTGCGTCTCCATTCAGACTTTGCGTTGTCTTGGCGCAGCCGGCGCTCGTGCTGCTCTCTCTGTGCTGCGTGGCAGCCACAGTCACCGTTGCGCTTATTAGCTCTTTCCGTCAAGTCTATGTTTTCGTTCACTCAAACAAAAACCCATTATTCTCTTCACTTAGGTAACGGCTGGCATTGCGCGTGTCCTCCCTCCCACCCACCGATAGAGAGCGAGTGGAAGATTTTGGTGGTGACGGGCGACGGGCCGGACTCGGGCACGGAGGCGACCGTGAGCCTCGTGGTGTACGGAGAGCACGGGGCGTCGCGGACGCTGCTGCTCGGCTCCGGGGAGAGCCACCTCTTCAAGCCGCGCAGCGTCGACAGCTTCCGGGTGAGGAGGCCGAGCCATCGCGACGACGGCCGAGGTTGCGGTGCTGAGCGGTCGTGCGTTCGCAGCTCTTTGCTGGGGAATCGCGGTGCGTGCTATGGTCGCTATGTTCAGATGTTAACTGCCTCGCCTGGTGTACAGGATGTCGTGGGTTCGAGCCCGACCCTGACGCCTGCTGTATATTTGGAGTTTGCATGCATCTCTCCCCGTGGTGGCGTAGATTATTTTTGCGGTTTCTACGGGTTTTCTCTCGACGTTTAAAATGACCATGCGTTTTGAAAGTTTGGCTGCTACGTATACATTTTCACGTGATAAGCCACTTCGTTGAGCTATCATTTTTGGTCAGGTCGCTTCTGAAAAAAAGGACTCTATAGCTTAGTGGGCCTTACCTGGTAAAATAAAAAAATGTTTATCATTTAGTGATACACACAATGGACACTAGTGATCCCACGATGTTATTTGAAATTGCCTGGGCCTTGTGTGCCGGCGCCATTTTGCTAAATTTCGTAAATTCCTCGCAAATTTGTTTTAATTGAGAAGCCGCACGGCATCATCGCCGCCACTGGCAGACTGATGCCCTCTTGCAGACCGCTGGGGCAGCATATCAGGTGATCATGATGATGCCTCAAAGGAGCAGGAGGCCTTGCATCGTTGGCAGCCACTCAGCAACAGCAACAATGGGAGGTGGAGGGAGAAACGCTCACATTCAACAGTCGGCGCAGTGGGGGGGGGGCACAGATAGTCCATGAGCACTAACCAGATATCAGGTAACTCACTGGTCAGTACAACCTGAGGTGTCATCACTTGAAGTTTCCAATTGTCTCTGTGTGGTCCTTAACAGTGAATTACGTGATAACCACTTGAAATGAGTGGGTTATCAAATAAAGCACTTTTTATCCATGTACTGTATATACATTGTTAAGACTGTTTTAAGAGGACCTGTGTATTATTCTGCACCGGTGTACCGTCAGTACATCCATATACTGTATAGTGCGAAGCGGTGGTGCAGTGTTTAGTGCACTGCGCTATGAACCCCATGGCCCGAGTTCGATTCCCACTAAAAAACAACACATACATATACACCCGTGCGTTCCGCGGCTGCTAGATCTCTCTGCCGGAGCTGGGGGAGCTGTACAAGTTGCGCGTGGGCCACTCGGGCGTGGGCGAGGCCTCTGCCTGGTTCCTGGAGCGCGTGCGCCTCAAGCCGGCGGGCGGCCGCCCCCTGGAGCTGCCCGTGACCCGCTGGCTCGCCGACGACCGAGACGACGGCGACACCTGGAGGGAGGTGCCCGTTCCCCGGCCCGGAAAACGCCTCCTACCCGGTGAAATGCCGCGCCCCGCGGTTCCCCTTTGTCTCCTCCGTGGCGACGTTGTTTTGCACGCATCGCACCGGGTGCTCATTCAGACCTTGGTGAGGCCCCAGGACCGGTTCGGATATTGGTCACTGTTGTTGGCTGCGACATGGGAATCAAACTCGGGCCACGGGATTTATAGCGAAGTGTGCTAACCACTGCGCCACCGCTTCCCACTGTGCTGTATATATATACAGCAAACCCTTTTCTCCAGCGCCAAATGTATTGGGGTACAGTTCGCCGATTGACCGCCCCTGTGGCTCGACCACTCGCGGTTTGGCCGCGAAATTCCTGTACGCGTCGTAACTGCACGGTGACGCCCTTGACCTCGCTTTGGGCCTAGGGTCACGGTCAAAGGGGCTTCTTCATCGTCACTTCATCTCTTCAGCTGTCGTGAGAATCGACGCATAACCTGCGCGGTTCACGCTTACGGGTACCCCATCCTCCATTTGGCTCAAGAGTTGAGTTTTGCTTCACGGCGACGCATTTCACTGCTGTCCCTCTGGCTTTGGGTCTTCCCTTTTATTCGCCACTGCTTTGGTGCTACGCCGGTACCCGGCTCTGTAACCTGCCCTCCTGCACGGTTCGTCCCACCCATCGCAAACCTCCTCTTCGTCCAGATCGCATCTCTCCAACGCTTTTTTGCCTACACTCTAATCTGCAAGTTTCTTACCCTGTCATGCCGTGCCATTCCTAGCAACCTCTTAGCAGTAATGGCTGCTGTTTTTGTCCATATTAATTGAAATAGGAAATAATTTGATTCACACTAAATGTGCGTGTATATTTCTACATGCGCAGTCAAGTTAACGCTGCTGCCTAATCAAGCCAATGAACAGACCCAGGGGCTTTGTCGCTGCCGTGTTTGAGATGTCGCTGTCGTTGTTATTGAGACGCCAATGGTTGTTGCTCACAAGTCGATGGTTGTTCGTGGCCCACAGTGGTGGTGTACCAGCTGAGCGTGCTGACGGGCGGACGCGCGGGAGCCGACACGGACGCGCGCGTGCACGCGTCACTCTGGGGCGAGCGGGGCGACTCGGGGGCCCGACTTCTGCACCGCTCCCTCAACAACCCCATCCCCTTCCAGGAGGGGCAGGTGTGGAGGCCGGCACTGGGTGTGGGGGGGGGGTGGCACGGGGAGGGGGACGGATAATGTGGGAGTGCGAGGAGAGGATGGTTTGTGATAGCGCGTGAATTTACATTCCGGTTGGCGTGTGGACTCAGCCCTTTTTTAAATCCTTTATTAAATCCTTTATATTAAGTTCGCTTGCTTGCTTGCATGCTTGCGTGCTTGCTTGCTTACGACCGTGCAAATCTTTCGGTCGTTTTTTAACCCACTTCCCGTGATCCAATCGAGCTGACATTTTGCACACAGACTCGTTGTGCTAGACAATTAATGTTCGTGAAAAAAAAATTCAAAAATTTTACACTTATTAGGCAAAAAAATTGTATTTTACATTTATTCAAAAATAACTCATTCATGGCTTTGGCTGAACGTCACAGTGTAGGATCCCAGAGCGTAACCCCTCCACAGGCCGTGGCGGAGTAGCGCAGTTGGTAGCGCCCTCGCTTCCCATGCCAAAGGTCGCGGGATCGATCCCCGCGTTCTCCACAGGCGAATATATTTTTAAATCCTTTATATTAAGTTCGCTTGCTTGCTTAGGACCGTGCAAATCTTTCGCTCGTTTTTTAACCCACTTCCCGTGATCCAATCGAGCTGACATTTTCCACACAGACTCGTTGTGTGTGACGATTAATGTTCGTGAAAAATTTTTTCCAAAATTTTACACTGTTTAGGGAAAACAAATTAAATATTTAATTACCAATTGCTTAATACTGGCAGACAATCATCTGACCCATAAGTGGCAGCCATCTCAAGCCAGAGGACGAGAAGACTCTAGCCGCCACGCATATAAAGGATTTATAGTCAAAAACTTTGTTTTTACGGGTTTACTTGTTAAATCCTTTATATTAAGTTCACTTGCTTGCTTGCTTAGGACCGTGCAAATCATTCGGTCGTTTTTTAACCCACTTCCCGTGATTCAATCGAGCTGACATTTTGCACACAGACTCGTTGTTTCGTGAAAATTTGTTTTCGTGAAAAAAAAATTTCCAAAATTTGTACACTTTTTAGGAATTTTTTTTCATATTTAATTTAAAATACCAATGTGATAAAAATGAAACTCTTACTCAATAAAAACAGAAATGAATAATAAAATAAAACCGATGCCATGCACATAAAGGATTTATAGTGAAAACTTTGTTTTTACGGGTTAATTTTTATTAAGTTTGCTTGCTTGCTTGCTTAGGACCGTGCAAATCTTTCGGTCGTTTTTTAACCCACTTCCCGTGATCCAATCGAGCTGACATTTTGCACACAGACTCGTTGTGCGTGACAATGAATTTTCGTGAATTTTTTTTTCCAAAATTTTACACTGCTTAGGGAAATTTTTTTAAATATTTATTTACCAATTGGTTAATGCTGGCACACAATCATCTGACCCATAGGTGGCAGCCATCTCAAGCCAACGGACGAGAGGACTCTAGCCGCCCCAATGTCACGCATATAAAGGATTATAGTGAAAAACTTAGTTTTTACGGGTTACTTTTTCCGACCAATAATATTGTGTGAAGTCAAAAGCTGTTGTCCTTATGGATAGATAGTCCCTCTCCATAGACACTTCCTTACTTTCTTTCTTCCAAAGAAGCCACTGGAGCTATGCACTTTTAAATGTAGATTGCAAACTAATTTCTTTAGAACTGATTGTTGTTGTTGTTAGTGTGTTGTCCTTCCCCCACACCTCCGATTAGCAGAGTTGGCTTCGTATGGTGCGAAAGAAGTTCAACATACATACATACACGTAGATACATGTACTTAACGCTGGCTCAGAACTACAAATAGAAGATCCCCGCTATCTGACTTGAGCGCATGATGTCCGACGTCTCGCTTCGCACGCTGGGACCTTCAGGAATTTTATTCTAAGCTCCCAGCGAGTGCAGCGAAACGTAGGACATCGTTGCCGAACAACACGTGGTACAACCCTACAAAGATAAAGACCCCCTGTATAGCCTTGGCAAACTATTGGGGCAGGTGCTGTTAGTGAGCATCTATGAAGGCCCGTATGGCACACGAGGGGGGTGGGTGGCCAGCACCATGCACGGCCGCATTTATCTACCTCGTGGAGATATTTACACTCCACACAAGGTACTCTTTTTAGGCTGAGTCGATCTACACACAAGCACGCGACCGCTCACCTACACGCACACACACGTGTCGGAGAGTTTCACAGCCCCACAGCAACAACAAACGTAGCGGGAGAGCGTCTGCAGAATGTCACTCCCATCGAGATGGAAGCAGCGAACAGTTCTCACTTGTGGGATGCGGGCCGTGGTCGCGTGCATCCGGCCTGGTTCTGGTGGCGACTCACGGTGCTGTCGCCACACGCCGCCAATCCCCCTCCCTCTCTCCCTCCCTTTCGCTCGCTTGCTTGCTCGCTCTCGCAGATGGACGTGTTCCGGCTGGAGGCCGTTTCCCTGGGGGAGCTCCGCAAGGTGGTGATCGGTCACGACGGCACGAGCCCAGGTGACGTTCCGAAAGCATGGCCGACCGTGGCTCGACCGGCTTCAAAATTCCCCCCCCCCGCTTTCGTTCGAATGAGCGCCGCTATCGTCGTTAGAGCGCGCCGCGTAGTAAACTGGCGAGACTGATCGAGGTTTTTTGCGTGAGCCTGCTCCCCCGACTCCTCGCGCAGCTACGAACCCTTTCATTCTGCTGCAGGGCAAGGCTGGTTCCTGGACAGGGTCGTCGTGAAAGTGACGGGCAGCGAATTGGACAGGGAATACGTCTTCCCGTGCGAGAGGTGGGTACGTGTGCATGAGAGGGCACCGTCGTGGCGAGATGTTCACTACCTCGCCTGGTTTATCGAAGGTCGTGGGCTCGATCCCGACCCTGACGCCTGTATCTTTGGAGTTTGCGTGTCCCTCTCCACGTGGTTGCGTGGATTTTCCTCCGGATCCTCCGGTCAACATGCATTTAAGAGTACTTGACTGCTATACATTTACACGTGATAAGCCACTTCGTTGAGCTATCATTTGTGGCCAAGTCGCTTCTGAAAGAGAGCTATATGGCTTAGTGGGCCTTACCTGGTAAAACAAAAAATTGTTTAGTTTAATAGAAGAAAAAAGTTTTTATTTAGCGTATACCCATCTCGTGGTGCCTGTGTATGTGATGTGCGCTGGAAGTGGCGACGCAGCGATTAGCGTGCCGCGCTTCGAACCTGCTGACCTGAGTTCAATTCCTGGCCACTGTTGAGACAACCTCTGCAGTCTGCACGGTGTGGGGAGGCCCTTTTTCAGCAATGGATTAACAAAGAGGCTGTACACATACATTATCAATATTATAAGCTAGCCTTTTGCCCATCCTAGGACGGAAGCTGTAATAGTTACGTAAAGAAACGTCTGCGTAGAGTTATTTATTTTGAGTAACTTTCAAGAAAGAAACGTCAAATTTAAAGCGAATTTGCGTAAATTTTTTTTATTGCTTATGATAGTAATGACGGGGGGCCTATTTTGCAGTGACGTCACGTACGGATGTAGCACTGTGCTGCGTAGATTTATTGTTGACCGTCACTTTCTGTAAAGAAACGTCGTCATATTTGAAGCGACTTTGCAGAAAAAAAAATCTTTCCACTCGACCTTTTTCCGCGTGAGTGTAAAAATTCACCCGCTCATGATTATTTTAATGACGGGAGCGGGGTGCGGCATGTGGAGTGACGTCACGCGCGTTACACATATTTCTGGGCTATTGTACTAGTAATCAAGGCATCGTTTCACACCTATGCGCTTCTCCGGCCGTCTCGAACACTCTTCCTTCCGATATTAGGAAGCCTCTGGAGCTATGGCACTTTTACATCTAGATTGAAAACTCATTTCTTTTGAACTGCTTTTGATGTTTAGTTTGTTGTCCTTCCCCTGCACCTCCGATTAGAATGGTTGGCTACGTACAGTGCAAAAAAAGTTCAACATACATACGTACATAGTGAGCGTGGCAGTGAGAGGAAGGCCATCACGTTCGCAGGCCATAACGCATTTCGTGCGACATGTGGCATGAAGGTGGCTGGACCAGGGCAGGGATGACGGAAAGGTGGAGCGGGAGCTGGAGGCTCAAGGTAAGTCCAGGTGGAACCACGCGCGGCCATGTGCGGCGAGGGTGGCCGGGTGGTGAGGGCTTACACGGTGCTCGTGTCACGAACCGCGAGCCCGCACGGTCGAGGGACTTATCTTATATCATCTAGATTTTATACATAGCGCCTTATTCCGAGGCGCTTTACAGCATTTATTTTTTAAAAACTGGTATGTACGATGAAAGTGGTTGAGGTAAAGGGTGGGGTTATTAAAAGTGGTGGTGTGGTGATGGTGACAGTTGGGAGAACAGGCGAGAGAGGTTAATGGAAGGGGTTGGAATTCAGCAACCATGTTTTACCACAGGTTTTACATGCAAACATATTTTCACCACAAGTATGTGTGGTGAATGCAAGACTTGATGTCTCGTAATAGGTGTCACCTCCAATGAGCAAGGTTGTCCACGTACGGTGCAAAAGAAGTTCAACGTACAGTACATACATTTGGTGTGTGACATCTTAACGTCTCCCGTATTTACTTGCCAGAAAGGGCGAAGCCATTCCTTTATTTTTTATCGTCTTTGATTCTGGCAAAAAAATGGTCCCAAAGAGAGATCTCGGTTTTAAATGGGACCGGCCTCCGACGTGAGAGTGTACGGCCATGGCGGAGAATCTGACCTGCGCTCGTGACACTTTCTTTTGCAGCTCCCATACTGATTGGCAAGACTCCGAAAAAAGGTGAGTTTACAATCAAGGCCGTTTTTTTTTGGGTCGTTAACCCACCACCACCCGACACAGCCAATTAGTAAGGTTTGTAACGTACCAATCAGTTACTACTTCAGCACACCGGTGTGTTGGAGAGTAAACCCACAACATTTACAATTTGAGTACGATGTTTCGCTGGTAATTACATCCAGCATCATCGGGCGGTTTTGTAAATGCTATGGGCAAGTGTTGTTCGCGAGTACCCATGAAGGCCAGCACGGCTCATGATGGGGTGGGTGGCCAGCACCAGTCCTGACCCCTGTCTCCCCAGTGGCAATGTTCTCACTTGAGTCTGAGTCGACCTAGGGGAGGCCCATGACCTGTTCAAATAATCGTCGAGGGGGAATCGAACTCGGGTCGCCGGGTTCATAGCACAGCCTGCTAACCGCTGCCCCACCGCTCCCCCCCCCCCCCCACGCACACAGACACGCGCTACCGCGTGACGGTGATCACGGCGTCCGACTCGCTGCCCCCGCTGGGCGCCTCGGCCTCCCTGGTGGCCTACGGCGCGCAGGGCCGCTCCGACGAGATGACCCTGCCGTCCGTGCGACCGGGCCACATGGGTTTCCTGCCCGGCTCCTCCGACACCTTCCTGGTTCGACTGACACAGCCCCCTGGACAGAGCATTCACACAACAAAAACAACCGCCATTCGAAACTAAGTGGCGGTGACGTCACCACGGCGCTTGTGCCAGGCTATGTGCACGTTAAGGCCACGTGAAGTGTCAAATGCCCGTTGGCTGGAGGTCATGGGGCAGACCCAAGTGCCATGGGTCGACTGACTGAGATGATTGGCCGCTGCATTCACACACAGCCTGGCATCGCGTTGAATTCCACTTGTCCCTTTTTGTATGGGATGGAGCAGGGATCGGCAAACCTGTGGCACTGGAGGCTCGTGCGGCTCTTTAAGGACCGCTTCGTGACGTCATTTATTAAGGACCACCGTCTCGTATTCACCACGTGCAATGCGGCTCCTGAAATATTGAGTTTTTTTTCACGTAATTCGAAAAGAAATGGCTCTTCTTGTTATTCTGCTTGCCGACCCCTGGGAAAGAGTGTCGCCCTCTGAGCACGCATGTGGTTTTCTCCGGGTGCTCCGATTTCCTTCCTTATTAATCGGCCAATAACACCTTTATAAATATAGATAGAGGACTGCAGAACTTGCAGGGGATTGGGTGCTGGCTCACCGCACGGCTGCTTCTTTTCCCGCTCGCCTGTGGTTCCTCCTCACGCCTCCGAGTTGGTATCTGTCTTCGAGAGTGAGCAGCAAATGTTGCAGCGGACGTCGCATTACAAGTGGGAAATGTTACATTATTACGTGATGCATGGATCAGAAACGTGGACACTGACTAGGGATAAAATATGTAAGTATATATGTATATTGAACTTCTTCCGCACCGTACGTAGGCCAACCATTGTGGGGAGCGGTGGTGTAGCGGTTAGCGCTCTGCGCTCCGAACCCGGTGACCCGAGTTCGATTCTGGCTCATGACCAACACTGGTGACGATTATCTGAACCGGTCTTGAGCCTCCCCTAGGTCGACTCAGCCTCAAATGAGTACCTGGTGCAGTGTGTAATTATCACCACGAGGAAAACAAAGGCGACCGGGCGTGGTATTGGCCACCCACCCCCTCGTATGCTGTGCCGGCCTTCATAGATGCTCGCTAACAGCTCTTATAGAGGGGATATAGAGGGGATCTTTTTCTTGTACGTTTAACTTCTTTCGCACCCTTATGTCCCGAAACTGTCGAGCTCTCGCCTGTGGGCTCAATCCTGCAACTCCCCCCCCCCCTTCAGGTGGACCCGGGCGACGTGGGGGAGCTCTACAAGGTGCGGCTGAGCGTGGAGGACCCCTCCGAGTGGCAGGGCTGGCACCTGGATGCGCTGCGGCTCGAGGAGGTGGCCACAGGGCACGTACTGGCACCCGCCGATGCCCGCGGGTGGCTTTCGCGCACGCGGGGCAAGCGCGGTACCACGCGGGAGTTTGCCGTGGCCCCCGAGGGACGGCCGCTCCTGCCCGGTGAGCGGGTGGTTTTCTGGAAAGGGCAGCGGGAGGGGCAGTGGGTGATGGTGAACGTGTGCGTTTAGTTTCGTTTTCGTGTTTAGGCTGTCCCCCCCCCGCACCTTCAAGTAGCACGATTGGCTATATACGTTGCGTAAGAAGTTCGACATATACACGTACGTGTACACGCACAGTCCGGCAGCCTGGGAGCCTTCTGAATCAATGTGGTTTCCAGCAGCGTTTGTTTAAATGGGTAAAGGATGAACTGCTCTTTACTTTACCGGGTTTAATCATCATGATTCTATCCCAGGATCTCGGCTGAGCCTTCTAAGCTCTATTTGATGTTAACAAGATTGTTATCAATCACAGTAACAGCCCAATTTACGATATCATTGCCCAGGTAGACGTAGTCCTCAAAGGTTCGGGACACATCCCGGCAGACGTTGCAAGATCTGAAATCGCTGCTATCCTCAAAAATGCTAAGAAATCCATTAGCAACATCAGCAAGGATGAGCGTTTTGAACTCGCTCAATTGAAAAAGAGATATGACAATGTCGTCATGAATAAAACCACTTACAACAACACAATTCAGGACCTTCTTAATGATGGCAGCTATACCAAAATCAATAGAGATCCTACCAACTGCCTGGCCACGAAAACCAACATTATCACTAATTCGACTTCTTTAATCGAACCGACGTGGAGACTGCTAGACCACCCATATTTTATGGCCTTCCAAAATCCATAAAGAAGGTACTCCACTCCGTCCTATCGTCTCCACCATTAACTCACCCACCTACAAACTGGCCGGATTTCTGTCTTTCACGAGCAAGACCACCTCAGCTGTACTTAGCTCACTTGGTTTCTCTAATCAAGGACATATCTATGTCTACAGATGATTTGCTTGTCAGTTTCGATGTAGTCTCCCTGTTCACCAAGGTACCTGTACCTGACACTATTGCAATCATTGAAGACTTGGTCCAACAGGGCCTGAATCCTGATGTACCAACTTTGGTGAGGCACTACCTTATCAACACTTACTTCACCTGGAATGGTACATTCTACAAACAAAATGAGTTCTCCCTTGTCGCCAGTGGTCGCGAATGTTTTCATGGAGAAATTTGAGACAGATGCCATCCATACATCCACCCTACGTCCCTTCTTGTGGAAGAGATACGTAGATGACACGTTCGTCATCTGGTCACATGGCCTGTCAGCACTGAACCAATTTTTCAACCCCATCAATTCCATACACCCATCTATCAAATTCACCATGGAAGTGGAAATTGATGGCAAGCTACCATTCCTGGATGTTTTAATCTAGAAGAGACCTGATGGCTCGTTGGGACACTGTCTACAGGAAAGCCACCCACACTGATTCCTATCTAAACCCTGATTCCCACCACCATCCAGCCCAGAAGAATTCCCTCATCAAAACACTACACCATAGGGCCCATTGCATCTCCAACCAGCACCATCTATCCAGTGAACTGGAGTACGTACACCAAGCCCTCAAGATGAATGGATATTAGGACCGCACAATCCGCAAAGCTGTATCCCCAACCATGGGTAAAGAACCATCTGAGGACCCAATCAAAACCATCACCTTGCCATACATAGCAGGGGTTACCAAAAATATTCCCAAAATCTTGAACAAACATAAGATTCAGATTCGATTAAACACAGTACACAAATTCCGTGACTTGATCCCATCTGTGAAAGATGTGATTCCTGACATGCAATACCCTGGTGTCTACAAACTAAGTTGTGTCTTTCGGTAGCAGTTACATTGGGGAAACGAAACGACATGTCTCGGACCGTGTTCGCGAACACAAGGCAGATTTGAAACACGGCAAAACCAATACCTCTGCCATGGCTGATCACTGCTTGAACACGGTGGGCTCACACAACATAGTCTTTTCCGAGACCAAGGTACTCTGCCCTTCGGGCTACCATCAAAGATGTGTTCATGAAGCCATCCAGATATATAAACACAGACATAACTTCAACCGATAAGATGGGTACAAATTGAGCAATCATTGGAAGGACGTTATTAACCAAGGAAATCCTTAACTGGTTGTTGATGTTTCCATCTTACCTGCCATTGTGAGCAGTTATTTCCGACTCTCTGAGTTACATTACCAATTTACATTACCAGGTAAAATGTCTTTACATTAACGGACTAAATGTCTCACTAACAAAGCCAACGTTGCCCCTTTCCCTCGATGTGGCGGTGGCTCTTGTTTTTTAGCAGACTATAACTGGCTGTGATGTTATTGTGTGTGTGTCTCTCTCTGTGTGTCTTTTTGTGTCTCTCGGTTTGTGTGTGTCTCTCTCTGTGTGTCACTTTGTGTGTGTCTCTCTCTGTGTGGGCATGTCTTTCTGCGTGTGCTTCTCTCTCTGGGTGTCTCTCTGTGTGTGTCTCTCTCTTTGCATGGGTGTGCCTCTCGGTGTGTGTCTCTCTCTCCTTCCCACGATGTGGTGTTGTCCCTCGTTTTTTTCCCCTCGTTTTCTAACGAGCTGGATGTCTCACTAGCACAGCCACCGTTGCGTTGGTTCGTTTGCATTGACATGCTCATCTCTCACAATACAATGGCCACCTCCTCAGCTCTCGCATCACCCCCCCTCCCCAATCTCGGTTCCCATCTTGGGATTTCCCACTCGCTTAGGCACAATCTCTAGCCCCCATCCTCTTGCCCGATGTGGCAACCCCTCCTCCATCCCTCTCGGCTCTATATATAAGGACTTGTTTCAGCAGCCTGTTTCTCTCTCCCACCTGAAGACGATTGCTTGTGTGGCGATAGAAACCTCGTGATCTATTATTTTTTCTACCGACGTGACTTTACCGAAAGAACCAAAGAGTATAGATTCCAGCAGTAATCACCCTAATCGTATTTTTGCATTGTTTGTTGTAACGTTCCGATCTGTCCCTACAGGACATCTGTAAACAAGAGCTTCATAGCTCATCGGATTCCTCCAGTATAAATAAATATTATAATTCGGGCGAGTATTTGTTTGGCCATTACCTTGACCGTGATTCAAAGTGGCGTCGTGCATCACAGTAGGAGATAAGAGCCCATGTCGGCAGAGGCTACTTTTAGATAAATTAACAAGTGACAAAATTACTGTCTCATTAACTCTTAACTAATTAACTATTAACGATTGGACCTGCAGAGAAACGGGATCCACTTGCATTCCCGTCCTCTATGTGGCGGCGGCTCTGCGATCTTACATTGACATGCTAATCTCTCAATACAATGGCCTCCTCCGCACCCTCATCGTGGAGGTAGCTCTCCAATCTTACATTGACATGCAAATTTCTCACTGTAACACCACTAGCCCCGCCCACTTCGTTTATGACCCTTGGGCTACACCCATTTCAAACCGTTAAAACAGCCTGCCTCAGCAGCTTTTCCCCCTCTTTTTTCTCCTGATGACCAATTGCTTGTGTTGGTATCGAAACATCGTGATATTTTTATTATTTTTTATTCACTTTATCTTTTTATTTATCATTTCATTGTTATTATTTTTTCTATCTAAGTGATTTTACCGAAAGACCCAAAGAATATGAATTCCTGCAGTCACGAAAGCTTTAAGTCAGGATTTAAAAATGTCAAATAGAAATGGGGAAATTATTTATTAAAAGATATTCTGAACGTTGACAGTGAACAACTATCTTGCCCCTGCCCGTCGCACCCCCCCCCCCGCCTCACGGTGCCAGTCCATCATTACGTGGTGTCCGTGCACGTGGGCGAGCGGTGGGGAGCCGAGACGTTTGCTGGCGTGTACATGACGCTGTATGGGGAGGCGGGCGACACCGGCTGTCGCAAGCTGCTGCGCTCGCTGCAACCGGGTCTCAAGTTCCAGCGGGGCCGGGTGAGTGATCCCGCTGGGCCGGTGGTGGAGGTGCGGCAAAGTTCCAGGTTCCTGGGGGGACCTCTGCGTGTTATTTCCTCCGTCTCCACGGCGGACGTGTCCTCGATCGCGTTCTCTCCTTCGTTGATACTTTGTTATAATTTTCTGACCCGCCCCTTCTGGACATCTGTGAAGAAGAGCTTCATAGCTCATCGGATTTCTCCATGATAAGTAATGATTCTGATTCTGACGAAACGATCCTCGCCCGCAATCCCGCTCACGTTTATTAACGTTCAACTCGACGTTTCCGCGCCGCGCACAGACGGACTCTTTCCTGGTGGAGGCGGTGTCGCTGGGGCAGGTGCGCAAGGTGGTGATCGGGCACGACGGGGAGGGATATGGCTCGGGGCTCTTCGTGAAGATGGTGACGGTGCGCGAGTCCAACTCGGCGGCGCGTGAGTCGCTCTTCCCGTGCTGGGCTTGGCTCGACGACCACATGGGCGAGCGCCGCACCGTGCGCAAGCTCCATCTCCTGGGTGAGGCGACGCGGCGCACTGGCACGGTACACTGGCATGGGATGGCACACTGGCACGGTACACTGGCATGTCACACTGGCACACTGGCACGGCATGGCACACTGGCATGGCATGGTGCACTGCCATAGGTAAACAGACTGTATTTGTTTAAACGTTAATCTAACTCCGCTGGTTCCAGCTCTCAGAATTCAAATTCGGGTTTTGTTGATATTCAACAATCGCTGCTTTCCATGACATGTCAAAAGTGTCGTTGACCTCATGGACAGTCACAGAATGCTGGTTCCGAGGTTCTGTGCTTTATCGTGTTGTGCCCGCATGCCTTGCCAGGCGAGAGGGCCGTGGCGGAGACGCCGAACCATCTCACGGAGTCTCGCCAGGCAGAGCGGAAGGAGGAGGAGGAGGAGAAGGATGACCTCTCGTCCACCTCGCAGTGGAAGATCACTGTGCTGGGAGCTCCCCGCTCCGACGGGGAGGAACAGGAGGAGGAGGAAGAAGGGAAGGAGGAGAAGGAGGAGGGGAGGGAGAAGGGGGAAGGAAAGGGTGGGGAGCACAGGGAGGCCCGGGCACCCCCGCACCTCCGGTTGGCGCTGTACGGCACGCGGGGCAGCGCCGTCCTGCACACCCATGTCCTGTCCTCCTGCCACGAGCTCACGGTGCCCCCCCCACTCCTCCGCCCTCCCGACCCCCCACCGCACCCCGGCACTTCAGTCGATCTTTATTTAACGTGGCAATATCGTCCTCAATGAAGTCGGCATTGGTTGCACATTACAGCAGAATGGGAACGCTACAGCGTACAGGAGTGTGGAACAAAAATAAAAAATACAAAAAATCCCATCACAACCTCAGCGGCTAACACCGAATGAGCAAAAGAAAGTGCAACCGTGCGCAATGAAGACATTGCATTTATATTTGTTAGCGAGGTTGGCTTCTTGCGGTGTGAAAGACGTTCAACATACATAGATACATGCAAAATATACGTGACGGAAGATAAACAATGGAATTTTTTTTTTTTATTGTGTGGGAAGGCAAGTCGGAACAGGTGTATCTTGCGTAGGCCACAACATTGAGTGACGCTCAACGAATTCCGGACGACCGGTGGCAGGGCGGTAGTGGCATGTTTATTTTGTTGCTCGTCTGTGCAGGATGGGGCCGTTCTGCTCTCTCTCCAAGATTTGTCAATCGGTTCATCGTCGTGCGACACGACGCCGACATCACCATTTGTGTTTTGTCACAGAGGCAATATTTGCCTTCAGTTAGCGCCGAAGGCTTGGGCACGGAAAAGAAAGACAAGTTTCTCACGGTAGCTTGTGAGCCAGACGAGCAATGGGGTCATGTTCCTAGGGCGGTGAGTTGATCTTCTCGGCCTCATGGCCAATCGCTGTACAAACAAAAAAATCACTACGTCTGGGGTCTTCACGCAACTCCGTTCATTCCAGCCACGAACATTAAATTCCTCACGATGACCACTCCTCACAGGGAATATCATAAACGTTCTGCGCGATTCGTCTTGCGACCTTACGCTGGGATCACCGTGAGAACGCGTCGTCTGCTGCCCCCCCCCCCGCATCCCTCCCCCCCCGTGCAGTGGGACGTGCCGCGCGTGGGGGAGCTGTTGAAGCTGCGAGCGTCCGTGGACCCCGAGGACGACGTGACCTCCGTGCCGCAGGAGGGGGGTGGCGGCGGCGGGGCCGGCGGGGGGAGTGGTGGGGGCTGGGGAGCTCCCCTGCCGGCGTGGCTCCTGCGAAGCGTGCGTTTCACGCCCCCCGCTGGGGGGCCCCCCGAGACGAGTTTCCTCGTCGAGGCGTGGCTGGGCGGGGGCCCCGGTGGGCGCTACGACGCCGAGGTACCGGCGCTGCGGCCAGGGGTCGACCCGCTCCCCGGTGAGTACGTGTGTGCGTTGCGTGTGTGTGCGTGTGTCCGTGTGTGCTTGTGTGCACGTGCGCATGCGTCAATGGAGGAGCTTCGTCAAGGACGCTACTGGACATTCGGTGGCAGTCGGCCTCCAGCAGCAACGGAGGGCGACGCTCGCAACGACGAGCGAAGCGTCAGGCGGCTAAAACGCAGCGAGTTGGCACAGTAGGGAGCATAAGCGGTACATCTGTCAGTCATCTCAGTCAGTCGACCAATGGCACCTGGGTCTGTCCCGTGAGCTCCTGTCAGCGACGAGCCTTCGATACTTCACGTGCAATTAAAGTGCACCTCGCCGAGCGCAAGCACTCTGGTGACGTCACCAGAACTTTGTGGCGAATTGTGGCTCTTTCTGTCCGTTCATTTGTGTGCACACATGTATATTGTTGCAGTATTGTAGTGGTTAGCGCACTGCACTAGGAAGCTTGTGAACCTCGCGAACCTGGCGACGCGAGTTGGATTCCCGCTCACTGTCAATATCAGTGCCGAATATCTGAACCCTCAGTTGGCTCAGCCTTCAATGAGCACACGGTGCGGCGGGAAAAGGCAGCCAGGTGTGTTTGCCTGCCACATCGCCCCCTCGAGCGCTGCGTCAGTCGCTAACGGCGATCCGCGTGGGTTTATGCGCGCGCAACGTCGTTCGTCTCTCTGCGTCCGCGCCACTGTCGCCACACGTGACCCCCCTGCCTGCCGCTGTCGCCGCGCGTGACCCCCCTGCCTGCCCCTGTCGCCACGCGTGACCCCCCTGCCTGCCACTGTCGCCGCGCGTGACCCCCCTGCCTGCCGCTGTCGCCACGCGTGACCCCCCTGCCTGCCACTGTCGCCGCGCGTGACCCCCCTGCCTGCTGCTGTCGCCGCGCGTGACCCCCCTGCCTGCCACTGTCGCCACACGTGACCCCCCTGCCTGCTACTGTCGCCACACGTGACCCCCCTGCCTGCCACTGTCGCCACACGTGACCCCCCTGCCTGCTACTGTCGCCACACGTGACCCCCCCTGCCTGCCACTGTCGCCACACGTGACCCCCCTGCCTGCCACTGTCGCCACGCGTGACCCCCCTGCCTGCCACTGTCGCCACGCGTGACCCCCCTGCCTGCCACTGTCGCCACGCGTGACCCCCCTGCCTGCCGCTATCGCCACGCGTGACCCCCCTGCCTGCCGCTGTCGCCGCGCGTGACCCCCCTGCCTGCCGCTGTCGCCACGCGTGACCCCCCCCCCCCTGCCTGCCACTGTCGCCACACGTGACCCCCCTGCCTGCCACTGTCGCCACACGTGACCCCCCTGCCTGCCGCTGTCGCCGCGCGTGACCCCCTTGCCTGCCACTGTCGCCACACGTGACCCCCCTGCCTGCCACTGTCGCCGCGCGTGACCCCCCTGCCTGCCACTGTCGCCACGCGTGACCCCCCTGCCTGCCACTGTCGCCACACGTGACCCCCCTGCCTGCCACTGTCGCCGCGCGTGACCCCCCTGCCTGCCACTGTCGCCACACGTGACCCCCCTGCCTGCCACTGTCGCCACACGTGACCCCCCTGCCTGCCACTGTCGCCACACGTGACCCCCCTGCCTGCCACTGTCGCCACGCGTGACCCCCCTGCCTGCCACTGTCGCCACGCGTGACCCCCCTGCCTGCCACTGTCGCCACGCGTGACCCCCCTGCCTGCCGCTATCGCCACGCGTGACCCCCCTGCCTGCCGCTGTCGCCGCGCGTGACCCCCCTGCCTGCCGCTGTCGCCACGCGTGCCCCCCCCCCCCCTGCCTGCCACTGTCGCCACACGTGACCCCCCTGCCTGCCACTGTCGCCACACGTGACCCCCCTGCCTGCCGCTGTCGCCGCGCGTGACCCCCTTGCCTGCCACTGTCGCCACACGTGACCCCCCTGCCTGCCACTGTCGCCGCGCGTGACCCCCCTGCCTGCCACTGTCGCCACGCGTGACCCCCCTGCCTGCCACTGTCGCCACACGTGACCCCCCTGCCTGCCACTGTCGCCGCGCGTGACCCCCCTGCCTGCCACTGTCGCCACACGTGACCCCCCTGCCTGCCACTGTCGCCACACGTGACCCCCTGCCTGCCACTGTCGCCACACGTGACCCCCCTGCCTGCCGCTGTCGCCGCGCGTGACCCCCTTGCCTGCCACTGTCGCCACACGTGACCCCCCTGCCTGCCACTGTCGCCGCGCGTGACCCCCCTGCCTGCCACTGTCGCCACGCGTGACCCCCCTCCTGCCACTGTCGCCACACGTGACCCCCCTGCCTGCCACTGTCGCCGCGCGTGACCCCCCTGCCTGCCACTGTCGCCACACGTGACCCCCCTGCCTGCCGCTGTCGCCGCGCGTGACCCCCCTGCCTGCCACTGTCGCCACACGTGACCCCCCTGCCTGCCACTGTCGCCGCGCGTGACCCCCCTGCCTGCCACTGTCGCCACACGTGACCCCCCTGCCTGCCGCTGTCGCCGCGCGTGACCCCCCTGCCTGCCACTGTCGCCACACATGACCCCCCTGCCTGCCACTGTCGCCGCGCGTGACCCCCCTGCCTGCCACTGTCGCCGCGCCAGCGCTGCTGTACGTGGTGGAGGTGCACACCGGGGAGGCGCGCGGCGGCGGGGCGGACGGCCGCGTGTGCGTCCACCTGCACGGGGAGCGCGGCGACTCGGGCCGCCGCTGGCTCGATGGCCGCCCCCGCGCATTCCGCAGGGGACAGGTGAGTGTAAGGGGGGGGGGGGGGCGGCACCTAGTTCTTCGCTAGTGCCGTCGGGTATGGGGGCACACCCCATAAGAAGAGGGTAAGTGGTCGAATTCGGCAATGCATGTGAATACAAGACGGTGGTTCTTTATAAACAGCGTCAGGAACCAGTCCTTAAAGAGCCGCATGCGGCTACGAAGCCGCAGGTTGCTGACCTCTGCCCTAGTCTAAGAGATTGCCAGGCGGTGACCCCTTCACCTTTACTGGAAATTGAAATTAAACTATACTCTTTGGGTCTTTCAGTAAAGTCACGTAGGTAGAAAAACAATAGATCACGACGTTTCGGACGCAACACAAGCGTCCGTCATCAGGCGAAAAATTGTGAGAAAGCTGCCACAAGCAAGGGGTTATATAAGTAAATGTAAGGCAAACAGCTAATCCGAGGAGGGGGAGGGATGGGAGGGGGGCTGCCATAACGAGTGAGCGGGTGGGGATGCAATTTACAGAGGGATTGGGGGCAGGAGGAGAAAAAAGCTGTGTTAGTGAATGTGACTCAGAAAGCCGAGAGAAGCTGCTAACAGAGGCGGGCAGGAAGGGGACATCACAGCCAGTTATGACCTAAACTGGTTAATAACGTCCTTCCAATGATTGATCAGTTTGTACCCATCCTCTCAGTTGAAATTGTGTCTGTGTTTATATATCTCGATGGCTTCATGGACAAATCTTTGATGGTAGCCCGAAGGTTTTCAGAGTACCTTGGTCTCGGAACAAACAATATCACAGTGATCAGCCACGGCAAATGCGTTGGTTCTGCTGTGTTTCAAATCTGCCTTGTGTTCACGAACACGGCTTATCATCTGGACTATTATAGCAGCTAAATGTGAATGGGAAAAACTGCGGGACCCGGAGAAAAATCCACGCGACCACGGGGAGAGAGACACGCAGACTCCAAATATACAGGCTTCAGGATTGGGATCGAACCCACGACCTCCTGTATACCAGGCGAGGCAGCTAACATCTCAACATGCAAACTCCAAATATCCAAGCGAGAGAGGTAACATTTTGCCACCGCGGCGCCCCAACATGTAACCAGACAGTGGAAAAACCTGAGGCGGAGTGCCTCTCCTGCTCCATGTGGAGCCGTGATATACCACCACTGACACTTGCCACTGTATCGTCCCCCCATGCCCCCCCCCCCGCCGTGCCCTTCCGTGTCTGCCCATACCCCCCCCCCCCCCCCCGTGTGCAGGTGGACGTGTTCAAGGTGGAAGCCGTGCACCTGGGAGAGCTGCGGTTGGTCACCGTGGGCTACAGTGGCCACAGGGAAGGTGCGGTGGCGATGGCTCGGCCTGGGGGTGGGAGAGAATGTTTATAAGCCGTCCTTCCCTGCGTGCTATCTTTTCGTCACAATTTTGCTGTGGTACAGCCATGCATGGTGTAAATATTAAACCGCCGTCGCCGTGTGCGGTTTTACCACGTTAGTGGGGTTGTCCCCCATCATATCGCCATGGTGGTGAGATGTTAACTACCTCGCCTGTTATACAGGAGGTCGTTGGTTCGATCGCAACCCTGATATTTGGAGTTTGCATGTTCTCCCCCATGGTCGCGTGGATTTTTATCCAGGCCCTCCGGTTTTTCCCTCCACATTTAGAAACATGCATTTAGAGTGTTTGGCTGATACAAATGTCCACGTGATAAGCCACTTCGTTGAGCTATTATTTGTGGCCAGGTCGCTTCTTAAAAAGAGCTATATATATATATTCATATTCTTAGGTTTTTTTCGGTAAAGTCATGTAGGTAAAAAAATAAAATTAATAAAAGTAAAATAAAATAAATATAAAATAAAAATCACGACGTTTCGGAGGCAACACAAGCTTCCGTCTTCAGGTGGAACCGTCACATCACGCTTGCTGTATCAAGTAAATGATAAATTCCAAGAGATACTACCCCGTATATATACTGGTTGAGGGGGGGGATGAGCCAGGACAGGCCCCCTTTTTATTATTATGGTAAGGTTGGTGCGGCTTGAGACTATGGCTAGTCTACATAACAAAGGACTGAGCCTTTGTTATGTTTATTTTACTTTTATTTTTTACCTACGTGACTTTTCCGAAAAAACCTAAGAATATGAATTCTTGCAGTCACGAAAGCTTTAAATCTAGAATTAAGAGCTATGTAGCTCAGTGGGCCTTACCTGGTAAAATAAAAATTGTTTAGTTTACATCAATGTGGAATTACCACCCATGTCTGTGACTCTCGTGGTGGTAACGTAATTCTCGCTGTTGTATTTGTGGGTCACTGTGTGTGCGTCCGCTTTTGCGCGTGCATGCAGTTGTGTGCACAGTGCGTGCACATGCTGACGTGTGTGTGCTGTTACGCGTGCTGTTATGTACACGATGTCAATGCGTATGCTGTGCATGCTGCATGTGCTGCGCTTGATGTGTGTGCTGCGGTTGCTCTGCAGGGGGCTGGCTGCTGGAGCGCGTGGTGGTGACCGAGGGGGAGGCCGCCATGCATCGCTGCGTCTTCTCCCACGGCGGCTGGATCATGGCGGCGCCGGGCGGGGGTCACGGGCCCGTGGAGGTGTCACTCTCGCTCACGGGTGCGACCTCGCGACCTTGCGACCTCACGATCCGGCGACCTCACGACCTTGTGACCTTACGCATCAACAAGCGACGCGGAGAGGAAGCTCTCGACTGCCTCGCCCGATGCGTCCCCGCGTTCTGCGATCTCATTGCTGCGTCCATGTCGCCCCCCCCCCCCCCCCGCCATCACTCTCCCACCGCTTCCTGTGCCCCGCAGAAAAACTGAAGGTGCTGCCGCCCGACCGGGCGAGGGGGGCGGCCGCACCGAGCAGGGGATTGTGGGACGCGTGGGTGATGTCGGCCGAGGCGGAGGGCCCGGGCATCTGGCCGCCGGCGGTGCACGCCGTGGCGTACGGAACGCTGGGGAAGTCGCCGCCGCTGCCCATCGGCAACGTGAACGACCGGCCCTTCCTGGTGAGACGGCCACGACGAGCTCCGAGAGGAGAGCGACCCAACGTCCCCGGTGCGGCCGGGATAGGGCCCGCGGTTTGCGAAAGCCTGTCCTGGTTTTTTTTCCCGAAAGCTTCGTGAAAATGATGATCTTGTCCCACTTTAAAGTGTTCCGGCTTCTCGCTCAAATTATGATACGGGCAAAAGATTGTGGGTTATACCCGAGCACTGGGCGGTGTTGGAAGTAGCATAGGCACCTGGGAGCCGTATGGGTGGCTTTGCGAGACTCCTCCGAGTGGTGAATCGTTCACGCGGTTTTTGATCAGGAGGCTAAAACTAAACTATAAAAAAAGATATTTTACCAAGTAAGGCTCACTGATCTGTATAGCTTTTTTTCAGAAGCGACCTCGCCACAAATGATATCATGTGGAGATTTATCGCAGCCAAATACTCTGAATGCACATTTACTAAATGTGGAGGGAAAAACCGGAGCACCCGGAGAAAAATCCACGTCACCACGGGGAAAACATGCAAATTTAAAATAGACAGCAGGCGTCAGGATCGGGATCGAGCCTACGACTTCCTTCCTGCATACCAGGCGACGGAGTTAACATCTGGCCACCGTGGCCCCTCACAAGATCGCGCGTTAGATACCGGCGGACGTTGACGGGCGTGCAGCGTGACGTGATGTCGCGTGAACTCTGTCGCCCGTGCCGCCCGTGTCTCGGTGGCAGCTGCATATCGGCGATGTCGGGGACCTCAGGAAGCTGTCCTTCGTCTGCACCGAGGGTCTGCATGGGAAGGGCATCCTCCTGAGCAAGGTGCCCCCCCCCCCCCCCTACCTCCTCCCCCAAATGCTCGCTGGTCACAGAATGAATTTGTTCCGCACACTTACAGCCTCGCCTGCCAGTGGGCATCGGGATAATTAGTTGGCTATGCGTAAGGTCACCAATCGTAAGGTCACAGGTTCAAAGCCTAGTCAAGGGGTCGACTCAACCAATGATCAACAGCTTCGTCATTATCAGTCATAATCGTGAGAATGATTTGTCGTTGATAGAGTCACTGCCTTTCACGCCAGGGCATCTCAGAGCACTCTACGCGCGATAAGGAACTTACGCCACATCTCACCTCGACACATTCGAAAGGCACCCTCAATGACAGCTGTCTCTGTGTGGCACAAGGTGACCCAGCACCTGGCCTGCAAGTGGGCATGAGTCTACCGGTAGAGGGCGATGATTATCACGTGTAATGCCAAATAAATAATATGCGGTCATTTTTTAATTTGGCAAAATTAGCACCGCGACGCCGGCACACAGTGGCCGATTTTGTGATGACTACAGGAGGTCTTTAACGTGCGCTGTGAAGGTAACGGCGCGTGGCGTTTTTATGATTATTGCACCTCCGATTTTCACGGTCGACTACGTACAGTGCGAAAGAAGTTCAACATGCACCCGCAGTATTAACTGCAACAGGCGGTGAACGCGCCACCGATAGGCCACGTCACTGCCCCACCATCAGCAGCATTCCTCTAGGGTCCCTGACATTTTTTCCGCTTTGTTGGCAGTTATTGACCTTGAGAATTACCACCGAACCCCTTTGGTCACCAGGCGCCGTCTGCCCGTGTTTCCAGGTGCGCCTGAAGGACCGTGACACGCGCGAGGAGCTCGGCTTCGAGGCCGCCGACGTGTGGCTGTTTGGCAAAGACGGCACGGAACCCGTGACAGAGCTGGCGGTGATCCGGCCGGACTGCCAGCCCCTCCTTGGTGAGGCGCGGTCTCCCTCCCCGTGCGACGATCCATTCGTCATCGTCGTCGCGTCACCGTCATTGAATTATAAACTTTGTGATCGTCATCATTATATGAAATCATCATTGTCATCCGCATAGTTACCTTGAACTTGAAATTACCTTCATCACCGGCCATCATTATCATGAGTCATCCGCATCACCACCATCATTCTTGAAAAATGTTGTGGTCATCTTAATTCACTTGAAACCACCGTCATCATCATCATTGTCACCACCACGATGTTCACACCCCTGGGCCTGTGCCCAGCAACCACGATAACAAATAACTGATGTGCCCCACACCGCACACCCTCCTCCTCTCCCACCCCCCTCCCCCCCCCACGTGTGCCGCTCGGCACGCGCGCAGACGTGGAGTACGAGGTCCGCGTGCGCACCGGGGACGTGCCGGCCGCGGGCACCCACGCGCCCGTCCACCTCACGCTCGTCGGGGAGTTCGGTGACACGGGCCCCCGGCCGCTGCGTCGCGGCGATCACCGCGACGCCTTCCTCCGCGGCCAGGTCCGGGTCTCGCCCCCCCCATCCCATCGTGCGCCGCCAATCCTGCGCAGCAACCCTGACATGCCGTCGCCGCTCGTTAACCGCACGCACGTCCCCACTCACAAGCCCGACGGCAACTGCGGTGACGTCGCCGCAGTACTTGTGCCAGGCTAGGTGCACCTTGAGGCCACGTAAAGTGTCGGAAGGCTCGCTGACAGGAGGTCACGGGACAGACTCAGCAGGTGCCGTGGGTTGAGTGACTCGAGATGACTGCTGCCAGATGCGCCAGCTGGGCCGCCTGCTGTGCCAACTTGCTGCGTTTTAGCCGCCCGGAGCTCCGCTCATTGTTGTGAGCGTCGCTCCTCTGCCCTCCGTTGTTGCTGGAGAGCGATTGCCTCCAACTGCCCAGTACCATCAATCACGAGCTTCCTCCTCCACAAGTTCCTCATTTCAGGCTGAGTCGACCTAGGGGGGGCCCAGGACCGGTTCAGATCATCGTCACCGGTGTTGGCCGTGAACGGTAATCGAACTCGGGTCACAGGGTTTGGAGGGCAGAGCGCTAACCACTACACCACCGCTCCCCACAACGGTTGGCTACATAGGGTGCGAAAGAAGTTCAACATACATATATATACGTGTGCCTTGCATATTTTATTCCTCGTCAGTGTCCACATTTCTGATAACATACATCACGGAATAATGTAACATCACCGGGATCGTAGCGCACCACCGCTCCCTACACACGCGCGCGCTCACAGACGCTCACGCACGCACGACCTCTGCATCCATCCACCGACCCCACGTCTGAAATGCCGCGTCGGCACCGCGCGTGCGCTGCAGACGTCGATGTTCGCGGTACGCGCCGTGGATCTGGGGCCGCTGACGTCTGTGCGGGTCGGCGTGCGCGCCGCCGGGCTCGGCTCGGGCTGGTTCCTCGACACCGTGGCGGTGCGGTGCTCCCCGGGGTCGCCGGGGTCGCGAGGGGCAGCCAGCTACGCAGAGCTCCTCTTCCCGTGCCGCCAGTGGCTCGACGACGGAGTCGGCGACCGCAGCACCGAGCGGACGCTGCGGCTGCTCGGGGAGACGCGGGACGGGCTCGGGGAGACGCCGGCGTCGCACGGTGAGAGGAGCTGGGGCCCTGCGGGGGGGGGAGCTCTGCCCGCTGTGAGGGAGGTTCCCCCCCAGGCCGAGTGCGGCTCTTTGAGGGCCGCTCTGCGACGTTTTTTTTTTATCAAGGACCCAACGTCTTGTATTCGCGTGCATTTGCGAAAAAAAATGTCTCTTCTTGTAAGTTTGGTTGCCTACCCCCTGCCCTAGGCAGACCTGCTTCCTGTTAGGTGAGCTAAGTGGAGGGTGAGCTGTGAGTAGGGTGAGCTGTGCGTAGGGTGAGCTGAGTGGAGGGTGAGTGACCAGCTTGCATATTGTTGAAAATGAGATGATCTATCTCAAGCGATTATCCAGGTGAAATGTGAGTATAATATAATAGATGTAATTAAAATCCACACAACAGGTGCTCTAGGGTAATGCAAGGCTTCATTGCTAGCAGAGGGCCATGCAGGGAATTCCATTGTTGCCGTCACCAATCTGCACCGAGCGGTGCGGTGATGTACGGTCAGATGACCCCCACAGCCCACACGGTTTTTGATAAGGCCCTCATCCAGCAGTGGATTTACAAAAGGGCTCTACGTATACAATCGGTTCTTAAAGCAAATGCGCTTGGGGTGCAGGGAGTGAGATGAAGTGGAAATTTGTTTTAATCCTTGCAAGAGGAGTATAATCTCTCCCTCTCTCCACGACTCTTTCTCCTTTTCCCTCTCCCTCCCTTCCTCTAACTCTTTGCCTCTCGTTTATTCTCCTTTCCTGCCTCTCCCTATCTCGCGCCACACATCTGTCTCTCGCTGCCCCTGTTCTGTCGCTGCAGGGGGCTCGTGGACCCTTCGCCTTCACACCGGTGACTTCCCGGATGCCGGCACGGAGCTGGGCGTCTCGGTGACGGTGTGCTGCCGGGCCGGCGCGGCGCTGCCCATCGGCGTGCCACGGGGGGCCCTGCGGGCCAGGGGCCGCCACTACGAGGCCTCGCTGGTGCTGCCCGAGGAGCTGGGCCCCGTCGTCAAAGTCCGCATCGAGATGGAGGAGGGCGAGGCCAGAGACAGCTGGTACTGCCGCAAGGTGCGTGAAGGGTGCGGTGGCAGCTGTAGTAGAAGCGGCGGCAGCGGCCGGCTGGCCGAATGGCCGGCCTTGTGTTGAACGCCGTACAGCTCAGTTCGACAGTACTTACCCCGTTATCTCCCTCCGTACATTAGCGCCCTCCACATTGAGTTTGTTGCAGTCTGTGGATGGTGCAGGGCTCACTCTTCTTTCGTACGGGGGCTGATGTAAATGCAGAGCAACAGCTACAATTTCACATTCGGGTGGTCAAAGCCAGACAACCGTTTTAGGAGCAGCGGAGTGTATCGCTGTGATGTGTCCTTCATATTTGTGGATCGAGCTCACTGATGAAACCTTACGTGTTAATGACTCCTACTTAGTACCGGGCTTTCCTTGGCAGTCAGATGCTGGCCATGGCTCGCTGATACCTTGGCTGAAGTTGACTTGCGCCCGTTTCTCTCACGCTGCTCGCCACCCGTAATAACAATGTCTCGCCGCGAACGCCTGTCGTTCGACAACTTGAGCGGCATTCATCAGTGAGTGAAACCTGGCTCGGTTGGAGTAGTTTCTGCCTTTTGTGCTGCACCCGACGACTTTTTTCTCCCCGCGCAGGTGACGCTCCGGCGGCGGCGGCAGGAGAGAAATGGAAGAGGAGGCTCAGGAGAAGAGGATGGCAAAAAGATTCTCAAGTTCCCGTTTGTGCGCTGGTTCTCACCGGATAATGGCGGACAGGTGTCCGAGCTGCCCCTGCTCTCGTCAGGATCGCCAGAATCGCCGATCCCTGTGGGTGAGTCTCCTCCGACCCCCTTAACCAGCCACGACCCCGATGGAGAACTCTGCTGTTACCTACAACATCATCCCCATCGTCACCATCGTCATCATCATCATCGTTCTTGTCATCAGAATGTTAAATGCTGGCACGTAGCTCTGCTGGTTCAGTAGCAGCAGCACGGCTGTCAGTTGTGGTGTCAAAAGTTTAATTTGTGACCAGAGCTGACTCAGCCCCATTAGCACAGTCATCACTGTCACATTCACTACACAACAATCATAATAATTATTATAATAAACACAATACTATTGGCTTGTAACGTGGACAACATTCGCTCGCTCACGAAGAGAGAGAACGACTCAGAGGGGTGCGAGGAGGAACCACAGGTGGACGAGAAGGGAGCCACGTGGTCAGCCGGCACCAACAATCTACAGACTGCTTTGTGGTCCTCTATATATTAAGGAGTTGTCGTCCAATCAATGTGAGGGGGCAACACTCTATCCCAAACATATGGAACAGGTGAGGTCCACAATGTTGCTGTACTGCCTTCTAGCAGAGCCAGGGTATGGCTCCTCCTCGAATCCCATGTGAAGGGAGTTTCACAACTTTTGTGTGAGCCACCAACCCTCACCTCCACAGTGCTGGATTACAGACGTGCACCACCACTGCCACCTGCCAATTCATCATCATCATCATCATCGCCATGGTAGCTCGTGTTTGTGCCATCCCTTACCTTGTCCCGACTCAACATCCACAGCGAGTCATTGAGAGATCGGTGAGCAGTTAGTCTGCCAGAGCGAGCAGGTGAGTGAGTGGGCGAGCGAGCGGGTGAGCGGACGAGCGGGTGAGTGGGTGAGTGCGTGGGCGAGCGGAGGGCGAGTGGGTGAGTGGGTGAGCGGGCGGGCGGGCCGGCAAACGGGGGGCGAGTGGGTGAGCGAGCTAGCGAGCGGGTGAGTGGGTGAATGAGTGACACTGATTGAATGCACTTTGCAGGGAAGTGCAGGCAATGTACCGTGTGCCTGGCTTGCACTGCGAACCAAGCACAATACAAATTTGGATATCGATTTGGGGGTCTACAGCTTTGTATTCGGGGGAACGTTAAATAATTTCCAAAAACCGGATGAAACTCACCAAGTCGAGCATAGTAAAAAAGGTTCCCCACCCCCCTGCCTGGACCCTAACATCATTACCTCCATAACCCTAACGTTAGTACACTCACCACGAGAACCCTAACAAAAAGGTTGATGTTATTTACCTCGCCTGTTATGCTGGAAGGAAGTCGTAGGTTCGATCCCCACCCTGACGCCTGTATTTTGGAGTTCGTGTGCCTCTCGCCCCATGGTCGCGTGGATTTTTCTCCGGGTCCTCCGGTTTTCCCCACTACATTTAGAATTGACGTGACGCTTAGAGAGTATTTGGCTGCCATACATTTCCATGTCATAAGCCACTTCGTTCAGCTATCATTTGTGATAGCCAGGTCACCTCTGAGAAACAGCCATATAGCTCGGTGGGCCTTACCTGGTAAAAATAAAAATAGTTAATCCGCTGGCTTCACTTGAAAATAAAATATTAGGTTTTTGGATGAATTAAATTAATAACAGAGACACATTTCTGATTCATAGTCCTCCTAGAATCTATAACATCAACAAGATCATCATCGGTCAGGGTCATTTCACTGCTGGATGAATTCCTCCCCAAGCCGCCACGACCTCTCGTGATCCTGCGACGTAATAATCCACCCGGCGTGATGACATCGACTCTGACATCGTTAGAACGTACGTCAGTCACTACTCCTAGCCCACTACCCCTGACCCCCGCCCCCACCGCCCCGTGTCCCCGCAGTGCTGGAGTACGTGGTGAGCGTGCGCACGGGCTCCTCGGAGAGCTCTGCGACGACGGCGCGCGTCTGGCTCACCGTCACCGGCGAACGTGGTGACACGGGAAGACGCGCGCTCGCTCGGCGCCGCGGAGAGAGGAGCTTCGCCAAGGGGCGCGTACGTCACCACGAGCGCGTGCAGTGTGCGCGCGTGCATGTACACCCGCGCATCTCTGCATGTACGCGTGGGGAGCGGTGGCGTAGCCGGTAGCGCACCGCCACTACGAACGGGCTCGGAGCTGCGTCCTCCCCGCAGGTGACCTCCTGGTCGCTGGAGGCGGTGGAGCTGGGGCCCCTGAGGGAGGTGCTGGTGGAGAAGGGGCCCGGCAGCGACTGGCACGTGGAGGCGGTGAGCGTCCGTGAGGGCCCCTTCGCGCCGTTCGAGGCCGTCTTCCAGGCTCATCGCTGGCTGCGCGACGGCGCGGCGGGCTCCACCGCGTCCGTGCGCGTCCCGCTCACCGGTGGGTGAAGCGAGCGGCGACGCTCCAAACGTGAAGCGCAAGGCTAAGGTCGTCGCTGCCTTCCTCTTTGCGCATGGGCTCAGCAACCTGCGGCTCCAGAGCCGCATGCGGCTCATTCAGGACCGTGTCATGACGATTATTTACAAAGGACCACCGTCTTGTATTCACCGAATTCGAAAAAAAAATTACTCCTGTTGTTGTTTTGGTTGCCCCAACCCCTGTCGGCGTGGGAGGTCGCAACCCGACGGACGCAGCGAAGCACGTCCCGTTGTCCGGGGTGATAGCTGCAGTTATCTCATTCCAATTGTAATATAATTGTAAGTTGAGCGAGCAATGCCGCTGTAATTGTAGTGATAATTGACCCCAGGCCTGCTCGTGACAGAGCCAATTGCTCTTTTGTTTATTTTAATACAACTTGAATGCAGTCCCATCGTTCGACTGCTTTGACAGAGAGCCTGAATGTGAGTTGAAAGTGTCTTTGGGCTGTGTCTCAACGCTGCCTCACAGCTGTAAAATATAAAGTAGGCTAACATTTTGGCAATGGCGACTCTTCAGAGCAGAGAGGACGGAAACGATTAAAGTGAATTGCACTGAGAGACATAAATAGAACACTTGCTTCCAGGAGCAACACAACCCAGACACATATTGCTTATAAAAGTGGCTTTGGGTCGGACACAACGTGGCTAGAAGCGACGACAATCAACGGACAAGACTGGCGACAGACCGGCAGTCGTAGGTGGCAAACGAACTGGAGACAACTACCATCCTGGAGGTCACGTGCAGGAGTGAGATGAATTGCAGCATTGCACGATCACGAGGAATCCCGATTATCCTTCATCCAACAGCTATGGTTGCTGGTGATGACGACGATGTTGGTGATGGGATGATGCGTGTTCGTTCGGTGTACGTCTCCGCACAACAGCGTGTGTGCGTCCTCCCCACCCCCCCCACCGGCCGTCTCCGCCGTACCCTCTTGCCCCCCGTGACCTCCACAGAGGTTCGGCCGAGTGCTGTGACCGTGGCCCCCCTGCCCAGCGACGCTCCAGCACCCAAGTCCGGTGAGTGCTTCGCTCGCCTCGGGGCGGATGACATTCTAACGTTCATTGTCCTGATGCGCGCGTGCGGTATCGGTGGGCGGCTTCACCTTCAGTGTCTCCGGTGCGTAATGCAGCCGAGCCACGCCGCTGTGATGCCACCAACGGCCGTAAGGGCGGGCTTCGGTTTTACGATTCCGATTTACGACGATGCACATTCACGTCATTCGTATAACGCCGCCAGTTTACGACTCAGAAACTCGGTTTGCGACGCAATCTTCTGACACGACTCCGAATGCGTCTGAACTAAGTTGGTCTGGTTTTCGACGTGACTCGGAGCGTGAAGCTTTTGATATTCTCAAGGTGTTTTTTTGTGGACTTTTACCTGTTGAACCCTGTTAAATGCGGCCGATAAAAGGAAAAATAAGACGGCAAATTGACGCGTCTCATGTTTTTTACTCTCCATGGGAAAATAGTGGTCCGATTTACGATGATCCCATTTACGAACGCATGGTGTCCCCGTAAAAGCGGGGACCGTACTGTATTGTGCGCATGGGTGACGCGCCGGGCGGGGTGTGTTCGTATCCGTGAGTGCCGCGTGCGACGCGTGTGGTTCGCGTGCACGGCAACGCGCAGACCCCCACCGTGACCTCTCCACAATCTCTGGCAGTGCGATCGATCCCTCCCGTCGTGCGGTCGTTCCTAACCTTGCTTGTCACTGTATCCGCGATGAACGTGATGAATCGAGCCATCCACAGTTCGATTGCCACAGTGAAGGGTTAGGATACATGGTGGTGTATTCATCTACGGTGGTGTACATTTATAGTGGCATACATATTTCTGAATCAGAAATAATCAGTACCTGCACACATGATTTTAATACATGTATCATGAGCATCATTTGTGGTTTTACATTTCTGAATCATTACATCTCTGATATGCTTACCCTCTGATTACATCCCGATTATCATAATTACTATTCCTATCATCACCCTATGCCGATATCCACCATATTCTTATCAATTCTCTCTTCCAATTATTACTTTCTTTCTCATCACCACCCTCATCATATCACCACCCTCATCATATCACCACCCTCATCATATCATCACCCTCATTATCACCACCTTCATCATATCACCACCCTCATTATCACCACCCTCATATCACCACCCTCATTAGCACCACCCTCATCATATCACCACCCTCATCTTATCACCACCCTCATCATATCACCACCCTCATCATATCACCACCCTCATATCACCATCCTCATCATATCACCACCCTCATCATATCACCACCCTCATCATATCACCACCCTCATCATATCACCACCCTCATCATATCACTACCCTCATCATATCACCACCCTCATCATATCACCACCCTCATCTTATCACCACCCTCATCATATCACCACCCTCATCATATCACCACCCTCATATTCGCTCTCTAAGCCACTCTCCGTCCTCTCCGTGCCCTCCCCACCAGATGGACGCTGGCGAGTGGAGCTGACGCTGGGTAACGAAGATGACGATGACGGCGATGGTGGCGGGTCGGCGCGGGGCAGCCCCGGGCGGCGGGAGCAGCAGCAGACGCTGCTGCTGCCCCCGGGTCTGTGCCTCGTGGTGTACGGCTCCGAGGGCAAGACGAGCCCCTTGCCCCTCGTGGGCCCCCGGCACGGCACGGGCGATGGCGGCGCCAGCAGCACCATCGCGTTCGAGGCAAGTCGGCCGTCGTCAACATCATCATTGCCACCGTCACCGTCGTCACCATCATCGGAATGATTGCCATTGTCATCATCAACATTATTATAAGCAGCCTCATCAGTCAAGCTGGATTACCATTGTCATCAGTATTGCCACTATCATCATAAACATCATTATCCGAATCATCATAATTATCATAATCAGTCCTGTCATTATTATGAGTGCTGTACATATCACCAACATGATCACGTTATCATCAACTCTAAAGTTTGTTGGCTTAAAATTCACTCACTCATTCATTACATTTTGACTTAAAACTTTCGTGACTGCAGGAATTCATATTCTTTGGTTCTTTCGGTAAAATCACGCAGATAGAAAAAAAACCCACGACGTTTCGATCACAACACATGCGATCGTCTTCAGGAGGAAAGAGGGGGAAGGTCACCGAAGGCAACCGTTTATAATGGTTTCAAAAATGGGCGTAGCACGTTTGTCATCTGGCCACATGGCCGACCGGCTCTGAACCAATTCCTCAACCACATCAATTCCATACACCCAGCCATCAAATTCACCATGGAGGTAGAAAAGGATGGCATGCTACCTTTCTTGGATGTCCTAATCAAAAAAAGACCAGATGGCTCAATGAGCCATTCTGTCTACAGAATACCCACCCATACTGATGCCTACCTAAAACCTGATTCCCACCACCATCCATCCCAGAATAATTCCCTCATCAAAACTCTACACCATAGAGCTCAATGACCATGAACACCTAACCAGTGAACTCAAACACGTACACCAAGCTCTCAAGGCGAATGGATTTTCTGACTGCACAATCTGCAAAGCCATCACCCCAACCGTGAGGAAGGAGCCATCTGAGGATCCAATAAAAACCATCACCCTGCCATACATAGCAGGGGTAACCAAAAAGATTTCCAAAATCATGAACAAACACAAGATCCAGGTCCGATTTAACATAGTACATAAGATTCGTGATCTGATCCCATCTGTGAAGGACAAGATTCCTGACATGCAATATCCCGGCGTCTACAAACTAAGCTGTATCTGCGGCAGCAGTTACATTGAGGAAACTAAGCGACATGTCTCGGACCGTGTCCGTGAGCATAAGGCAGATTTGAAACACGGTAGGACCAATACATCTGCCGTGGCTGATCATTATTTTTATGCGGCTGGCTCACACGAATTGATTTCTCTGAGATGATGGTACTTTGCAAGCCCACTGGCTATCAACAAAGATTCGTTGATGAAGCTATCCATATATACAGACACAATTTCAACTGAGAAGATGGTTAAAAACTCATTGGAAATATGTCATCAAACACTTTGGGTCATGACTTGATTTGTGTTTTCTTGTCAAGGGAGCACAGGTCAAGTCAGGACTTGATGTTTGTTTCCTTTGTTATCTTACCACAGGGCACATATACCCCGCCCACTTCGTGCCGCCGCCGGGGCTCTTGTGCCACGCCCCTTTTTTTAAACCTTTATAAACGATTGCCTTCGGTGACCTTTCCCCTCTTTCCTCCTGAAGATGATCGCTTGTGTTGTGATCGAAACGTCGTGATTTTTATTTTTTCTATCTACATGACTTTACCGAAAGAACCAAATAATATCACTCATTCATTGATCGTTTCGCTCCCTAGCTTCCCAGCTGTTATCTTGCTGACCGCTCTGATTTGCTTAAAGAGCGCCCGACTGTTTAACTCACCGACCGTCCGACCCTTCGCCTGACCGTCTTATCACCCGGCGGGCTGGCACACGATGACCGTGCGGACGGTTCCCCCACCCCGTGCCGCGCAGGTGTCGTTCCCCGTGAGCGTGGGCGTGCCGTACAAGGTGCGGCTTGGGGCGCGTGACGGCTCGGCGCCCTGGGAGCACGGCCCGGGCGGAGGGAACGAGCGCGCGGGCACCACTGCTGACACCACGGCCGCCCCGCACCTGCGCCGCTTCCGCATGACGGACGTGCGCACGCGCGCCACGTTCACCCATGCGCCCGGCGAGGCGCTGCCTCCCCCGTCCGGCGGGGACGTCTGGATGGAGATCCCCGCCGAGTGGCCCCAGAGACCAGCGCCGACGGGTGCGGGGAGAACCGGGGCCGATGGTGGCGATAACTGGATACCGTAGACAACGTGCAGCACGCATGGGGTCTATCTCGACTCTGAACCTCCTAACCCTCGTGCTAATTCTCGCAATATCCCTAACCCTACCCCTAACACTCGCTAACCCGAACAAAGACAAAGATCCCCGTTTAGCCTCCAGACTGTAGGGGCAAGTGCTGTTAGCCAGCACTATGATGGGCGGAGCGGTACATGAGGGGATGGGTGGCCAGCACAATGGCCCCCCAACTACCTTTTTCTCCCCAGTAGTGATGCTTACACACCACACCAGGTATTAATTTGAGGCTGAGTTGACCGAGGGGAGACCCAGGACCAATTTAGATAATCATCACCAGTGTTGGCTGTGAGCAGGAATCGAACTGTGGTCGCCGGGTTTGTAGCCCAGCGTGCTAACCGCTACACCTCCGCTCCCCACTAATACTAACCCTAACACAGCCATAAGCCTAACAATTCCTCTACCTCTAACCCTAACGCTACCTTTAACGCCAATACTACCCATATTCCTACGCCTGACCCTATCTCACCCCCACACAAGGGGTGTGAGTCTCGACACCCAATTTGTACATTGAGGCTCTGGGGCTCACTCCCCACCCACAATGCTGTCCCTCGTATTTCCCCCCTCTGCACATGTCACTGCCCCTATCTCTTTCTCTACCCGCCTGTGGCCTGGTGTCTGATCCCGGTGAGATGCACCTTCTCTGGGCAGAAATCTAGGCCAGGCCACACAATCTCCATCTTCGCATAGTCCACCAATCGTTCCCCGCACATTATTGCTTATCTACGTATCCCTGCAGATGATGCTGTCCAATGTCAGATCCTAACCAATGGCAGTTACAATTGCAATTGCTTTGTGGTTGCAATTCGTTCTAAATGAATGGACCCGGGCCCGGTGTGTGCTGCTGCGTGTTGGTGCTCAGTGCTCCGGTACCAGGTGCTGGTGTTCGGTGAGGACTTCATTGCGGCGCAGCCGGCGCCGCGCGTCACACTCATGGTGGTCGGCACGCATGGCGACTCGGGCGAGCGCTGGCTGGGCGAGGCGACTCGCGGGGACCAGCACGGCGTCCACGACCAGCCGGTGCGTCTCCCCCTTGCCAGGGCCGGAGTAACTCATAGGCTAATAAGAACTGAGACCTCAGGCCCTCATATTTTTAAGATCCTCTTATAGTCCCTCCATGCCATGTTGAAGTAACAGCTCAGCAACCGGTGGCACGGCCATCACAATCTATTTTCTCTTTCAATTACAATGACATCATTGACTTAAAGCTTTCGTGACTGCTAGAATTCATACTCTTTGGGTCTTTCGGTAAAGCCCCGTATTTTTAAATCCTTTATATTAAGTTAACTTGCTTGCTTGCTTGCGCGCTTACGACCGTGCAAATCTTTCGGTCGTTTTTTAACCCACTTCCCGTGATCCAATCGAGCTGACATTTTGCACACAGACTCGTTGTGCGTGACAATTTATTTTCGTGAAGTTTTTTTTCAAAAATTTTCCACTTTTTTGGATTTTTTTTCATATTTAATTTAAAATACCAATGTGCTAAAAATGAAACTCTTACTCAAGAAAAACAGAAATAAATAATAAAATAAAGCCGATGCCACGCATATAAAGGATTTATAGTGAAAAACTTAGTTTTTACGGGTTAATTTTTTCACCTGATGATGATTGCTTGTGTTGCGATCGAAACGTCCTGATATGTTTTATTTATATTTTTTGTATTATTTTTCTATCTACGTGGCTTTACCGAAAGACCCAAAGAGAATGGCATCGTTCATGACTTTGTGACAGTGAAAAAAAATGTGTCGTGAGGGATTTATGATTCATGACTGATTTATGTTTGATGAATTTACCTTGAGTACAATAAATTTGTTAATTTTACAAAGGCAAATCAACATGTTTTATAACTTGCAATATGTAATAAGTACTTAGGCCCTTACTTCGTAGGCCTTAGGCCCCTTATAACTTAATTCCGCCCGTGCCCATAACCCGCAGCACTGGCTGCAGCCGGTGATGTAGTCGCAATTAACAAAGCTTCCTTAGAGCGCGAGGACGTCTATATTGGTTGTCTTCCGTATCCTTGCGAAATTCCGCTTCACCCGGGAAAAGGCCCTCATCGTTGAGTTAACAAATCCGTACACTTGAGCCAGGTTTGACGAATTGTTTTCGGGTATTTAAACATTTATTGTGGTTGCGTATTGATCGTTGATTGGCTGATGTCCCATCATCGACCCTCCCCCGTGCAGGTGATGGTCTTTGAGGTGAAGGCCGTGGATCTGGGGGAGCTCCGCCGAGCCATCCTCTCCGCCTCCTGTGAAAATGGTGCGTGGCTTTTCATAATCCCACTCAACCTACTCTTGAGCATGCCACCACGGCACTGTAGTGATGTCACTGCAGTGTCACTGTGTCACTACCAGGGCTTGATTTCAGTCGGCTCTGTTCGGGTCAGTGACACGGAAACTTACCCCTGCCTGACATGAGACCGCTGGCTGTTGAACTTCCTGAAGGACATCCATTCGCAGAATATGCTGACTCTAACCACACAACGGAATTGTTTCTTAAATCCACACTATTATTTAAAGCCTTCCAAGAACCTTCCCCAATCTTACCATGCTATCCTGCCAGAGAAAATTTGCACACACAGAACCCGATATATGTGTAATGCGAGCGTAAATGGGGTTGTTGCTGGGCTCTGGTCCAATCACACGGCCGGGGGTATTGGGGGGCGGAGCCTGGTCTGCGGGACGTGTGGGAGGGGCCACCGTTCACCTCGGCTCCAATGGGAGGCGAGGTGAATGGGGGCGGAGCCAGCGGGGTAGTATGGGAAGGCCGGATCTGACGATCCGGAAGGGGAGGAATCAGGGTCACGTGGGGGGAATGTATATAAGTGGGAGCCCGGAAGAGATCGGGGCAGTCGGGGAAGTTAAGAGGCTGAGCCACGTTGGGTGGTGAGGAAAGATCCGCGCCATCGGCCACGTGGCCGAAGGACCTCTGCACGCCGTCGGCCAGCGGTGTGCGGAGTGCGGGAATAGAGGAGCTAACGGAGGAGCGTGCGGGGCACGCGAGAGAGAGAGCGTGCGTGGCACGCGAGAGAGAGAGCGTGCATGGCACGCGAGAGGGAGCGTGCGCGGGGCGCGCGCGGAACGACTCTGGTCCGAGAGGAGGCCAGTGGGGGTGCGGAGAAGAACCTTAATAAAAGACAAACGGAGACCAGCATCGCCTGACGGAGTCTTTTATTACATATGCATAAGCCACACTGTGATCGTCACTAACACTGAACCTGTTGAACGTGGACAGAAGCAGTTTTCTGTGACCTCACGTACTGCTTGTTTTTGTAAAAGTACAATTTTGTAATTTCCTTCACAGATTACAACATTCAAGTGGACAAGATTGTGGTTAAGAATGCCGATTCCACAGACAACACTTACGAGTTTGAGTTGGAAGGGTAAGCACAAGCTACAGCCACTCCCTTAAAACACATTCCTGCGGAGGGAGCTGGTAGGAACGTTGGGTTGCTCGGTCAATGGCCAGGGTCAACGGCGGCGTGATGTATTCTACAAATATGGCCGACTGTGAGGGCGGGCACAAGCCGGCGTGAGTAGGTTAAACGTTGAGTTTTATAAGGGCACTACGGGGTGACCAGCCCCTCCCCACCCAGCCCTACCCCTCCCACCCCCCACCCAGCCCCACCCTCCCCACCCAGCCCCTCCCCACCCTCCTCTCTCCACCCAGCCCCACCCCTCCCATTTTTGAATGCACGACGGACGGATGGACACAATAATCCCCTATGGGCTGGTGGAACCAGGTGGTTCCTACCAGTATGATGTGGGAATTACTGAATGTTGCCATCTAGTGTACATTGGATGTTATAGATATGACATTTATGACCAGGTAAGAGCCGATTGAGACCAGCAGTCGAATTTCCAAGGAGACCTTGATTTTGATGTAAAAAGACCCACATGGCGTCATCTGTGAAAAGAGTATCCTTGAGTTAAAATAGCTGGGTTCATGTTCTAAATGTCCTGTTTTTTATGCTTCCGTTTTAAATTGTAAGCGTTAAAATGCATTCGTTCTGCTGTGTGTCTCACACATAGGGTCACTATAACGTTCGTAAAAAATGATACAATATAAGCCAAACCTTCATTTAAAGTTGTCTTGGCGATGAAGACTTTCCACATGTAAAATCCACCAATTTCATCAAAGAGTTAATGGAAAGAACTTGCAGACACAAACAAGCGCGAAAAGGATGATTTGTTCAAAATGCAAACGTTATATATTTGCTCTGACAGCCACCATTCAGCTTCCAAACTACTGATGCAATACAGCATTTCTGAGTACAGGCGCATGTTGAAAAGCATTAAATAATGCGTGCATGATTTTTTCCAACTCGTGTTTTTTACGATTCTGTTTCAGGAGTTTAAATGTTCTCGGCCGAAAGCCGGCTATCTCCAAAGAAATGCGTCTGATTAGAGCCACCAGGAGCCCATCAATAGGCCCAGACCAAGCAGCTTTGGCCAATGGTGACTTCATGGAGGAGTTTGCGCAGGATGCTCCAGCCAATGAGATTGCTGGGGACCACCATCCTGAAGCCTCAGCCAGTGATGGTGCATGGGTAGAGCCTGAACAGGACCCCCTGGCCGATGAGACCATGGCAGCGGGACTTCCCGAAGAAGACGAAGCATTCGACGAGGACAAAAGCGACATATCTTCTGGTGATGAGCTGCTTGGGCCAGCGAGCGTGGAACCGGAGGAATAGCTTTGACCTAATAATACCTCTTTTCCACTGGGACATCTGAGCTAAGCCATCATGGAGCCCTAACAGTAACGGTGGTTTTCCACTCACTACCAAGACTGTTATACTCTGGGCTCATAAGACATCAGAATCTGGCGCAGGGGGACAAGAAAGTCCAGGGCTGGGCTATAGACGCGTTCACTGCATGTGATGTCAGTCAGTATACCGTGAGGACAGCATCTCTGCGGACATGTGTCTCGTTCATTGCGTGTGAGGTGAGTGGCACAGCTCGGTTTCTGCAGTGGGAATGCAATCAGGCGCTTCCTGAGCCACACCAAACTAGCTCAGCATGGACCTCCGATTAGCACGGTGCGAAAGAAGTTCAACAGACATACACACGACCTGGCATGGCTCAGTTGTGCAGTGGAAAAGATAAGGCACGGTGATTATCTCAGAGGCTATATTTAAGATTGTCAATGTGGCGCTGTCTGTGTGCAAAACTTCTACTCTTACAGAAATAAACAGTGACAAATGTGCTCCCATTTTTCTGCATTTATAATTAGGAGCCATTCTTCCACTTACATCAATGAAAAAAATTCTGAAGATAAATACTGTAAATGCACTTTGGAGCCACAGAAAGAGACATCTTCCTTAATCGCTGGTGCTGCGCTGTGAACGTTACCAAAAGTCCACATGCACGCACCAGACTGGTTACAAAAACCAAAGCACATTTTGTCATGCACAATTCAATTCAGGTAAAGCTTCTAAATTTAAAGAGATTGATTTTTTTTTATGAATAGCTTTTTTGAGAGTTGTTTTCATTTTGATATGTACAAAATAAAGACTTGGTTGTGTTTTGAATGCATCATGCGGTTGTTGTGGACGCTGTTGTGTTGTGGGGTGGTTTATTATCGCACCACACAAACCACGATTATACCACCACCACCACCGTCAACTCATCACAACACTGACTTCTTGTCAGCACTGAATGTTATGTGAACCCCGAGTGATCTCTTGAGTCACGACATTTCATCGTTTCATGATCGTATTCTGCCATTAAAATTTTCACCCCTTTGGTAATCCACTTCTGGATGAAGACATTGTCAAGGCTTGTGGATGAAGACATTGACATACTTCACCAAGCTGCTCAGTGTTGCCTGTTGAAGAGGACGCTTAAGACCAGATGCTCTTAATCCTATGATCTTTCATATGGGGGCAGAAAATAGGGTTTGGTTGCCACGTGTCCACGTTTGACGGAACAACCCAAGACTTGGAATGTGTAAGGGTGGCAAGAAATTAGTACCGAGATTTGATTCAGGAAATGAGCCTTATGGCGGTACCCTGGCTCTCGCATAATGTCCTTGATGCAGTCATTTTTAGTCTGTTGATGGTTGGCGATGCGGCAATCGACTCATCTCGACGAGCTGTACACGATGTACCACTACGGTGCATACGCAAGCGTTCAGGGTTTCAGAGCAATCGTCCTCGCTGCGTTTCGACATCGCGGAGTAGCACCACTGATTTCGGATTGATTGGTACCCCAGTCGTGGAGTTAAGTACACCAATGGAAAAAAAGTGTCCCAGAAATAAAATATTTAATTGCCTCGGCCATTTTGCATTATTTGGTACCCCGGGGTACCGCCATAAGGATCAAATACTGACATTGGAGCTGCTCATATTACTGTACACATCAAAGGAGGGAGAAACAACATAGGCACAGTAATTTGTCTCCTTTATATATCCATCTCCACATTAAACTCAACAAGAATTACTTACAGGACCCATCGGCCACATGGCCTTCTGAGAGTGCATAATTTCAGTAGCATTGATTCAACACAAGCAAAACTCTCGGGCAGTTTTAACAGTGTCACTCAGTGTGGCAAGATGTTAACTATCTCGCCTGGTATGCAGGAGGTCGTGGGATCAATCCAACCCTGACGCCTGCTGCATATTTGGAATGTGCATGTCAGAATGTATTCATACTCGAGGAATCCAATGAGCTATAAAGCTCATTTTCACAGATATCCAGTTTTGCCCGACACATTTAGAGTCAACATGCGTTCAATATTATTTGGCTGCTAATAATTTCCACGTGATGAGAAACGACTTCTTTGAGCTATCATTTGTGGCCAGGTCGATTCTGAAAGAGCTATATTGCTCAGTGGGCCCTGCCTGGTAACATATTTTTTTTATTTACAATTAAATACAGAAGTTTAATAGTGTCATCAGCAGTCAGGCTGTGCTTGAAAGCAATGCTGGTGAACTGCCGGATGTTTATAGGGAAGGGCCCTCTCATCTCAGGTATGCGACCAGACTTCCATGCAAAATGATACACAATATGTAAAGGAGAGCCGACACAAGTTTGCAGGGGGTTCGTCTTTTATTGCTTCCCCCAGTCCACACTCGTCCCCAGCCTTCTCGATCCGGTTCCCACCAATTCTTCCCATTTTCCCCGCCCGTTCTCTCTTATATCTCCTCACTTGCTCCTCCCCCATTCCTTTTGGTGGGAATCCTTCCCCTGACATCCCTTACAAATACATAACAGTGTAATGACGCCGGCACACGTTGTACTTTACTATGAGCCTTTATTCGTACACAGCACTATCTAGTGGACTTCTTATCCCCAGCGTTTAACAGTATTCCCCTTTTTGTATTTTGGATTGTCAGCCAACACCGGTTACAACAAGTGCACCTATTGTTCTCTCTTAGCCTCGCCCACCCCCCCAACAAGTTCCATTCATTGGCTACCACATTCAGATAAGCCCCTCCCCCCCTACCCCTTAACTTGTATTTAAGAGCTGGTCTCTTGGAATTTTGCCTCACTTGATAAAGTAAATTTAGCTGTGACGGTCCCACCTGATGACGGAGACTTGTGTTGCCTCCGAAACGTCGTGATTTATAATTTTATTTCTATTATTATTTTTATTATTTATGTTTACCTACGTGACTGTACCGAAAAAACATAAGAGTATAACACTATCTAGGTCGTCTTCGTCTCTCTGTCACCAAATACAACAATCTGCCATACACAGCCTTCACAGACTGCTGGGGCAAGCGCTGTTAGCGAGCACCGAGAAATGCCGGTGACTGTACGCGACGGGGGGGGGGGGCAGCACCACGCCCGCACGCCTTTGTCTCCCCAGTGGCGATGCTTCCACATCGCACCAGGTACTTATTTGAGGCCGAGTCGACCTAGGGGAGTCTCAGGACCGGTTCAAATAATCGTCAACTTGTTGGCCGTGAACGGAAATCGAACCTCGTGGCGTCAGGTTCACAGCACAGGGCGCTAACTGCTGCACCACCGCTCCCTTACCACCACCTCCCCCCTTGTCTTATTTATATTATTAAGTCAGGTAGGTAAAACATTAAATTAATAAAAGTAATAATAGAAAAAATATATAAATAATATTTTATTTCTACTATTACTTTTATTAATTTTATTTTTTACCTACGTGATTTTACCGAAAAAACCTAAGAGTATGAATCCTTGCAGTCACGAAAGCTTCAAATCTAGAACTCATTTATATTCCCCGAACCTTCGCTACACCCCACTTCCCTTCAGCCAATGCTCGTCCTGCTGCCCATCCAACGCAATCAGCCCTCGTCTCCCGCCTTTAACGTTTGAATCTCCCCCCCCCCCCCGCCAATCAACTTTGAATATCTCATCTCATCTGACCAATCCTCTTGTGAGGCCCTCCGTGCAACGATTCAGAGGCTTTGATTCACTTCCTGAATCTCCGTGGGGGCCACACGTGCGTTTGTGTGCCCTCGGTAAGCGGTCTGTTCCCTCGGTTATTTCTCTTGCAAAATAATAATAGTAACAGTATAACAATTCTCACAATTCGTTTTGTAGAAAACAAAAGAACGGGACAAGCGGACAATTGTCTCCGGTACGTGCATCTCTGTACGCTCAACGATTGTTAGCTGATAAAAAATTCAGTTTTATTTGTATATATTTTTGCAAGCGATTAGTTTACCTTTCCTATACTTTGCACTCCTATGCGTGTTTTTTTGTATTGCTTGTAACGTTTTGGCATGTCCCCTTACTGGAGATCTGTGTAAGAAAAATAGAGCTTAATAGCTCATCGCATTCTTCCAGTCGCTAATAAATGCGATAGTAATTTACATTGTACTGCACAAGTGGGTTAGGTAGGGCTACGGTACAACACGATACAGTAAACACACCACAGAACACATCACACAACCACCATACACCACAGTAAACACACCACAGAACACATCACACAACTCCACCATACACCACCACGCCACAGTAAACACCACAGAACACACCACCCCACCGTACACCACTCAGCACACACCACCACAGAACACACCACCCCACCACACACCACAGAACACATCACACAACTCCACCATACACCACCACGCCACAGTAAACACCACAGAACACACCACCCCACCGTACACCACCACTCAGCACACACCACCACAGAACACACCACCCCACCACACACCACAGAACACATCACACAACTCCACCATACACCACCACGCCACAGTAAACACTACAGAACACGCCAGCCCACCGTACACCACCACTCAGCACACACCACCACAGAACACACCACCCCACCACACACCACAGAACACATCACACAACTCCACCATACACCACCACGCCACAGTAAACACCACAGAACACGCCAGCCCACCGTACACCACCACTCAGCACACACCACCACGCCACAGTAAACACTACAGAACACGCCACCCCACCGTACACCACCACTCAGCACACCACCACGCCACAGTAAACACTACAGAACACACCACCCCACCGTACACCACCACTCAGCACACACCACCACAGTAAACACCACAGAACACTTCACACCACCGTACACCACCACTCAGCACACACCACCACAGTAAACACTACAGAACACACCACCCCACCGTACACCACCACTCAGCACACACCACCACAGTAAACACTACAGAACACACCACCCCACCGTACACCACCACTCAGCACACACCACCACAGTAAACACCACAGAACACTTCACACCACCGTACACCACCACTCAGCACACACCACCACAGTAAACACTACAGAACACACCACCCCACCGTACACCACCACTCAGCACACACCACCACAGTAAACACTACAGAACACACCAACCCACCGTACACCACCACTCAGCACACACCATCACAGTAAACACCACAGAACACTTCACACCACCGGACACCACCACTCAGCACACCACCACGCCGCTTGCACAGGGCAAGGTCTACGGGTCGCGAAACATCGCCGCAATAAAAACGCGAATCCGCGCGTTTTTTTTATTTAAAAAACCGCGCGGCCACCGTACATGCGAGTGGCGGGAGGCCTCAACGCAGCCGCCAGTTCAACGTCTCGACGCCCGCAGGCGGCACGCGGCTGCACGGTAACAAACAACAACAACAACAACTGCCATCAACAACCACCACCAACAACAACCACCAACAACAACCACCACCAACAACAACCACCACCTACAACACCAACAACCCCTAACAACAACAACCCCCAACAACCCCCAAACAACCATCAACAACCAACAACAACCCCCAACAACAACTACCAACCACGGTACCTCAGGGGTGTCCGGTCATTGACCCCATTGGCAATGCTCTCCTCGCCGCTTTCTTGTCGTTGTTAGTGGTCGCAGTTGTTAAGAGGGGTAACACTAAAATTGCGATAATCGTGAGGCCGTCGCTTTAAAAAAAAAATCAACACGAGCACACACACACCGCTTGCTACACACACACACACCGCTTGCTACACACACACCGCTTGCTACACACACACACCGCTTGCCACACACACACACCGCTTGCTACACACACACACCGCTTGCTACACACACACACCGCTTGCTACACACACACACCGCTTGCTACACACACACACCGCTTGCTACACACACACACCGCTTGCTACACACAAACCGCTTGCTACACACACACACCGCTTGCTACACACACACACACCGCTTGCTACACACACACACACACCGCTTGCTACACACACACACACCGCTTGCTACACACGCACACACCGCTTGCTACACACACACACCGCTTGCTACACACACACCGCTTGCTACACACACACACCGCTTGCTACACACACACACCGCTTGCTACACACACACACACCGCTTGCTACACACACACACCGCTTGCTACACACACACACCGCTTGCTACACACACACACCGCTTGCTACACACCCACCGCTTGCTACACACACACACCGCTTGCTACACACACACACCGCTTGCTACACACACACACCGCTTGCTACACACACACACCGCTTGCTACACACACACCGCTTGCTACACACACACACACCGCTTGCTACACACACACACACCGCTTGCTACACACACACACACCGCTTGCTACACACACACACCGCTTGCCTGTAGGGAGGGGCTGGGTGGAGAAGGGAGGGAGGGGCTGGGTGGGGCTGGGTGGGGAGGGGCTGGTCACCCCGTGGTGCCCTTATAAAACTCAACGTTTAACCTACTCACGCCGGCTTGTGCCCGCCCTCACAGTGGGGCATATTTACGGAATACACCACGCCGCCGTTGACCCTGACCACTGACCGAGCAACCCAACGTTCCTACCAGCTCCCTCCGCAGGAATGTGTTTGTTGTACGCTAAATGATGTTGCTTGCTGCCGATAACGACCACCGCTGGTTTTAGTGCGACCAACAACACAAGTGCACGCAGGCCTCGCTTTTTAACAGTCGCCCTGGGGGCCTCGAGTAACCGAACTGCTTCACGTAGTTTTGTGAAATCGCGTGGGGTCAATATTCGTGGCCCATGTGAAGATTCGCCGTCACAAGCAACGATACACTCCGCCGCTCCAAGACGCGGTTGACCTGGCTTTGGCACCTCAACGTGAAATCGCAGTTGTTGCTCTGCATCTATATCGGCCGTACGAAATGATAATTATAAAAGTACCATTTTCTATGGGATTTACGCATGGGGGGTCGCGTAATTGTGCCAAATGTTATCGCCCTCGCCAGGTATACAGGAGGTCGTGGGTCCGACCCTGACGCCTGCTGTATATTTGAAGTTTGCACGTCTCCCCGTGGTCGTGTGTATTTTTCTCCGGGTCCTCCGGGTTTTTCCCTCCACATTTAGAATGCGTGTAGAGGATTTGGCTGCTATAAATGTCCACACGATAAGCCACTTCACTGGGCTATCATTTGTGGCTAGGTCGCGTCTGAAAAATACCTATGTAGCTCAGTGGGCCTTACCTGGTAAAATAAACATAGTTTAGTTTCAGAAAATTTTTGCAAGATCCTGCGAGTGTTTGGGACATGCGCCATTACGTTCACACGCCCCACGTTGTAGAACACAGACACGCACAGACAACTCGCCAATACACCACAAACAATTCACAAATACTCCACAGACTACTCACAACAACAGCCGACATTCGCAACTCAGTGGAGGTGACGTCACCACGATGCTTGTGCCAGGCTAGGTGCACTTTGAGGCACACACATCACATACGGACGTGGAGAAACCATTCCGTTTTAACAGTTAGCTCCTTCACGCCTCGAACCCTTGCGAACTGCTAGCGAGCACCAGTGAGTGTCTGTACGGTGCACACACGCCCTTGATACCCCTCTTCATCCGGTGTATGTGTATAAGTTGCATGTGCTTGAGGCTGTACGCCTTTTGGGACTAGGCTCGAAAGAAAGCTGTCTCTGGTGTGGACCAATCAGTTTCACAGGCAATGCATATACTATCAGAGTATGTTTTTTGTTTGCATTCTGACCACAAGTATTGTGGTTAATACAGACATGATTCCTTGTCAAAGGTTTCAGTTTGGTGTTTTAACATCTTAACACCTGTTTTGTTGCCAGAAAAAAGGGGAAAACCTATTCTAATATTTAGGTACTGGCATAGGAGGTCCCATGATGGTTCACTTCACTAATTTGTTGTACGATACTGCCATCTCTGGGCAGCCTTGTGTACTTGGCATGTTTGGGAGTTTCACGTGTCTTGTGTGATCCAACGACCCTTGCCACCACAATGCCCTTGTGATTTAAGAAACGAATGTGCAATGTACATTTAGACTTGCCATTTGGTTGATGAGTTATGGATGGGTCCCTAGACTCTCCGTCTCATGCCCTGTGCTCTGTGATAACGTCAATTGTATTTGTATAACGTGGCATGTGTTCGTCGTGTCTGTTTACATCGTGCAACAATCACTATAAATCTGTTTCATATTTCTCTAACTCCTTTGTAATAGAAATGTATTTAAAGGTAATTTGGCCAAGCCACCTTTCGAAATATATATTCGTTGTCGGTTTACATTTCTGCAACATTTTCGATTTCTCCTCTTACGAGGTTGTGTTAGCACCGATTTCTATTTGCTTCATTGTAAAACTTAAATCTGTTGCTTTTTGTCATGTTGGTAACCCAAGTCGCTCTTGTAAATGCGACTTCACTGGTCTCTTCAGTTTTCACCTGGTTCAACAAATTAACCTTCAACTTGCACTCTGCTCCACGCAGCACAGACATGGAGCAACAGAAGAGCTCGGACATTGAGCAGCCCGTCAATGGCAATAACTTAGAAGACTCTGATGAGGTGGTCTTTGTGTCTGTAGGTACCGCACGCTTCCATGCACTCCAGCCTGTCAGCAAAAGTGCTTCTCTTCCAGAGAGTCGAACGGAAAACCAAATCAATATAAAATGTGTTGCCCAGCATTGATAATCACTTAAAATATTGCTTTTTGTAGCCAGGGTGTAAAAGTTAAAATGGATACGGTTTCAAAGCCAACTTTGCAGTTTTAACCAATGATGCTGAAGGCCACATTAGCTGTGGTACTTGAGTCACTCGGTGAGACATCTTGTACTCAGAAGTACACTACTCAACGGTCAACTCAAGACCAGGCAGTAAGACGGTCACACTCACTCAGAATCCAATGGTGACAATATGCATAGTTTCAGCTAACACAAAGATCCCCTGTATAAGACTTAAACAGCACTCTTGGAGCAAGTGCTGTTAGCGAGCACCTATTAAGGTCAACAAGGCACACGAGAGGATGGGTGGCCAGCACCACAACTGACCACCGCCTTTGTTCTTCGCAATGCTGATGTTTACACACTGCACCAGGTACTCATTTAAGACTGAGTCGACCATGGGGAGGAGGCCTAGGAACAGGTCAGATATTCGTCGCTAATATTGATTGTGAGCGTGAATTGGACTCGGGTCGCTGGGTTCTAAAACATTGTCATTGAAGTAGTAATTAAAGCATATTTGATCAATCCTGTACCTTAGTAGTTGCATTCATGCAAACACAAGCAGTAAAACAAAAAAAATACATTGCAGAACATTTATAAAATAACATTTCATTCCTACTTTCATGATAATGTCGAAAAGGGTACAACTAATCCGTGAAAATTTTACTGATATTTAGAGAAAATATGAAATAATGAACGCCTCATTTATTTTCCATGTTGACCAATACCACCATTTGCCTCTTTCTATCTCTGTTTCTTTGCGTCTCAGTTTGTCTCTGCCTCTGTCTCTACATCTCTGCATCATGCTCTCTTTGCATCTCCAATTGTCTCTTTGCCCCATTTGTTTCTGCATCTCTGTTTGTCTCTTGGCATCTGCCTCTTTGCAGAGAGACATGTGACTCGAACACAACAAAACATATCAGCTAAAATTATACCAAATTTTGCTAAATGAAGACCTGTGTAGCATACATTGTATCCTGAAATGCAAGCTACATGGGAGGTCTTTGTTTTATAAATTTTGAGCAAATATGCACATTTGAACCGATTTAAAACAGTTTTTTTGCCAACGGTTAACCTGGAACCGAACCTTCTATAACTATTCTAAGCCGATTGAACCGCATAGCTGGTTTAGTCGGTTTGGGTTAACCGGAAAACCGTACCTGAACATCCGTAGGTTCAACTTTCTGATTGCTTATATGACATTCTGCTTACCTGCATTCGGTACTAGGGATTGTAACCATTCCCCAACTCGGTGATTTAATGCATTTCTTGTCTTGTTTTAGACCATCTTTGCATCGTTTCTCTTTTTTTGTAGTTTCACTTGATCAGCACAAATGATTAGTGTATTATGAGTGTAAGATTTTATTTTAATCATAAAAGCGATGCACTTGCTCTGTGTACCATCATAGAGAAACTGCAGTGATCGGCCATCAATGCTTGAGTACATCTTCATCGCTCACACAGGAAACTGCATATATAAGCCGAACTCTGTTCTGTGGCTCCATAAATAAATATTTGTATATCCATCGGCCTAATGGCTTTCTTGACCAAAATGATCAAGCAATGTTTGTTTAAGCAAAGCAATGAAACTCTGAACCGGTTTTGACCTTGTTGGTCTTGTCAGGCTTGTTAACATATGCTGCTGGATTACCAGATGTTATTGGTAAGAGCACTCCATATAATCTGACACTCCATTCAATGGAAAAAGTATTGCTGTACAAAAACTCATGGGAAGCGGCTGTGCCCCTTTGCAGGCGGGGCTGCAAAGGCCAGTGGTTGCCTTCATTGAGCTTTCGGACGAAGAGAGCAACTTGAACAATCCCAACGATGAGGCAAGATACACGATGCTTTGCAGTCAACGCCGGTTTTCACGCTGTCCACACTCGTCGAAATTATATTCGGCGATTTTCCTGATTTTGTGTGAACCAGTTCATGTGAATGGATTGCTTGTCTCGCTGTTATGGATTGTGCACAATAGCTCGTTTTCTGTTCTTAACGCTTAGCATGTGGTGAACGGTAAAGGAGTGCGTGTTGCAATCATCATTGTCAAGTGACTTGTCCGTCGTAATAATTATCGAGGGGAAAGCCTTTCTGAATCTCAAGAATCTTTCATAAGGGTTTTGCATTGGGATGTTCGATCAAGTCCTCTGTAAGCAGTGTTTTGCATGTGGTAGGAAACCAGAGTACCCAAACAAAGCCACGCATACAAGGGGTAATGCTCGGCACCGCCATCTCCTGGACCACCTTGCATCTCCATACTGTATCAAGCCCATGCTGGCCCTGCATTCAGAGTATTACCCAGGCTCAGTTCTGCTTACTTTCCTCGATCTGATAGGGTTGCATGTGTTCAACAACTTTCAGAGGCGTCATGGGAGCGATCCTGTCCGCGTGAAGCCGACGACTTTGAGGAGGTCTCGAGACTCCTCTTTTGCGCTGTTGTTCACAGGGGAAGACGCCTGCCGCCGAGGATCACGTGGACCGTGTCAAAGCGCGTGTGCAGAGCACACTGGAGCGTCTCGCCCGCAACGTGGAGGAGGACAAGGAGAGTCGGCGTGCGCACAACGAGCTGTTGCGCGTAAGTGCCTACGTCACCTCCCCTAGTTTGTTGTCCTTCCCCCGCACCTTCGATTAGGTTGGCTATGTACGGTGCGAAAGAAGTTCAACGTACATCATTCTACGGCCAAGGTGGGGGGGATGATTCTGGAAAAAGGCGATGCCCGCTGGCTATTACGAGAAAGGAAGAGGCAATGCTTGTATTTGAGAATCGTTCTTTTTTACACGGTTGCTTGAGCACAGGCCCAAAGGCCTAAAATGCCAACTGGGCCAGCAACAATACAACACTATCAGAGTTATATTAGATACGAGTTAACACGTTTTTTTAATTGAGCAAGGTTATAAGAGCTTGGGAAAAGAGACAATGGGAGGGAATTCCCAAAGACGAGCCGTGCGAGGGAAGAAGCGGAAAGAGAAATGTTGGGAGCCGCAGTTGAACGCAGTGTGGAGGGGACGGAATAGTAATTTTGTTTGACTGAGTCTGCAATATGGGTGGAGGAATTGATGAGTGAGGTTTAGAGGAACGAACAGCAAACATGTTCGTAGCGATAAAAGAGCGATAGGGAGGTGACTGACTGCTGGTGAGTGAGTTACTGGAGTGAATTAGTGAGTGCTGGATCATCAATCAACCTTATTGCTCTACTGTGAATTCTATCAAATACAGCGAGATAGAAATTTCATGCTTAACAGATATGACAATTGGAAACAGTAAACCCGTAATGTTTGCGGGTTTTATAACCGCGGTTTTGCGATACATTTATTGGAGCGTGTCTTTAAATTTGCGGGGTTGTATTTTATATATTCGTGGCCGTAGCTCCCCACTACCCGACAGGGAGGAGCGTGGCGTGTGTGTACGTATAGTGAACTTCTTTGGCACCGTACGTAGCCAACCGTGCTAGTCGGAGGCGTGGGAGCGGCGTGGATGGTGTGAGCGTGAGCGCTGTCCTTGCGGCGCCCGGAGAGCTGAGGTCCCTGCTGTTGCACACACGAGTCTCAAAGTGGTCAAAAGGAGGGAGCTGTGCGCGCGAGTTCCCGTGGCTGCCCTGTGGGAGCTTGCACAAAAGTTGCGGGGGGGGGGGGTTGCGGACAGCGATGGTGCGGCGCTGATTGAGGCGCGTGCCGCGCTGCGCTTGCAGGTGCAGAGGGACTCGCTGCAGGCGCACGGCACCTACATGCTGGGGCTGTGCCCACAGAACCCCGACATGCAGGCGGCAAAGAAATGCGTCGAGTACTACGCCAAGAAGCCCGGTCAGTCGTCGCATGGGTCGTTTAACTAGCTGGAGGGCCTGAATAGGCGATAGCATTTTGTCTTATTCCTAGTTATTTTGCAATGGCTTTATGATGTCATTTTGCTTGAAGTGAAGGATATTTCCATTCCAAATACTCGCAGGAAGCCGCCACTCGTATTAGAGAACAACTTCTGAAAGGTTATATCCCAGGACAACCTATGAGGTCCCTTAAATGTCCTCTTATCCACACTGGGTGGTGTACCTTTCATATGTCCTTCTAAAGAGGTGTCCATCACATTGGCTAAATAAACTCAATTGTCGCTGGAAATTTTGATCCATTTTCTGAAAATCTAACTTAACTAGCCTTTTGCCCGTCTAAGAATGGGTGTTTTGCAGTAAATCTGAAGCTTGCAAGCAAAAAGCAGATCGCGACGTGATATTCATTGCATTAATGCGTGTGCAATTTGTAAGGGCGTGGTGACATAAACCTGTTTCATTTTAAGGTTATAATCCCTTGTTCATCATGACGTCTTTTTTTACTTTGATGTCTCAATAGCGTTACGGGGATCGTGTGACGTGAGGGTTCTGCCTTTGTAGTGAGGTTTGTAAGTTGACGCCGAGGAGGGGGGAGGAGGCACCTCGGCCTTCCATATGGAGTGACTGTCAGCCACTAATTATTATGAATGGGGGGGGTGTCCATTTGGAGGACGTCACCTGTTCATGATTATTAATGAGGGGGGCTGTTCGATGTGGAGTGACGTCACCCGCTCATGATTATTAATGAGGGGTGGGTGTCCATTTGGAGGACGTCACCTGCTCATGAATATTAATGAGGGGAACTGGTCAATGTGGAATGATGTCACGAGCGTTAAGGACAGACATTCCTGGGTCATTATAGTAGGTATATGGTATATTTGTGCATTCACTGGTATTTGCTAAGACGTTCAACTCACTTCACTCTATATTCTTAGGTTCTTTCGGTAAATTCACGTAGATAGAAAAATAATAATAAAAATAAGGTGAATAAAAAGAATAAAAACCAAAAATGCTTATGTAGACTAGCCTGGTGCGTAATCGGAGTGAGTGTACTGGAAATCTCTAATCTAGACTGTAGCTGGTTAAATCCCCCTTTGTGTGTGCGACCTTACCCAGCCCTGCGGCCAGGCAACCTGCACGCAAACAGGCGCCAGCAGGCGCCAGGCTGCCCAACTTATTCTTCGTTCACCGAGGCCCTAAACTGCCCCATAAAAAACTGCCTGCGCACCTTCGACAACCGCGCTCTGCTGCTGGGCCACATGAAAAGGTGAGTCTGCGCAGGGAGTAGATGACGAGCCATGCCCGTTCCTTACTTTACTCATCGTATGAATTAACGTAAGTTATTTTTGCGGGAATTATATTCATATCCCAACATTCTATTATAATTCTATCATGGGCGATGTCTAAACTACACTTTTTATTTTACCTGGTAAGACCCACTGGGCTAATACAGCTCTTTTTTTAGAAGCAACCTGGCCACAAATGATAGCTCTACGGTGTGGCTTATCATATGGAAATTTATAGCAGCCAAACACAATTCTGGCAAAATCGCCCGATGATGCCGAATGTAATTACCATTGAAACGTCGTACTCAAATTGTAAATGTTGTGGATTTATTCTCCAACACACCGGTGGGCTAAAGTAACTAATTGGCACGTTTTGTTTACGTGACAAACCTTACTAATTGGCTGTGTCGGGTGGTGGCGGGTTAATGACACATTTATACTTATGCGATCTAACCCAAAAAACCTTTATCATGAGCCAAACACTAAACAAAGTACGCACACATACCTGTAGGAATCGCAGTTCTATTGGCGATTCCAATGTGAACATCCCCACTTGAATGGGATGCTGTCCCACTCTTCACTTGAATGGGAAGCTGGAAAGACAGTCTATCATGGGAGCCTGCATTTTGTTAGCGGGATCGACTGTACAAAGAATTGGGTGCATGCAAACTGAATGCACATGCAGCACGTGAATTTATATCCACATCCTTGCATGTGCACTGCTCATTGTGCTAGAATGCAGCATTACCTTTATTAACAACAAAAACAACATTTAAACTTTTTTTTATCAACCTTGCCAAAAAAAACTTTACAAGTACGATATATTTCATAGCAGTCGGCTGAGGAATGTTGTAGTTGAAACATGTGAAGGCAACCCGGCTGGTAGTATTCCGAGGCCCCTCGTTATTGTCAGCTTTGTAAGGGTACTGACCGGTGGCCTTGGCCTCGGCTGACATGAATCGGCCGGGTTTCTCTGCAGGTTCGACCACTCACCCTGCGATCCCTGCGTGATGCTGAAGGGAGTACCGATTGTGAAGTACGTGTGTGGCCCGTGCCAACGGATGTTCTACTCCATGGTCGATTACGAGGTACACCTGCTGGAGAAGGTGAGAGCGTCGCTTTCGCACACGGGGGTCGGGCACGAGCATTGGGCACGTCTTTGGTGAAGCCCGATCGTTGCCGCTGCAGTTGCTGCCAACCGGCTTTTCAGCCAGGCCATTGCCTTTAACCCTTTCAGAGCCATGTATTTTTTAACCTTACGTCACCCTGCAGCCAGCCACTTTTTGTATCTACTCTAATACCTCATGATTATTATTTGGTTTATGTTTAACCAATATTTGTATAGTGCCATTAGTTGTTACCTCTGGTATTTCAATGGTTGTATTAACCTTTGCTCCCTGTCTGTATCCAGGGATCCGTGCTTTTTATTCTCGAGCTATAGTTTGATATCCTGAGGTGGGAGATGTAACTAAGTTTTCACTTAAGCTTTCTTGACTGCCAGAATTCATATTCCTTGGTTCTCTTGGTAAAATCACGTAGATAGAAATATACAATAAGAAACAATATGAGGTGAATAAGGGTGAAATAAAATAAGTAATAATTAATGCCACTAATATAGACTGCAGTCTATAATGTCGAGTTATTCTTATAGCCAAGCTTCGAACTTTTACCGTTAAAGAAAACGCCAGTGTAATATCCATTTGCCCCTGCACTGTATCTTTGTCTGGAGATGTTTGCGAAACGTCCAAAACGTCCGTAGAGGTCATGTCATATGGTCCTTTGACAATCTGGAGATTTTCCAGATCGTCGTTAACCTCTCTTTACCCTGGAGTTTATTATCTAAGGCTCTTTATGACCTCCCTCCAGTTGATTTAATGTGGCAAGGCAGCTGGGTGTGAGGGGTGGGGTGTGCCTCACCCTTTCATGCCCCATGCTCACCCCGATCGATTATAAAAAAAAAAAATTGGCAGAATGATTCTTAATATAAAATTTTGGAAAAAGGCCTACATATGCAACATCCCGAGGAAAACTATACTGTCCCGCTATCGCTCCACACTGTCATTACAACAGTATCCACTGACTATAGTAGTAACTCATTCTCTGGGTCTTTTAGTAAAGTCACATAGATAAAACAATAAAATTATAATAATAAAAATTAAAATAAAGTGAATCAAAAATAATAAAAATATCGCGACATTTCGATCCGAACAGAAGCATCGTCATCAGGTGAAAAAAGAGGGGGAAAAGCTGCTGAAGCAGGCTGTTTTAAAGGTTTGATATGGGTGTAGCCCAAGGGTCATAAACGAAGTGGGCGGGGCTAGTGATGTTAAAGTGAGAGAGATTAGCATGTCAGTGTAAACGGCGGCTTTGTTAGTGTTAACTAGGCCTCGGCAAGGTAAGATAAATTACCCTTTTTACCGGGTAAAAGGGTAAAGGTGTCGACATGCCAAGGGGTAAGGGTAAAGGGTAGGGTAAAGGTAGCTCGGAAAAATTACCCGGTAGAGTAAAGATAGCGCGAAGTATTACCCGGTAAATACGGTACCTTGTTTATTGCGAGAAGCTCCGTGGCGCAGTCTGTGGCTTCCATTTAATAAGTAATATTTAAAAACTAAAAAAAGAAAACACGATTTTTTTTTTTTCGATTTAAAGCTTTCGTGACTGCAGGGATTCATCTTCTTGGTTCTTTCGGTAAAGTCACGTAGAAGGGAAGTAATAAAATAATAAAAATAAAATAAAAAATAAAAATAAAACATAATAAAACAATTCTCACCAAGAATTGTTTTATTATGTTTTATTTTTATTATTTTATTACTTCCCTTCTACGTGACTTTACCGAAAGAACCAAGAAGAAAAAAAACACGCTTTTATTAAATGTACTCGTAATGGCAGAACTCCACGACTCCAGGAAGTGGCCCCGAAGCTTGCCATAACGTAAGGGGCCGTGGTGATTTACAGCCAACGTGAGTTGAGCGTGGACAATTAGAGCCAAGCCAAAACATAACGTATACAAAAGATCGTATAAAAATATGTATTTTTTTAGTGATATAATATAGTATTGTCACCATTACGACATACGTATACCAAGTTTGCAGTCGATACCAAATTAGGAAGTGGGTTAAAATTGAGTTACAAGATTTGAGGATACGACAGCGACGAAAACAACGACAACAATGACAACAACGACAACAACAACAATAACGACAACAACAGACAGAGTGAGTTCAAAGAAAGCCATGTAAAATTGGAATCATCGAGAGTATTCTATATGAATAAAGCGCTCTACCTAGCATTTACCGTTATAAACCTTGTTCATGTGTAGTAGTACCCCAGTAATTACCCTGTAATCGGGTAATTTGTATGGGGTAAGGGTTAAAGGTAGGGTAAAGGTAAGCTCGTTGCTTTTTACCTTTTACCTTACCTGCTAAAGGGTAAAAGGTAAGGGTAGAGTGATTGTATTGTGGTAAGGTAAAAGGTAGGGTAAAGGTAGGCTCGTTTTTACCTTTTAACTTTTACCTTACCTTGCCGAGGCCTAGTGTGAACCTGTTAATGTAAAATCAGAGTCGAAAATAACTGCTAACATTTGAAGGTAGGATGGAAACATCACAGCCAGGTAATACCGATCGCCTTCACGCTGACGTCTGTTGCTGTCACTTCTCCTAATGCTAAACGGATCTTGTTCAGGGCCGTCCTAGCCCTGATCTCAGAGAATAAGATTGCTCCGATTTGAACTAGACAATTTAGACAAGACTCTTGAAATCACACTTAACATTGACAGAAAAAATGTCTGCATCTGATTAGGAACATGTAGACAACGCGACAGCCTCTTCAGCCGCCTCAATGTCAGCTAAATGCAAAGATAACCTGATTCACAAGTTCAACCTCCTTTCCAAGAAGAATGCCAGATCCACACATTAAAAAGTTAGACGTTGACAAGATTGTTATCAATCACAGTAACAGTCCAATATCCGACAGCCTAAAATCGGTTCTAGCTAAAAGGTTGAATTTCGCAGTCACCCCTTAACACATCCCAGTTGATATCATTGGACAGGTCGACGTAGCCCTTAAAGGTTTGGGACACATGTCTGCAGATGTGGCAAGATTGTAAATCGCTGCAATCCCATTAGCAACATCAGTAAGGACGAGCGCTTTGAGCTTTCTCAATTTAAAAAGAGAGATGACGTAGTAATGCTCTCAGCCGACAAGGGAAATGCCACTCATCATGGACAAAACCACGTACAAGAACAAAATTCAGGACATACTTAATGATGGTAGCTATACCAAAATCAATAGAGATCCCACCAACCGCCTGGTTACAAAAACCAACAATATCATCACCGATTCGACATCTTTAATCGAATCAACCAAGTGGTTTTCCTCAAAACCCTCTGCTGCTAGACCACCCAGATTGTATGGCTTACCAAAAATCCATAAAGAAGGCACACCACTTGGGCCTATCGTTTCCACCATTGACTCGCCCACCTACAAACTGGCCCGATTTCTGTCTGAGACCTTACAACCATTCACTGGTAAGACCACCTCCGCTGTACTTAACTCGGCTCACTTGGTATCGTTAATTAAGGACATCTCACTATCTCCAGGTGATTTGCTCGTTAGTTTCGATGTAGTATATTTGTTTACCAAAGTTACTGTGCCTGACACCATTGCAATCATTGAAGATTTGGTCCAATAAGGACTGAATGCTGTTGTACAGGCCCTGGTTAAACACTGCCTCACCAACACTTACTTCACCTGGAATGGAACATTCTACAAACAAGTCGAAGGTATCCCAATGGGTTCTCCCTTATCTCCAGTTGTAGCCAATGTTTTCATGGAAAAATTTGAGACGGATGCCATCCAGGCATCTACTCTTCATCCGTCCTTTTGGAAGAGGTACATAGATGACACGTTCGTCATCTGGCCATATGGCCTACCAGCTCTGAACCAATTCCTGAACCACATCAATTCCATACACCCAGCCATCAAATTCACCATGGAGGTGGAAAAGGATGGCACGTTACCATTTTTGGATGTTTTAATCGAAAAGAGACCAGATGGCTCAATGGGACACTTTGTCTACAGGAAAGCCACCCATACGGATGCCTACCTAAAAATTGATTCCCACCACCATCCATCCCAAAATAATTCCCTCATCAAAACTCTACACAATAGAGCTCGTTGTATTTCCGACCAACACCACCTAGCCAGTGAACTGGAACACGTACACCAAGCCCTCAAGATGAATGGATATTCAGACTACACAATCCGTAAATAAATCACCCCAAATGTTGAGAAAGAACCATCTGAGGACCCAATCAAAACCATTACCTTGCCATATATAGCAGGGGTCACCAAAAGTATTTCCAAAATCATGAGCAAATACAAGATCCAGGTTCGATTTAACACAGGACATAAAATGCGTGATTTGATCCCATCTGTGAGGGATGTGATCCCTGACATGCAATATCCTGGCGTCTACAAACTAAGCTGTGCCTGCGGCAGTATTTACATTGGAGAAACTAAGAGACATGTCTCGGACCGTGTTTGTGAACATAAGGCAGATCTGAAACACGGTAGAACCCATACCTCAGCCGTGGCTGATCATTGTTTTAATGCGGTGGGCTCACACGGAATCGATTTCTCCAAGAGCGAGGGTACTCTGCAAACCCACTGATTATCAACAAAGATTTGTTCATGAAGCTAATTTGAACCGAAAAGATGGGTATAAACTGAGCAATCTTTAGAAGGACGTTATTAACCAGGTAAAGTCATAACTGGCTGTGATGCTTCCATCCTACCTGCCGATGTTAACGGTTATTTACGAATCTCTGAGTTACATTACCTTGTTAAATGTCTTTACATTAACAGGCTAAATGTCTCGCTAACATAGTCGCTGCTTCCCTTTTCCTCGATGTGGCGGTGGCTCTCGTTGTTTAATAGGCTGAATGTGTCTCATTAACACAGCCGCTGCTGCGGGAGGCATCTCACATTGAAATGCTAATCTCTAATCTTTAGCAATACAATGGCTTCTTCAGCACCGTAGTCGTGGAGTTACATTAACAGATTGACATGCTAATCTCTAACAATCCAATGGCCGAGGTACATTACTTGTAAATTCCATCTCTAGCCCCGCCCACTTTCCCTTGGGTTGTACCCATCTCAAACCTATATAACCTCTTGCTGCAGTAGTTCTCTCGCTATATTTCTCCTGCCTCAGCAGTTCGCCTGCTATATTTTTTCACCTGAAGACGATTGTTTGTGTTGCGATCGAAACGTCGTGATTTAAAAAAACAATTATATCTATGTGACTTTACTGAAAGACCCAAAGAGTATGAATTCCTGCAGTCACGAAAGCCTTAAGTCATAGTAATATCTACTGACTAGCAGTATTTGCTGACTGTAGTATTATCTACGGACTGCAGTAGTATCTGCTGACTCAATAGTAATATCTGCCGACTATAGTCGAAACTAATGACTCTACAGTAGCATCTACCGAGTCTGCAGTAGTATCGCCCGACTTTACAGTAGTATTTACCGACTGTACGATTCCAAGAACACAGGATGAGATGTTACTATCCTTTGTGCAAGCACTTTCAAGAGTTCATGAACAGTGAGCCTGGTGAAATTTGGGGAGCACATCGTCAGTAGTGTACCTTTGGTTCCTAGGGTGTTTCGGCCTTTCATACTATACACCCTCCCCAAAGGCGGCCAGCGACAGGGTGATCAATCCTACGCTTGCGTCCCATTCCCAATTAGTCATAGGAGTTGCCTTGTTGTAGATAGCCAACATCCCATGGGACTATGCATGGCAGGGGCGTCCTCCCTGAGTCAAGCATTGTTGACCGCATACCTCCTGGCCCTCTCACTTCGGGGCCCAGCTGGGGTCTTTCCTCTTCATCCAGAGCCACTGACTGCTGCGTTCTGCCGCCTCCGATACCGCTCTGATTGCCGAACGCTGGCTCTGGCCCTTAATTCCCAGGTCTCTAAGCAGTCTGGTTGTAGATGTTGCCACAAAACCTCTGCAGCCCACCTCCACTGGTCGGACTTCTGTGTTTCAGCCATGATGCCATGCTTCGGCAGCTAGATCGGCATAGCGCAGATGTTTTCGCTCATAAGCCTCATCTACTGAGTCCTCCCAGGGTACTGTGAGCTCAATGATGAAGACCTTCTTGAGCGAACGGGACCAGAGCACAATGTCAGGTCTTAGGGTGGTGGTTGCGATCTCCGGAGGAAACACAAGTTGCCGGCCAATGTCAGCTAGCATTTTCCAGTCGCGGGCCAAGCGCAGCTGGTCTCGCTCTAATGGTGTAGAGCCGCTCTTCGGTGGTTTAGCCCCTTCGCGGACAAAGGTCGTCCGTAAGTGGTGTGATGCTGCTGGGGGTGGTAGGGAGTTGGTGGCAGCTCGCTTGTCCTCCAGGGCGGACGCAAGGTTTTTAAGGACTTGGTTGTGACGCCAAGTGTAGCGTCCTTGGGTGAGGCTTGTTTTACACCCTGTGAGAATGTGCCTGAGGTTGGCTGGCATGGAACAGAGGGCACAGTCCGGATCTTCACCATACCATTGGTGAAGATTAACTGGTGTTGGAAGGACGTCATATGTTGCTCTGATGGAAAAGCTCAACCGCCTCGCTTCCATGGCCCACAGATCCTTCCAGCTGATCTTCCTCTTCTCCACACTGTCCCATCGAGTCCATTGTCCCTGTTTGGCAAGAGAGACTGCCTTGGCCCACCTTGCAGCCTCCTCCTGATGGCGTACTTCCTGCACTACCATCTTCCGCCGCTCTGGTGCAGTGGCCTTACTCCAAGCAGCACGGCTAGTTAGCCCAAGGCCTCCTCTCCCTTGCTGAACATGACCCACAATGTCAGCATGTCTGAGGGCTGCTGTTGCCTCCTGGACTGCTTTTCCTGGCCTCCATTTGCGCCCAGTTGCCAAGGTCGGCGCGTTGTTGCTCACCACTGGGTCTCGAGATTCATTCAGTGTCATCTGGAGCCTGGTTTTTGCACACTTGAATTCCTCTGTTAGACTGGTGAGGGGCAGCTTGAGGACTCCATCTCCATAGAGGCCTATGGTGGTAAGGCATCGTGGAACTCCGAGCCACTTCTTTAAGTAGCCTGTGACTCCTCTTTCCATCTTCTCCACTGTTGAGATTGGAACCTCATACACTGCTAGGGGCCACAACACCCGGGGTAGGAGAACAAACTGCAGACACCAGGCCTTTAACTTTCCAGGTCGCTGGGTGTTGTCGATGGACTGTAGGCTACTACTGATGTCTTTGCGCAGCTGTTGCACCTGGTCTTTGTCCTTCAGGCTTGCATCATACCACCTTCCAAGGCTTTTTACCGGCTGCTCAGACACTGTTGGGATTTGGTCATCTCCGATGAAGAATTTCAGGTCAGAGAGAGTACTCCCTTCACAATCGAGATGCTGCGTGACTTAAATGGTTTAATCTTCATACGGGCCCAGCTGATGTTCTCCTCGAGTTTTCTGAGCAGTCTCCTGGTGCATGGGACAGTGGTGGTCAATGTTGTAATGTCGTCCATGTAGGCTCTGAGTGGAGGGAGGCGGAAACCAGAGTCGACTCGCTGTCCACCAGTAACCCATTTTGAGGATCTAATGATAACCTCCATTGCCATTATGAATGCCAACAGAGAAATGGTACATCCCGCCATTATACCTACATTCAGGCACTGCCATGAGGTGGTGAACTCTGAGGTGGTGAAGCAGAACTGCAGATCCTGGAAGTACGACTTCACCAGGGTTGTGATGGTGTCCGGTATGTGGAAAAATCTGAAGGCAGACCATAGGAGTTCATGGGGCACAGAGCCAAATGCATTGGCGAGGTCGAGGAAGACTACATGGAGGTCCCTTTTCTCCACCTTGGCCATTTGGATCTGGTGCCAGATCATGCTGGAATGTTCTATAGTCATATATACCGACTTAATAATAGTATCTTTCGACTCTATAGCAGTTAACTACTTATCAGTGCCGTGGTGATGCCTTGTCCCGTGCAGAGCCCCCGGCCTCGCCTAGATTGCCCAGCCGGCTGAGGTGGCACCTTGGCAGCCTGGTCCTGGGCTGCTACACCACCCCCCCCCACCGCCCGCTCTACGATAGCAGTAACTACAAACTCTACAGTAGTGTAGTGACATCGCTGACATTACGGTGTAATGCTGGCTCTAGAGAGGCTTTGCGTGCGATGGACTCACATCGCGGACATCCCGTATATGTGGGTGTAGTACCGGCCCTAGAGGGGCTCGGTGAGCGCTGAGTCATAGCGCTGAGTGGCACTACGCTTGGCGTGCAGTACCGACCCCTACAGGATGGGGTGTGAGAGTATCGGCCAGGGAATGGGGTTACTATAGGCCGTGGCACTCTGGTTGACCCCGGAGGACACGTGACTGGTAAAGTCTACACAGGGGCCCCAAGTGGGGACTAGGGGTGGTCACGTGTTGGGGCGAGATCCTGCTCGAGGATTCGAGAAGGTGGTCGTGGCCAAGGGCGGGGCCAGCCACGACCAGTGAAGGATATAAGCCGGGTCCCCAGAGGGACCGGGGTTCAGCGTTGCTGTTGTCATCTTGAAGATCTACGTTCGACGTCCGAGAAGAGTCACCAACACGTGGACCTGGACCCAAGCTGCGGTCCTGCCCGTTGTAGCTACTCCCAGTGTATTTAGTGTAGTTAGCTTGGTGGTTCACCACCATAGGTTATCTGGTGAAGAGGCAGTTACCCCTTTGTGTTGGTGTCATTAAATGTGTTGCCTCCAAAGAGTACGTCTGCGACTCAGTTGAACTCACTACAGTAGTATCGACTGATCCTATAGTAGTAAGTTCACGCATTGGGGTGGGGGGGGGGAAGAAGAGGACATCACACACTGCTTCTTCAGTTTTTTCTTGCTGTGGTTGTCCCACCTGAAGACAATTGCTTGTGTGGCGATCGAAACGTTGTGATCTATTCTTTTTTTCTACATACGTGACTTTACCGAAAGAACCAAAGAGTATGATTTGTTTACTTTTTCTATACTTTGCACTCCTATCTTGTTTTCGTATTGATTGTTGTTCTAACATTCTGATCAGTCACTACTGGGCATCTGTGAAAAATCGCGTTTTAGCTCATTGGATTCCTGCAGTATAAATAAATATAGTAAACCCTTGTTAAATCGACACATGCGGAGCTCTTGCCTTGCCGAATTACCCAATATTCCGAATTATGTACAACGGTACTCCCCAGTGCCTCCTGCCCCAAACTCTTCACACATTGACATTGACACACCTGCATCAATTTTATCCAAAACTTTGGATTTGTCTCGCAGACTAAGGGATTTACTTGATGTAGGTGTAGACATTTCTGAGGGAGTTGGCTTGCACAGAGTGCATAAACAAGGTAAAGTCCAAAGCGACAGGTCTGCACTGACGCTCACCATGCGCGCTGCCACCAGACTTAAGTCGGTGTTTTGGTCGTGGCGTGTGGCATCGTTCCACGTGTATGCCAAAATTGGGCCATTCGGTTCGGCAATTCGACTCGTAGCAAATTACTAATACCGTATATATTGCCATAGTGCAGCCGTGCTGAATTATCCCCAATTACGAATGATCTCCTCAGCTGAAAGATGACTCAAGCTTGAGCATCTGCCCCCCCCACAAGCCCGGCGCGTCCCCGCTGTCCTCCCGCCACTTCGCCTGCCCCGACTGTTTTCTGCTCTTCACGCTGCACGACCAGTGCCTGCAGCACATGCAGCAGCAGGGCCACTTCCGGAGCACCTACCCCATTGGTAAGCGCATCCAATGAGCTCGTTCGTACCTGATGCTGATATCGGTGGAGAGCAATTTTTTTTATTTTTGGAAGCTACCGGAACCATGCACTTTTAAATCCTGATTGGAAACTAATTTCTTTAGAACTGATTTTTGTGTTTAGTTTGTTGTCCTTCCCCCGCGCCTCCGATTAGCACGGTTGGCTTCGTGCGGTGCAAAAGAAGTTCGACGTACGTACCTGCTCGCTGTGGTTAAGCCACACTCATCAATACCTCTAACCCCCTCCACCTGCTGAACCCTTTGTGATTGGCAGAGAAGCAAAAGGAGCCGTGCCCTATCGTGTTCCCGGACTACGCGAAGAACATGCTGGTGTCCCTGTGCCGGGAGGTGGAATTTACGGTGACGTGCGTCTCCTGCGGGCAGGGACTGCGCAGCAACAATCACGTCACGGAACATTTCAGGTGACCGAGCGTGGGGCTCGGGGGTCGCTTTCTCTCCATTGATAATGGAGCATTGCGGTAGCCTTGGCTGCACCCGGCAGGCCCGCACCAAGAACACGTCGTCGCCACCGGGACCTTTAACACCGCCGTGTAGCGCAACAATGCTTTTGGCTAGCGATCGAACAAAGACGGTGACTGCATCGCGCGCTTTTTACCTCCGTCTGAATAGCTCTTATGTGAAGGCTATGGGGGGTTGGATCTTTGTCTTTAAAGTCTTTTGTTTGCCCGCGGTGGTGGTGGGGGGGGACTTGTGGCAGGTTGCGGTGCCAGGGCGGGTGGCCACTGGCACTGGCCAAGCAACCGGTGAGCGACGTGGCCAAGGTGTTCTGGGCAGCCGGGCGCTGCCTGCTGTGCGCTGGCCTTGCGCTGCTCACGGAGGACGACTGCGCCAATCACGAGGCGGCCACGGGCCACCTGGTGTGGCGCATCAACAACATGCAGGTCGCCCTCATCGCCTTCTGCTACTTCCGCTCGGGCGTAAACAGCGCCGCTGTCAACGACGGCAAAACCAGCAGCAGCATCGGCAAAAACTATGACGGAAAGACGGCTGGCTCACACAGTCCACAGCCCAGCACGTCATCCACCGACACCGGCAAGTAATGCGGTTTGAGAGGTCGGCCAGCCAGGGCTAAACTAAACAAAAAAACTAGAAACTATTTTTTTTATTTTACCTGGTAAGGCCCACTGAGCTGCGTAGGTCTTTTTTTCAGAAGTGACCTGACTATCACAAATGATAGCTCAACGAAGTGGCTTATCGTGTGGAAATATATAGCAGCCGACTACTCTAATCGCGTGTTGTTGATTCTAAATGTGGAGAGAAAAACCGGTGGACCCGGAGAAAAATCCACATTAGCACAGGGAGAGCATGGAGACTCCGAATATACAGGTATAAGGGTCAGGATAGAACCCACGACCTCCTGCCTGCATACCAGGCGAGGTAGTTAACATCTCACCACCCGCCAAGCATACGAGGGCTAGGCCGTGCTTTCAGGTTTTGTAGCCAGTCCTGGGTGATGGCCGTAGAGTTGTGATAAGGGCTGTGGTGACATTCCCTTTAGTCGAGCAATTTAGCCGGTACGATTGGTCATTTCATTTCGTATCCATCAAACTGACCTGGTGAGGTCATGACGACGATTTGTAATGGTGTTTAAATCAGCAGCTATGCAGGTCTCCTCTCAACAGACGACATTGAAGCAGATACCAATTTGTAATGATTAATCATAATTTATAACACGGCCTCAAACAATTGTTCTCAGGACGTTATAATTTGTGAGGTACCACATACAGATAGCTGTGTACAAAGTATTTCCTCGTCTAACACGGTAGATGCGTTCCTGAAAGGTGTGTTAAGTAAAAGCAACATTTGCACTCAAACCAGCCTGGAGTCGTGCCATGGCGGGACAAAGAACTGAGATGAGGGTACACAGCGTACTGTATCGTTCCGCGTACTGTATCGTACCACTCGGTTGCGCAGCTTCAGAAAGTAGTTTGTTGTTCACCGCTCAGGAACCGAGTTCTAACAGGCGCGTTGTTCAGAAAGTCTTCCCAATAAAAGAACCGTGTTATAGCGAAAACGTGCGAAGCGAGGAGTTACCGTACGAGATATTCACCCCTGCACTGACCGTGCCAGTGGGTGGCAGTGAATAATGACGCCGTCCTTCGATTTACTGTGCACCTGTTCTGATCTCCCAGTTACAAAAAAACTACTCAAAGGTATTGGCTAGGTTTCCTGAGCAGAACCATCCCGAAATAGTCCCGAAGCTCATTTGGAGTCTTCATGGGTTAAACACAAATACATTTTTACTGATCTTGACTGAGTATTTTATTTAGAACAGTTTTTTCTAAATATTACCTTTTAAATGCTGCGTTACCGTCGCTTGGTGTGTGTGCGTGTGTGTATATTGCGCAATCGACAGGTGCATTTCCACATCCCGCTTGCAGCAGCAACAACAACGACGACAATGGCAGCGGTGTCGGAAACATCATCGGTGGCAGCAGCAGCAAGGCTGCAGGCGGCGGCAGGGCGACGGAGGCCCCGCAGTGGGTGTGCGAGTGCGGCAGCGTCCTGGCCACGGAGGACGAGGCCTTCGAGCACCTCGTGGCAACCAACAGCGTGCACTTCCGCTGCCTCGTGTGCCGTACGGTCTTCCTAGCCGAAAGCATTGTGAGGCTGCACATGAGCCGCACGCACGGCGGTGCGCACTTATCCGACTACGAGCGCTGGTGCTGCTCGTGCCGCATTGAGGTGCCCAGTGGACGCAACGGCATTGCGGGCCACCTGCTGAACTACCACCCAGGCCACTCCTTCTACTTCGAGCGCCGCGGCGGTGACGACGACGAGACTCCGGCGACGGAAGCGACGGCGGCGCCAGAATATCCCGCGACAGAGCCGGCGCTCGGTGCAGCGGCTGGTGGCGCGCAGGGCTCGGAGGCGGCCGGCACGAGCGGGGCTTCCCCGCAGAAGGATAACACCGTGGCCGTGAGGCCCAGGGACAGTGATGAGCAGCAGAAGACTCTGAAACCGCCCAGGAAGAAGCACAAGGTTGCTGACAATCGCGGGCCAATTTACAAGTGCTGCTTTTGCAAGAAGGCAAGCTATCTACTGGAGGCTATTCATGACCACCTGAAAAGTCACATGCAGTCTAATCTATCCAAAAAGGGCCCGCACTACCTGGTTTTGTGTCCAGAGTGTCGAACGCAGCTGTTGCCAGGCAAAAGCACGTGCCAGCGCTGCGGGAACAGGGTCAGCGGCGGTGGGAGCAGCAGTAACAATGGGGTTGGGAGTAGTGGTGGAGGTGGTTACCCCTTCTTAGCGGCCTACATGAAAGTTCAGTTGGACTTGGAGCCCAAGCCCATGCCATTTGAGTTCACAGCGTCTCCATCTCCGGAAAGCAGTGAGTGCTGGCATTTTGCTTTAATTGCTTTTGTTCTTTGAGATTCTCCGTTACTCTGAACTGAGAGTAACCAAAGACATAGTGTATACATACTGATGATTTGGGAGGTGGCGTGGTGGTTATTAGCTTGTCACACAATGAATCCTGGTGAGCTCTGTTCTTCGCTACTGCTGAGAGACCAGTGGAAATTGAAATGTAAACCTGTCCCGTCGCAACCCTTCATTCACTTCACCAACCAGCTCACGGTCATAGAACTGCCGTGATCCACACCATGAAGGGAGGCCTTCCACCAGGAGTGCATGTTTGCCAAAGAGTCTATTATTTAGGAATTATTATAATGCAAATTAGATGTTAAAGTACAGTAAAATCCACAGTGAGCCAGATTTTGCACTTAGCTAGACCAGGTCCGCTAAAAAAAAAAAAAAACTAATATGTATATTTATTCAGAATATTTAACACACTACGTTTGGAATATTTTACATAATGTAATGCATGACGGAACGCGCTCGAGCATGCTATTGCACTTTTATGTAGTTGCATTGTGTGTGAAGATTATTTGCGTAAATACATTAGCGGTAGAGGGTGACGGGGAGGGAGTGAGAGGGGAGGGCGGCGGTGGGTGATGTATGGTAGGGGGAGTGAGGGGGGGGAGCCGTGTACCGTCGAAACGACTGCAGTACTATAAAAAAACACACCACAAGTACTCTCTTATTTTGGTCTGTACACTAACACACGCGCCAGACCTTTCAGATCTGGGAACGAGGGCTCCACCCTATTAGTCTGGCAATTCGTTTTTTTTTTACTAAACTAAAAACTAAACTTTTATTTTACCAGGTAAGTCCCACTGAGCTATGTAACTCTTTTAGAAGTGACCTGGCCACAAATGATAGCTCTATGGAAGTGGCTTATCGTGTGGACATGTAAAGCAGCCAGATACTCTAAACATGTTATGTCAATTCTAAACGTGGAGGGAAAACCCAGAGAACCCAGAGAAAAATCCACGTGACCACGGGGAATACATGCAAACTCCAAATATACAGGCGTTATATTTAGGATAGAACGCAGGACCTCCTGTATACTAGGCGAGGTTGTTAACATGTCGCCACCTTCAGGCCTCTTGCAAATGTGATTTGATCGCTCGAGCAAGACACAATGATGTACGTGCTTGGTGTGTGTGGAGTGTGCTTTGTGTTTTACATATCTGCGTGGGTGGGGGGGTGGATTTTTGAACAACCAGGCCCCGACTCAAGCAATCAGGAGCTCCCGGACGCCGACTACCTGAGCACCATGTCACACGTTCTCCTCATTGACCTGGACAACTGGCCCAACTTCTTTCAAAAACTCCCTGCGCAGCTGCAGACTGGCATCTTCATATGGGGCTTCAAAGGTGAGGAGTAAGCAAAGGGGTGAGTAAGATTAGGAGTAAGCAAATGGGTGAGTAAGATTAGTGGCCTTGAGCCATGGTTGTCATCCTTACCCCCCCTCTCTACCCATGAGGAAATAAAATGACAACCAATTTCATCGTAAGCTAGCGATGGACAATGTTGATTGGCGCTTTGCCGAATGTGTTTTTAACTCCTGTGTAACCTCTTATCATCGCTGTTTCAATTAAATAAACACTCCATTGTGAATCTGGCATTCTAGTACTGGTCTAAATAAACTTTTTGGATTCTACTTCTCGATGGCAGGTTGGATGTGAAGGCAACCCTGCTGGCTTTTGCCATCAATTCCAGGCTCTGGCTCACTGTTCAGTATGAAGTACCTTCAGTTACTCTTGTGATCCACATGCTGCATGTTTGATCTCCTTGCGTGACAGTTTCAACGATGAAGTATAAACCATCAATCTGACTCCGGTCATCCTCGCAGCAGCACCTTTTTTGCTGGCCATTGAACAAAGACAGTCACCCCATCGCGCGCTTATTAAATGCGCTACTGCGGCTTCTGGAACACTCTTCTGATATTAGGAAGCCACTGCAGATATGTATTTTTAAATCATCTAGTTTAAAAACTAATTTCTTTAGAACTGATTTTTGTGTTTAGTTTTTTGTCCTTTCCCCCGCACCTCCGATTAGCACAGTTGTCTACGTATGGTGCGGAAAAAGTTCAACATACATACAGAGGTTGCTTAAATCCCTCGGCCTCTGCCACACAGCACCAAAAATTGGGTGCAGCACAGTTAACCGATCGGCAGGTCGCGTCTGGTGGGGTAAAGTGTGGGTATATGAAACGCTTCCAAGATGTCTGGCTAGCGTGGAAGTCCGTGTGTGGAAGCCCTTCCACCAGCAGCGGTGTGAACGGACAGTCGCGTGGCTGCACCCCTTCACGCTGTGCTTGCGTTCGTCCCCCGGGTGGCGTTGCCAAACCAAGGCGGAAGCAACAAGTGGCAGCCACCCAGGGATTGTGCCGCATACCGTCAGCTGCAGCAGCAGGGCTGCTTTTTCCTACACCCGCAGTGCAGTGGGCGCAAGGACGCCGCCGACTTCGCCATCTGCCTGCACGTGAGTTTCAAAAGATTTTAAAGACTAAGATCCCCCCCTCCCTTCGTGTAGACTTAACAGACTCTTGGGGTAAGTGCTGTTAGTGAGCATCTATGAAGGCCAGAACGGCACACGAGGGAGTGGGTGGCCAGCACCACGCCCGGCCGCCTTTGTCTCCCGAGTGGCAAAGTTTTTTCCACATCGCACCAAGTACTCATTTGAGACTGTATTGACCTAGGGGATGCCCAAGACTGGTTCAAATAATTGTCACTGGTGATGGCCGTGAGCGGGAATCGAACTCGGATGGCTGGTTTCATATCGCAGCGCGCTAAACGCTACACCCCCCCCCCCCACCCCTACAAACGTACACCGTTAGCCTAGTGCGTCATTCAGTCATTAACACTGATGCATAGTCTGGTCTGTCATTCAGTCACTTATAAATTGTTGTGTGTTGGTGTATATATGTATATATTTTTGGTGTCTGTGCAAAATAACCCCCTAACCTCATGGTGCTGGACGGGCAACGCTGTCGTGGGCAGTGCCGTGAGGGGAGGGCCAATTCAGATTGGCCTTTCCCCTCAGGGCGTCTGTGACCACCGTAGCGGCTAAATGGGGGCTCTGGATGGGTGCGAGGGGCTAGTAACCCCTCCACCTTCAATAAATTACCACTAAACCACGACTGAAATATCTAACTAATAAGCTTGTGCCGGAGGCCCCGGGCAGACAGGCGTCTATGACGTCTGCTGGCCAAACCCCATTTGGCGGAGCCAGGAGATTGAATCTCTCGGGGCTCCTCCAGGAACAATGAAAAGCCACTTCGGATGGCCACGTGGAATGTTCGAACGTTCACTGCGGAGGAGAGGCTGCCACTCCTGTCGGGAGCTGGATTGGTACCGCCTGGATCTCTGGCATTCAGGAGGTCCAGTGGACCGGATCTGGCTCCTGCCACCATGAGGGGTGGACAGTCCTCTACTCGGGGCAGGAGACTGCCAAACAACAGGGTGTGGCTCTTCTTCTGAACAATATAATGAAGGGGGCGTGGGAGCGTGGCGGTGAAGTGTGGGAGGCTGTAAGCCCCAGGCTACTTTGGGCTTGCCTTCCCATCAACCACAGGCGAGGAGTGGTGGTCGTGTTTACTTATGCCCCCACCAAAGACGAACATCCATGGAGGGATGCAGGCAAGGCCGATGAGTCAGATGCTTTCTATGACCTGTCACAGGTGCTGGCTAAAGTGGCCCCTTGGGATAGTCATCTTGTTGGGTGACTTCAATGCCCGAGTTGGTCATGATGCTGGCACCTGGTCTGGAGTGATTGGAAGGCATGGGCCAGATCAGCTCAATAACAACAGTAGGCGGCTGCTAGATTTTTGTGCAGCCCATGGGCTTGTTATTACCAACACTCTGTTCCGGCATTGGCGCATCCACACAACATCATGGATGCATGCCGGGTCCAAGTAAGAACATCTGCTGGACTACATAGTGACGGACCAGCGGATGCGAGCCAATGTCCTTGACACCAGGACCTACCGTGGAGCTGATCTGCCCTCTGACCATCGACTAGTCATCTGTAAGATGCGCCTGCCTTTCTTCCACTCCGGTGGTGGGTGTACACCCAGACGATGGCATTGACAACAACAGTCATTACAATGACGTTAATGATGAAGAAGGTGCTGAAGGCAACATTGGCGACGACGACAACAAGGATTTTGATAAACAACATCGTCGGTGACGATCACAGAGACGACGAGAGTAGGGACAACGTCGCAGACGACGGCGGCGGCGACGACGATGAATTAGCTACACAACCGTTTCGGCGCCGGAACCTGTGTTTTGATGGTCTGCGTTTGCCTCGTACTGCTCGCGCGTAGGCCGGGCGCATGGACGCGCAGCTGCCCAAGCACATCCCCCTGTCCGTGCTGTCGGGGGACAAGGGCTTCATGGAGGTCAAGGAGCAGTTTGCTCGCACGGGACGCCCGTCACACATCCTCGACCCCCACAACACTGACGCCAAGCTGCTCTGCGCCCTCATCAACAGCATCTCAGACTCTGACAATGGTACGGCTACCGTGTGTGTGTGCGGAATCTTTGCGTGCGGTTGCTTGGGTGCGCATATGTGTCTGGCTGTGGGGAGCGGTGGCGCAGCAGTTTGTGTGATGCGCTACAAAAGCGGCGACCCCCAGTTTGATTCCCGCTCATGGTCATTGTAAGTGATGATTTTTTGAAGTGGTCGTGGGCCTCCCCTAGATCGACTCGGCCTCAGCTGTTGTGTAACCATTGGCACTGGGGAGACAAAGGCGGTCAGGTGTGGTGCTGGCAACCCACCCCTTCGTGAACCGTTCCTGCCTTGCTTAATAGGTGCTCGCTAACAGCACTTGCCCTAACAGTCTGTAAATGCCTATATGGGGGATCTTTGTCTGTAACGGCATGTATGCAGGTTTGTGTGTGTAGGCATGTGCGTGTGTGTCTGTATGCCGGTGCGTGTTGTGTGCCAGTAACCTTATGTACAAACCGTCCTTTTCTGTAAACTGAAAGGACTGCTCAAAAGAGGAAGTGTAACAACCTTCTAAGGGTTTATGACACAAACTATCCTTTGCAGCTGATGAAGACCTCTATTCATACGTCCAGGCTAAAGACCCTGGTCCGCTCCTCTGCCCAGGACTGTCTTCACTGTGTAATGTTTTAATGCACACTTCTTTCCAAACCATCGTCTCCTTTCCCTGCCCTGTAGTCCCCTCAATGGGTAATTAAACCTCTTCGAGGTCCCCTTTGATGTGAGAGCCCCTCCGCTGTTGTACAGTATATTGAGACGTTAATTATCTGCACACCCGAACATTTCAAAGGGTTCTCACAATTCACTGTTATTGGCCACATAAAGAAATTGGAGCCACTAAAAAGCTATGCTGCCTTGTGGTACCGATAAGTGAAATATCTGGTCTGGGCTCGTGGGCTAAAGGACAGTGTGTTGTGTGTCCACGTGTGTGACTGCTGTGTGTATACGTGTCGTGTGAGTGCAGTAGACGCCGAAGAGGAAGCTGAGCTGAGGGAGGCGTTGGCGCGCAGTCTGAAAGACATGGGGTCCACGCAGTCCCCTCTTGCATCCTAACCTCTCTGCGTGACCTGTCCCTCAGTTCACCTCAGAACCTTCATTTGACCTTCCTTAATTTTTTAATGAGCATTGATTTTTGATCAACAGACAGCGCTCTGCTTTGAGCTATGACTATTGTATCATCCACATGGAAAGTGACAAATCTTCATTCTGATTATGCCAGTGTGCTCCATTTAGGCAAACCAAACAAAATAAAGACTGCAAAATAAAAAAACAGAAATTTTTTAATGGTGTAACTGCTTGGCGAAATGAGATGATTGCTTTTGTTTATACTGGTAGGAACCTCCTGGTTACACCAGCCCACAGGGGATTATTGTGTCCGTCCGTCGTGCAGGGAGGGGCTGGGTGGGGAGGGGCTGGTTGGTGAGGGTGGGCTGGGTGGGAGGGATGGGGCTGGGTGGCATGGGGCTGGTCACCCCGTGGTGCCCTTATAAAACTCAACGTGTAACCTACTCACGCCGGCTTGTGCCCGTCCTCACAGTCGGGCATATTTGTGGAATACACCACGCCGCCGTTGACCCTGGCCATTGACCGAGCAAGCCAAAGTTCCTACCAGCTCCCTCCGCAGGAATGTATTGTTACCTGTCCATGACATGGCAACTAAAAAAAAGTCATTAAATTAACTAGAGAATTTTTTTTATTTTTATGAAAGGGTGGATGTTTATCATTTACTCACTGGATCTTGGTAGGCCATTTATTTATCTGTCACTTAGTTAACTCACAGTTGGTGTATATTGATCAGAAGATGAAAAAATTAACCCGTAAAAACAAAGTTTTTCACTATAAATCCTTTATATGTAAGATCACCTCTTGACATGCCCCGTATATTCCCGAGGGCACTAGCGTTGACCCGTTTTACCACTTTCAAGAACCTGGCGGCTTCAATGTAACTGCTCTATAAATAGTCTCCATTGTACAGCGTGGGGGCAGGGATTTCATGCCATGTGGTTAGTCAACATTTGCGTCATCATGAAACGGGCAGCTAGAGTCCTCTCGTCCTCTGGCTTGAGATGGCTGCCACCTATGGGTCAGATGATTGTCTGCCAGTATTAAGCAATTGGTAATTCAATATTTAATTTGTTTTCCCTAAACAGTGTAAAATTTTGGAAAAAAAATTTTCACGAACATTAATTGTCTCGCACAACGAGTCTGTGTGCAAAATGTCAGCTCGATTGGATCACGGGAAGTGGGTTAAAAAACGAGCGAAAGATTTGCACGGTCGTAAGCAAGCAAGCACGCAAGCAAGCGAACTTAATATAAGTAAACCCGTAAAAACAAAGTTTTTCACTCTAAATCCTTTATATGCGTGGCGGCTAGAGTCCTCTCGTCCTCTGGCTTGAGATGGCTGCCACCTATGGGTCAGATGATTGTCTGCAGTATTAAACAATTGGTAATTAAATATAATATTTTTGTCCTATAAAGTGTAAAATTTTGGAAAAAATTTTTCACGAACATTAATTGTCACGCACAACGAGTGTGTGTGGAAAATGTCAGCTCGATTGGATCATGGGAAGTGGGTTAAAAAACGACCGAAAGATTTACACGGTCGTAAGCAAGCACGCAAGCAAGCGAACTTATATAAAGGATTTAAAAAGAGGCATTGGCCCAATTTAAATGCTCCAGTTATTTGTGAGCAGTTTGCCCCAAAAAAATGTTGGCTTTAAAATGTAAAGTAATACGTTTTGCAAGAAATGTTTTATGATTTCCCAGAGCGTATTCTCAACTTTGTAAATATGATTCAAGTTCCACGGGTATGTGAGCCATCACTTATTAACCTTTCCACAATGGGTCCATCTCTCCTACAGCTACACAAGTTCTCAGACATCATTGTCTCAACAGAGCCGACTCCAATTTCAACCTTTTTTGCCTTTTTCTTCAACTGTAATGTGCTTTATTTGACCTGTGCTCTCCAAAAAAATAATTGACAATTAAAAGTGAAGGGTGAAGTTGTGGTAGGGCTTCTCTGTGGGATAATGCATTTCGATTGAAAACTTGGCCCAACAGTCTTAAGGCTATATGGGGATTCTTTGTCTTCATATGTATGTCGAACATCTTTCGCACCGTACGTAGCCAAGCGTGCTAATCAGAGGTACAGTACTATCATAGACGGTGCAGCCTAAATGCAATGGATTCCAGTGCTGCTGCTGCTCCACTGTAAGCTTAAGCATACTTTGGGTTTACAGCAAGTCCTCGTTCAGCGCCGTAAGTGCATTCCTTAAAAGTGCCGCGTTAAGCGAAAACAATTTCCCTATAACTGACGGCAACAATAATGTTTGGTGAGATGACGTCCGCACGCAGCGGTACAATTCACTGAGGGTACGCCGCCACGTTTTACTATCATTCTGCGTAGCGTATCGTACCGCTGGGACCGCGCAGCTCAAGAAAGTAGTTTGCCGTCAACCGCTCAGAAAGCGCATTACAACGGCGAGCCGCGCTATAACGGTTTGCGCAGTCTGCGTTGTGTGAAAAAATCCCAATGGAAGAAACCGCGTTCACGTGGAAAACACGTTACGTGAACTACGCGTTAGGCGAGGACTCCCCATAGTTTTATTAAAACCATACAACAAAAATCGCTTAGGATCAGATAAGCGTGTATGGCATCGGATTGATAGGGTAAGGATGCTGCCACGATGTAATGGCCACCGGGTTGATCTCCCAGCGTGGCACTTGAAACCGGTCAAGTTGCGCACCTCCAATTGATCGGCAGTGCGCGTGTGGTGGGGTTACACTTGTGAGTGGTTACTCCCGCTTCCAAGACCTATGGTCAGGGTGGAAGAGTAGACCAAATACCCTCTAGAGGAGGCCATTTTATCAGCAGTGGCCTGACCAAGCAATTGCAGTGCTGCTGCATCTTTATGGCCTCGGGTTGAGTATTTTCTAGATCTATTCTCCTTTGGAACTTGGTTACATGCATCATAAGTGATTGTCTATGCCTTAAAATCCACAGCTCCAGAGTAATGGGTTAGAATGCCATAACATTTGTAAGTGACCATCGGTTGTGATAATAAAACTTTTGTGCGTAATTTTGTCCCATTGGGTTCTGACCGTATCGCCGCGAATTCCCGTACATTACTCAGGTGGGGTTAAAATGCACGGTCATCATCCCACAAGGGACATCTGAGAATCCAGTCGCCAAGGCAATGTTGACAATGTGCTGTTTTACTGGTAGGAACTTCCTGGTTACACCAGCCCACAGGGGATTATTGTGTCCATCCGTCCGTCGTGCAGGGAGGGGCTGGGTGGGGAGGGTGGGGCTGGGTGAGGGGTGGGGCTGGGTGAGGGGCTGGTCACCCCGTGGTGCCCTTATAAAACTCAACGTTTAACCTACTCACGCCGGCTTGTGCCCGCCCTTAGTCGGGCATGTTTGCGGAATACACCACGCCGCCGTTGACCCTGGCCATTGACTGAGCAACCCAACGTCCCTACTAGCTCCCTCCGCAGGAATGTGTTACAGGGAAGTTCGGTGGGTCCCTACCATATGGTTGTGGAATTTAAACCACTGCCCTTTTTCCTTGGAGGAGGGAAAATCTTGTGTTCAACCCTGAAAACTAATTTATTTATAACCGCTTCTATGTTTACTTTGTAGTTCCCCTCCCCGTACCTCCGATTAGCACGGTTGGCTACATACGGTGCGAAAGAAGTTCTACATAGTCTAACAGCGTTAAATGCGTGCAACATCGCAACCCAGACTAAAACGCTCGTTTTCACAATGTTTAATTGGTATACCTCGTGAGTTTTTTCCCTCTCAAAATCACAGTACAGAAAACAACGTAACTGCTGGTGCGGTCCCTCTTCATGCGTCACATGTACAGCATCGACGATTGAATCCCTAACTGCACGCGTACACGCACAGACCACTACTATTCCAACTCGGGGGCGAATGGCAAGCGTACAGCTGTTTTCAAACGCAAGCCTGAATCGTCTGATAAAGTCAGATTGTTAACGCAAGTTTTTTTTTTATATTTGTGTGTATGAAACAACCATTTTATATTCGTCTGTATCGACTGTTTAGGGCAAATGTTGCTGACGCGTTCGCAAAGCCGGCACATAAGCATGGTCTATTTCACTTTCGTCAACACAGCACCAAGTACTTTCGGGTGAATTGGCCCAGGGGAAGGTACCCCCTCGCCCCCATTCCAGATTTCCAAACATTATTATAACTGCATCGTGCACAGACAGGAACCAAACTGAACATGATACTGCAAGGGAACCCCTATGCGGCACAAAGAGCACACACACTGACATTTAAATAGTCTGTGCTGCTTTAACCTGCCTCCGTTACTTTGCCAAGGATACACAAGTCGGTTACGTTATTTAACTCACAAAATTGTAATAATGCGATTTGACGTTTTATAACAGGAAACCATGTGTCGGCGAGCTTACGTAAGATGCGACACAGTTTTGTGCTTATGCCTTTGAAATGTATTTTGCAGATACAGAATTATTTAAAAATGTTTCCGTAACCACTTAATTCAATGTTGACGTATTACAAACTCTCATTGAAGAGCGGCGGCGGTGACGTGGCCTTGTGGGAGCGCGCTCACCTCTTACGGAGGTTCACGGTTCAAATCCCAACGGCCGCCCTGGTTATTACTGTCGGTATAATAACCCGAACACTACACACACCAGTGGACGTTAAAGATTCTGTGAAGTCATTCGCAAGAGTATTCCGTTGTGTGCCGGCAGCATGGTCCAAATTTAAAAGATTTGAACATCACACCGCAAATTACTCACTTGGGATTACGCAGCATTCATTGCTCGTGAGTGGCAGGCTCTATGTTACTCTTGTCCAGGGGCTCCTCTACTTACGAACATTCGACTTACGCATTTTCAGAGATACGAAAAAACATGTCCACATGTCCAGTTGCCTCTTCGGACCGATAGTCATAAGTTTAACCGCGCAATAGATGCAGTGGTGGCATCTCCGTCTGCAGAACATGAAGAACCAGTGGCATCTACAGGAGATTATACAACTTTTTAAACCATTCCCCGCGTTTAGTGTACATGCCTTACAACATGTTTGGAATCGACGGTAGTTAAAGTTGGACTTGTGAACAAAACCAACAGACTTCTGGAACCTAACGCGTTCGTAAATAGAGGAGCCCCTGTAAATGACACTATGCTGGCCCATTCAGTTCTCACCTGGATTAAACCGAATCAACTTCACATTTGGCGGTGCACGTAGATGATGGATGTCAAATTAACTTTGGCCGATCAAGCCACTTTCAAACCTGGTCTCACCATTGATTAATTTCCTATACATAGGTTATGAATAAAACCAACATGAATATGCAGTGGATCCCGACTTGATATTCTTAAAGGCAATATAACCTCGGGCATTCTTTATTCAGATACATTTCTGACCGGAAACGGTTATTACAGCACTGCGCTTAAAATCAGGTCATCTTGTAATATATTCGTTTGCATCATGGAAAAAAGCATCCCAACCCATTGGTGATGTCCCCTCATAATTTCCGATAAGTGACTAAGCTAATCGTTCAAATGTCTTGGCAGTGCCCCATGTTCTGTACGACGGTGATACAGTGTGCCAAGCCTAATTTGACAATATAGGCTTCAGTACCCTACTTACAATATTTCCAATACATTTTGACATTTCCTAAGCTATTCTGCTTAAGTAATTTCTCAAGTTGAAGAAACTGTCCTTGAAGCTGCTACGGTCAGCAGAACTGGAGCTACTTCACGTTAGACCAGTCTCACCCAACACGAGATGGTGCTCCCAATGTGCCCTCTAAAAAAGAGTGACACCCTCATGTTAAGTCAACCGATATATTCATAAAACCGAGTCCTTAAAGCTATGTTATGATACTTTAAGCAAAAAAAACGACATTCGTATGGCAAGTGTGCTGCTATTCGTTGGTGACCAGGCCAAGACCATAGACTCGCGACACTTATGCAGTTAGTTTAAGTTCCTTGTGACTAAAAACCAGATTTAGACTCAAGCCCCAGGGCCTCTGCAGTGCAGGCTCAGTGTCCTTGACGCAGCCATCGAGCCACCCGGACACATCTCACAAACTTGGCAAACACGCGTAGCCCAGTCGGCCAATTACGGTTCCAATTATTTCACACCTAGCCCCAGCGAGTAATAAGCTCGACTGGTGTGGGTTTTTTTCCCTTCGCGTGAGACGTCGCGTTACAAACGTTCGAGGAGCGAGGCGCGTCCCAGCGCGACGCGTTTCATTGCACGACGCGGTCGCCGCCGTGCCTCGCCGCACGATGCTTGCCGATCCGCGTGCACGCCGCTGCACCAATCCCATCACGCGTCAATACTTTATTCGAATAAAACGACGCTGCTCGGCTCGCAAAAGCTCATAAAACCCGTGTTTTGCAGGCGCAACACGACACCCGATTGCACAGTGCGATTTCCGAGGATTACAAACTTTGCTGCGCGTCATTTGACCGTCGAACCCTGATCTGTACACATGTATACTGAGGTGTCTCTCCATCATCAATCGGACACGAGGCCGTTGTACGTAGGCAGCGCTCTGGCAGAAGCAGTCTGAGGTGGGAACAGCGGGGTCACAGAACCACACGGATGTTCCAAAATGTTGTTCGTGAATGCTATCGTAAAAAATCCACTCGGAATTGGCCACGTATGCTAAGCAAGGACCCTCCCGAAGAAATTAGTTTTGAGACTCGGTGGATTCATTATTCGTTGAACAAATATGTAACATTATTCTTGTTTATGGGGGCACATTTAAATGCGTTACCTCTTTCAAATGGAGGCCTGCATGCTAGTTACGTCGCCACAGGTATTAGCTGTGTCGACCATTCGCCTCCCCCGTCTGATCTCAGAAGATAAGCAGGATGGGCCTGGTTAGCAGGTGGACGGGAAGCATCAGGGCTTGGCAGTCACTGTCGGCATGGGGTTGTGGGGTGGCCAGGCGGTGTCAGTGCCGAGTGTCGCCCCTTCAGAGAGCGAGGGTGTTCTCCGGGAACTCCGGCTTCCTCCCACAAGCCGTTTGTCAAATTGGCCGATCGAACCCAATGGCCAGGACCCTACTTTAAAAATCGAAAAGTATTGAGACTCAGTGTTGCACCCCTCGGTGATTGGCAATATTATTAATGAGACCCGTCAGCATTTGTTTAACTGGCCACATTGTTCTGGTCCATCTCCCAATGTTGAAACCAGGCGAAGATCCGCCGCCTAGGGAAATGGTGCAGGAAAACACGTTGGTTTGGAAGGCTCGCTCACCGATGGATCCAAATGCAATTACATGTTTTTTTGGCCTGTGAAACAGACGCTTGGATCCATGATTGTTCAATATACATTAACAATTTAGTGTGGAGATGTTGAGATTTTGGCAAAGGCAGCAGTGTCCAATGGCCTCCTCTTCCAAACAATGGAACACGTTCGATAGCGTCATCCTTGGCACGCTTGGGTCATTCTCAGAAAACGCGGCCATCAGCCACAAAGATTCAAATCGGCTGGGTGATGCTGCGGATAAAACGCTTGACCCACAATCGAAAGGTTACGAGGTTCAAATCCCCCGCCGTGGAATGACTCGGCCCCATCATCCCTCGAATGGTGGTCAAAATGAATACCCCTTTGTTGGAAGTCACCTGCGGTCCTACGGAGAGACTGGTGTCTCCAACTGGAATGTGGAGCTTCCGTGCGTCTCAGGGACCACCGATGGAGATCAACAGGGAGACGCCGACTTAACTTTAAAGATTGGAAACTGTACATTCCAGATCGACTCTAGATGACAAGGGTCCACGTCGCTAGGCCACCCTGCGTTCCACAATAACACAGCACTCGGACATAGGAACAGTTACAAAACATGAAAGTTCACCACTGGATGTCGCTGTTCATTATTTCCCGACCCGTAACGCTCAAAGCAGCTCATTCCCAACACGCCAGGCTGCGACTGCCACTAGCCACTGTTAATAATCAGCAACAAGCGGAATGAGGGAACAATGACACAGCAGTTGTCGCACTGCGCTGTAAACCCGACAAACCGAGTTCGATTTCTGTCGACAGCTGACATCAGTACAGAGTGTTGGCAAAACCCGCACTGACTGGCGTGAAGTATGGCCAAACATTCCCCATGACCGGGACGGCGTGGGGAGGCCTTGAACCAGCAGCGGATTAACGAAGGACTGCGGATTTACAAGTGTGGCACTTTCTAGGTATGCGTTCTAGAAATGAAGCATTCTGAACATTTTATTACCGTTGGGGTCAAATGTTAATATACAGTAGAAATGAGCATCTTCTGACTCCCTTAACCCAAATAATACATTTTAAAAAACGTGGGTGCTGTTGAAACTTTAAGATAAAACAAACTCGTTATCCCCATCCTTTAACAAGGTGCAAATCTACTGATAATCGTCATCTCCTCCAATCGAGACCTGGCAGGCCATTTGTATCTAGGAGCAGTCCAACATTTAGGGGTGGTTTTTTGCAAGAGCTCTATGCACGTAAGGATTTTGGCTGCAAGTGGCACACAACGGCCATTTTTTTTTTTTGCAAAACGATGGCATCACAAGAGTCTTAATGGCCGGCCCACTTTGGGATCTCCTCGCGAAAATTACCGGGCGGACGGAGCAAAAATTTAAACCTTCCACTCGTCGATATCGGACGATGTGCAAAGCGGCTTTAGTGGAGACACCTCCGGTGATGCAGGCGACGCCTTCCCACAAACGGCAGGCAGTGGGCAGCTTTGATTTTGTCGTCTCCTGGATTCCACCGCCTCACGGTGAGCTCCCGAGAGGCCGGGGGATCCACAGCCACCGCACGTTCTTTCCCTCGGCATTAATCGGCGTCGCCGCGGCCGGAGAGAGAGATCCGAGCCTCGGGCTACATCGACGTTCTGTTTGCCGGTGCCTGCTGCGTTGCGCACACACGGCGCGGCGCACACACACAGAGCGGCACATGCACGGTCGCTGCGTCCATAGGTGGAGCGGGAAGCTCCAGGGCGAGGAGCACGGGTTGGGGGGGGGGCAAGGCAACGTTTTGCGACTCGACAACGAACATTAAAACCAAACCCTGTTTTGCTCAACGCAGGATCTAGGAGCCGGTCCGGCACGAGCCCCGCTCTGGAAACGCCGGGGTCACCGACGTCACCCCTTAGCATTTTCTAAGCGGCGAGGGTCGAGCGCGTGTGCTTGACTTTCTGTCACGTCTCCCGAGGACTCCTTGTCTACAGCGCCGCCTGCCGCTGCGAGAACGACGGCGTTAACGGGCGGCGCCGTGTGCCGCCTCCGCGCCTCCTCCCTGGGCGTGCCGGGCGCCATCGCTACAAGAGGCCGCAGCTGTTGAAGGGCACGCGGCTCTTCTTGGCGCGCTGCTTGTTGGGCCTCAGGCTCACGATGTCGCTCCCGTTGGCCGCGGGCAGCGTGGGGCTGCTGTCGCTCGCGGTGTTGAACACGGCTGTGGGGATAGAAACGACGGTCACTCGCCCCCGTCCGCCCAGCTCGCGATCGCTCTCGTGTCAGAGAGGCCAACAGCAGCGGTTGTTCTACGGGGGAGACGGGACCCTGCAATGGCAAAGTGGAATTGACCCCCCCCCCCCCCCACTCGATTAGAGCCACGAATAGGGCAATCGCAGGGCGTCGCGGTGGCGAGATGTTAACCTCCTCGCCTGGTATACATGAGGTCGTGGCTTCGATCTTGACCCTGTCGCCTGTATATTTGGAGTTTGCATGCTCTCTCTCTCACTGTGGTTGTGTGTTTTTTCTCTCCACATTTAGAAACATTCATTTCGAGAATATGGCTGCTATAATTTTCGACGTGATAAGCCATCCCGTTGAGCTATAATTTGGGCCGGTAGCTTCTGAAAAATAGCTCAGTGGACATTACCTGGTTAAATAAAATAAAAAAAGTCGAACTCTACTAGGTTAATAGAACTGGACAAGAGAATAATTGTTGGTGGGAGGCAACTGTATGACGCAGCAGAACAGGTACACATGTGACGATTACTGAAGGAAGGATCGAGGTGAAAATGATGAAATGAGAGCGGAATGGAGTGCTTTTGGAAACGTGAATTTCATGATGGAAAGCAACATACCAAGGCAGTGCGAGAAGGTTTTCAATCAGTGAGATATGGATCAGAAACATGGACACTGAAACAGAAAATATGGCAAAAGCTGAAAAGTGTGCAAAGCACAGAAAGGTGGAACAAACGCAGTTCAAGACGTCACACTGGTTAGTAAGTGAGGGAGCACATCGTTAGGTGGGACGAGGGCCGGTGTGCAAGATTGGTGAGGAGCAAACGGGACGACCATCGCACACACGGAGCGCCGAGACCGCAAGGAGCGCCGAGGCGAGCGTCGGAGTGAGACGGATTACGGCTTGGCAAGACCACGAGGGGTGGCGACGGTGTGGTGAGGCAGTTGATTGCCTCAATTCAAGCCCAGGATATCAGTGGTGCCCGCTTAGCACTAACACAACACACTTCGCCGAGCCACTGACTAAGTGGCACATGAGTGCCATGGCAACGGCTCGGTGCAGCGTTTGAGCAAATGGATAATCTGGACTGAAGATGACTCACCTATTTTGCTGTTGGAGATTTGCTTCCGTGGCGCCTCTGTGGCACCCTGCTGCAGGCTCTGCAGATACTTCCTTGCCAGGTACTTAAACACTGTCTCACACAAACAACCAACAATTCAAAAGATCCAACTTTTAGCCGCATAGATTGTTGGGGGAAGTGCCGGCAGGGCACATGAGGTGGGTGGCTGTGGGCAGGGCCACGCCTGACCACCTCCTCAGCCCTGATGTCTAAATACCGCACCAGTCGCTCAATGTAGAGTTTATTAACCCTTTCTCGTTCCGAGACGTCTGCAAGTTGCAGGGTGGGAGTGTCCCGCTCACCGCTGAATCTCGGAACGTGCAAGTAGCTCGACGTTCATTTTATTTAAGGAGTAGCGCCGTTTAAATTTCGATTTAAAGCTTTCGTGACTGCAGGGATTCATCTTCTTGGTTCTTTCGGTAAAGTCACATAGAAGGGAAATAATAAAATAATAAAGATACAACATAATAAAATACAATTCTCACGACGTTTCGGCCACAATGCAAGCAGCCGTCCTCAGGTGAAGAGCAGGGCTGTCGGAAAGACAGCCCTGCTTTTTTAAAAATACATTTTACTGTACTCACCGCAGAGAAACCGTAGCGATACGACCACTCTATGATAGCCGGCGCCAAACTGTGCCACACGCCCTCCTGCATGGCCTTGTGGGAGGATCTCTACTGATAAAGTTATTTTATCTTGAATCTTCCCTTCTGGTTTCGAAAGGGAAAGGGTTAAGTGAAGAACGTGGGGGCCACGTTCAGTTTACATCGGCCACGAATGTCGTGGATGGATAGGAATTAAACGCCATCAGCCTATACGACCGTGCGCATGTCTCACGACAGCGCGAATGATCAATCCAAATCTAAACTCCATCGGTGTTTAATGCAACCAATGGGAGCCCGACTGAGATGACCTAATTTGAAATGTGGACGTGTCGCCGTGTGCTTTCCTCCATTACGAGACGAAGGCTTCCCCACGCCGTTATCAGTCATGGGAGTTGTTTGACCATACTTCACCAAGCCGGCCAGTGTGAGTTGGTGAAGAAATGACCCAGGACCAGGTTCAGATATCACTCGCCACTGATGTTGGCCGTGGCCAGTAATCAAACTCAGGGCGTCGGGTTCGCAGCAAAGTGCGCGAACCACTGCTCCCCCCCCCCCGCCCCCGCTCCTCGCAGGCACAGGCATCGTCTCAAATTGACAATGAAAATAGTGAAACCAGAATGGAACAAGCTGCGTTGCTCTGTGCACGGATCCCTATGGCACAGATATCAATGCGGGGGAAAACCTCACGGATAAACCTCCCAGTGCCCTGTGCACAGAGCTCACCATCGTTGATGTTGAGGTCCTCCTTGACGGACGCCCGGTAGAACCGCACCTTCATCTGCTTGGCCAAAGCCTCCGCCTCCTCACTATGAAAGCGCACACAGCACGCAGCGTTAGCCAAGACCGCGGAACACCGGGGCTACGACTAGACTCGGAGGTTAGTTTCCTCCTGCGCTCTGCAGCGTGGCAGGCTTCACAATCGCGTTCAGCATGGAGTGTGCAAGATGGTGGCGGTGACAATTATGCTAACTTTGCGACGATGGTGACATTGATGAAAACGATTATCACGATGCCGTTAATCATGAAGAAGGCGCTGAAGGTGGCGGCGACGACGAGGATGAAGAAGACGAGGATGACAAGAACGCTGCTGATAACAACATTGTCGCTGACGATCGCGGTGACAATGAGAGGAGGGATAATGTCAGAGATGACGGCGACGATGAGCCGACGATGGTCCGGCGCTGACACCTGTTGACGACGGCGCTGTCGAGGAGGTCGATCTTGTTCTGCACGAGCACGATGGGCACGGTGCCCACCTCGCGCTCCACCTTGAGCCTCCAGGAGAGCGCCGCCTCGAAGGAGGCGCGGTCCACCGTGGAGAAGACGAGCACGCACGCCTGCGCACCTACGCACGCACACAGACACATGCAGTCACGCACGCAGACACGTGCAGTCACGCACGCAGACACGCACACAGTCACACAGACACGTGCAGTCATGCACGCAGACACGCACACAGTCACGCAGACACGCACACAGTCACACAGACACGTGCAGTCACGCACACAGACATGCACGCACACAGACACGTGCAGTCATGCACGCAGACACGCACACAGACACGCAGACAAGCATGCACACAGTCTCGCACGCTGGCAGACACGTACACACGCAGAGGATAGACATGCAGACGAAGAGAGAAAAGCAGGTAGACAAATGGGCACACAGGCAGGTAGGCAGCACAGAAAAGAAGAGAAAGAGATCAATACACCGCTTGCTCCGTAGTTTAAAGACACTGGAATGCATCCCTAAAGACGAGGCTCAAAGGACGAAACTTAAAGTGCACGACGCAAAAGTGAAAGTGTCTCTTGACACTGGGGTAGTGCCGGTCTCCCCTTGCGGCCATGAGCCGGCAGCAGACATCGCACCTTGCGCCAGCAAAGGGGGCGAACATTCGCTGTGGCTGAAAGCCAAGAGGCAGCACATTCCAGCGATCTCTCGTCAACATTTGGTCACGCGTTGTTGGGGCACGGGAGGCAGTGGGGCAGCTGCTCCCCACAAACAGCCACCTGCTGTGCCCCACAATATCCTTCCCCTCGCTTGCTCAACCAGGGCCCCCAAGGGCCCCCGTGTGTAGGGACAAGCTGACATCAGGGCAGGGGTCGGCAGACCAAAATGGCTCAAGAAGAGCCATTTTTTTACTTCCAAATTCCACACAACAACTCAATATTTGAAGAGCCGCAATGCACGTGAATATGTCTGTACATTACATCACTAAGCAGGCCGTAAAGAGCCGCATGCGGCTCCAGAGCTCCCCTCCACCCCCCTAATGCAGAGGGGGTCCCCTCGGATAGAAAGTTTCAGTTAATTTAGTTTCAGTTTATTTGGTATAGCCCTGTGAGCCATTCGGCTCTTGAATCGGGTACAACCGCAAAAAAAAAATGAACAAGAAAACATATTAAAGTGACTATGCGCAAACAGAAAAATCCAGGAAAAAACTGCAAAGTCTTCCAGAAAGAGCACCGTACACCAAAGACTGTGCTCTGAGAAGTACCGTTGTTATGGGCAGCCAATGAATGCAAGTCATTATTATTATTTTTATCATATGTCCTTTTCTCTTGAAGGTGAAAGTCGACTGGGTAACGAGGCCTTCATCGGGACTGTGTGCGTTCAGATAAAGCTGCAGGTGCCGCGACCCCGTTTCCCATCGGCGGGCTGTGCAGGCTCGGCATGTCGGGTCACGTTAATGTGTAGGGTGATGTATTAGCTTCCCAAACAGAACCAGAGATCTGTAAATCTTTAAACCGCCTCCTGCACTCCCAGACAGTTTTTCTTTTTCAATTATTTTCTTAATGCCAAACGAAAAAGTGAGCTGGTTTGCATACTTGTGTGGCTTCGAGGCATGCCCAAAGACACAGTGTTAGCAGACCATGGTTACTTTGCTAAGAGGCTCCGGTGTGGTGTAGAATGAGTAGAGACAATTCTTGAAATCCCGAGACATTAACTAATTCTGACATTTGATTTTGCGTCATGTCGTGAGACGAAAGAGATTTCCATTCGATACTGTAGCAGGGAGAAGTGCACCACCTTGTGTCAGAGAGCAGCCCTGGGAGGTTATGTCACAGAACGAAGTCTGGCCGAGTCTTGTGAACCATTCTCCCGAGGGCGATTTTTGGCCAACTCCAAGAATGAGTGTTTGGCTTCACGTGGGAGCAACCCTGGAGAACCCAGACAAAACCCACCACTCGTAAGAGGGGGTGACACTACTGCCTGTCACCTCGCAGCCTCGAGCCTACAACACGTGGCAAGCTGTCGAAGCACTAACCAGATTCAAACCTGCTGGGCTTGCGATATTCGTTGAGATCGGCGCGTTCACGGTGCTTTGGCGCTGTGAATTAGTCCGCCCCCACAGCAGAGCCGCAGCAGCACCTCACCTCTGTAGTAGGCCTTTGTGATGGCGTCAAACTCCTCCTGCCCAGCAGTGTCCCACAGCATCAACCTCACGTCCTGCCCCTTCATCCTGCGCAGCAGCAACAGGAGCAGCAGAATCAGACAAGTAAGCAGCAGAATCAGCAGCAACAGCAAAAGCAACAGCTAAATCGGCAGCATCAGCAGCAGCAGAATCGGCAACAGCAGCAGAATTAGCAACATAAGCAGAGTCAGCAGCTACAGAATCAGCAGCAACAGCAGGAGACTGTTGGGCATGCGATGACGGGGAGGCCGGGCGAGTGCTGCGCGCTCCGTCTGGCTCAAGCTGTGCCGGTCGCCGCAGAGACGGCTAGAGAACGCCGCTGCCTGTACCAGCGCTGCCCTCTCCCCGAGAAGTTCCACTGAGATCCCCCCCCCCCCAAGGGAGGGCCCTGTGAGTCGACGGAGGATGGAACCCGAAAACGAATCGGCTCTTGCAGATAAAGAAAATTCAACACAGTCGTCAGAAAAAAGACATAAGAGACGTTTCAGGCCCTTCTTCATGTGCTACGAAAAAGGGCCATTGCCCAAAACGTCACCCATTATATATCCAGTGCTACTGTTGAATGTGCTGAGTTGTCTGTTTATTTCTTATTTGTGCCTGTGCACCCACTGCGGTATCCCCAAATACTGTTCGATTTGGTGGATACGGGGTTCACGCTGTATGGTCCGAGCCGTCCGATAAGAACAGAATGCAAAGCGCTGGAGTAATAATAATAATAGTTAATGTTAATTTGATTCGGAAACCATTGGTCACCAATGAACTGGTGCCGCAGTGGCGAAATCTCATCTCCCTCGCCTGGTATGCAGGTCGTGGGTTCGATTCCAACCCTGATACCTGGAGCCTGCATGTTCTCCCAATGGTCGTGTGGATTCTCCTCCGAGTCCTCCGGTTTTTCCCTACCGCATTTGTGTTGCTACACATTTCCACATGATAAACCACTTCGTTGAGCTATCGTTTGTGGCCAGGTAGCGTCTGAAAGAGAGCTATAGTGCTCAGTGGGCCTTACCTAATAAAATAAAATAAATAGTTGAATAGCTAATAGTTAAATTGCCGAAGCCAAACTCAGAAGTGTATTTATGATCCTTGGGATTAAGTGAAAATACCCCAAGACTCAGAGCCAAATCGAAACAACTGAGAATCCAAGTAGGAAAAACACACCAAGCAATCTCTCTTGGCCAACTCGTTTTATTGCGACTTTTGCTGTTAGGGCTCAGTGCAAACGATCATTGAGTGCGCATCAGGAAGGAGGAGCTTGGTCAGGCACTGACGATAAATCACGTTTAAATAAATCAGCCCCTGCCTGGGCCTCGCTCCAACCCCTTGCTGTGACTCTACGCAACTACGGCCCATTCAGTGCAGCAGGTGCAGATTAGAATAATAATTATCTAAACAATGGCTTTCAAAAGAAATCGAAAAACACAATAGGCGTTATTAAAGCACAGCCTCCAGGCATACAAGACCAGGGCTGTGATCTTTGAACAAACTCTGAAAATGCATTAACTACGGGGTTCACGGTGTTCCAACACCCTCATATCACATGCTGTTCTTTAGCACATGCAGGCACGAAACGCATTACCTGCTGTGGCCGTGCTAACTGGTGTGCCTCGACTGTGCGGCACGGGCTATCGGCACCAATACACGCGTACTCATGTCTCACGATTCCATCAGCGTGTGTCAGTGCTGCAGGGATATTTCCCTTAGGGATTCACCCCACACAGAATTTCAAATTTCAGAAACTAACAGATTTTTATTGTTGCTTTATTGAAAGTTGCTGGCACGAGCTCAGGGCCTACCGTGGACCTTATCAGCGTCAGCGACGCAGACGTGAAAGTGGAGAGCGATTGTCGCAAGACTTAAAGTGACTGTGAGTTTGACTCTGGTGGGGAAGACGAGGGGAGGGGGGGGAGAGTCCCAGAGTTCAGCGGTGGCTGCGGGGGGGGGGGTTTGCCTGAATCGCGGTGAGGCAAAGCGCGGCGTGCGGCAAGGAAGCACAATTTCCACGCTGATATGACAAACGGACAGACTAACGCGAGACATTTTAGAAAAGTATTGACCGGCAGAAGGAGGTAAAAATGTCAGCAAATATGTGGATTTGATTCTCTGTGGGTGATAGAGGGTGGCTTTTGGTGACATAAGGAGTAACTGTTCAATATGCAGAGTATGTGGTTGAGAAAGGGAGGCTATGCATAATATAGGGGATGAGATGCAGAGTATGTGATCGACTAGGGAGGCAGATAGCGAGGCTTTGGTGGAAACTAAATTGTCACATATCAGAGCAATGAGCCATCACAACTGAGGCACTCTCTGGGTTTCCCCAGCGCTGCCGGAGGCACTTACTGAATGAGCCTCTCGAGGAAGTCCACCCCAATGGTTTTCTTGTACTCGGAGGTGAAGACGCCCTTGCAGTAGCGCTGGATCATGCTGGACTTCCCCACGCCGCCGTTCCCCACCACCACTACCTTTATGGCCACTTCAATGTCCTCCTCCATCATGACTCCGGCGGCCCCACGCCTGGCGCCCACCACACCGCCTCCCGTGGAAGAGTGGCGCTCGCGCACCGGCCCCCTGGCTGCCCCCGCAGAGGCGTAGGAGGAGGAGAGGGTGCGGATGCGGCGTCTGTGGTGAACGACGCAGAGAGGCGGACAGGTGAGTCACGCGTGCAGTCACCCCACACATCAGTCGCCCCACATACCTGCCATTGGTTTGCATTAATTCTGTATGGTAGGGATTGGTGGAAACGAAGACAAACAGGCAGACAGACAACCGGAGAGACAGATAAACAGACTGACAGGCAGATCGAAAGACAAATGGAAAGACAGGCAGGAAAGCAGAGGAGCAAATAGACAGGGAGATAGCAATGCTATCCAAGCGAAATTGAAAGGACTGCTGGGCGGCTAGGCCACACACCCACCAGATGCCACGTGTGTGCGCACACACACACAAAAAAGGATCTCCTGGCAAACCTAATGGACCTTAATAACAAGCGCTGTTAGTGAGCACCTGTGAAGGCCCGCATCCCGCAGGAACAGGTGGTGTCGCAACTACCACATCCGGTCACCATTGTCTGCAATCCGGCATTGTTTGCAACGTACTTAAGATTTCGTTGACCGAGGGAAGGTTCAACACAGTTTCAGTTGCAGCTTGTAACTGATTTGCAAGCATTGGCAAGAATTGAAGCCAAGTTACGGGGGCGTAGTTGCAGCGCAGAAACCATTGCAACATCATTCCCTAGACACGCGCATGCACACGCGCGCGCGCACGCACACGCACGCACACAAAAAACCCAACAACTAGGAATCACCACTAAGTGGTGGGGACATCACCATGGCTCCTGTGTCAGGATTGATTCGGTCTCCATGTACACACGTATGCTCACGTCAGACTAATACAGTGACGCATCTGAAGAGGCTTCCTTAAAATAACGCTGGTATTCTCAAAAACACATGGCAACGTTCTGACATGGCAAGTAAGACATGGGAGATTGATAGCCCCGAATTACAGACCTATCTGTACGGATTGCTTTGAGTGTCCGCCCCTCTTATTTGTGGGTTTCCTCTGACGCACGAAGAGGAGTCTTGAGACTGAAGATTGCCTAGGTAAATTACATATTAGCTCAGAGGTCACATCATGGTTTTATCAAAGCACTGAGACATCAAACACTGGCATCTTTTGCAGTGCGGTAACACTCACAACTAAGAAAGCCTGGGTTCGATTCTCGACTACGGTGACTTTTCGTGTGGAGTTTGTGTGTTCTCTCTCTGTTCTGCATGGGTTTCCTCCGGATTCTCCAGTTTCCTCAAATAGCCCAAACAAATACACGCACAGTGCAACCAGTATTTTACAAATAAACCAGAGCCGCAAATTACTCAATGGGGATTTTGCACAGCAACATCGTTCCCATCACTGGGAAAACTTGGTAGGACCCTCATGACAAAAGGTCCTCGACTCACAGTGGTACTTTCCTTGGTAAACAAGCATAATAATAATAATAATATGTACAATAAATCTGGCTTTCAGCCACCAATGAATACACTTTGTTCTCAACTCTGGTGAATGTATGGTCTCAGCCTGGTGTCCAATGACGACTGCCACCATAGATAATGTACCGACTTAATTTGGCTTATTCCAACTGAGGATTACACGTACAGCTTTTTTCAGTTTCATTTCCAAAAGACCGACATGCTTTGAAGGGCGTAAGGGTGCGCCATCACCTAGCCACCACCTAGCGTGGATAAGAGACCGATTGAAGCGACATCAAAAGTGACCGCGACGTCATCTTCTGCGGCCGATCGCCGACCAAGAGGCCATGCCAGTCAGCTCAACGCGAACTCCGAAAAAATAAGCTGCCGAGATGAGATGTCATCACGTCTCACGGCATTTCATAACATCTGTGATCGGTGTGGGGATGGGAAAGAAAGCAAAGCAAGTATCTAATCTGTTTGCACGGTGTAAATACACTAGACTCTCGATTAATCCGCGTGCGTTTTATACAATTTGCGGATTAACCGCGCACCTGATATTTTGACATAAATTAATAACTCGTGGATTTTCCCTTAAGCCCAAATTAATAATCTAATAACAGTTACACATTGTTATTCTTGGAAATATGTATTACAAGTCACATGCTTAAACCGAACAAATATGTGCTCCAGTTAATCAGAAATCCACGGAGTCACCTCTACAGTACAGTAGTTGCAATATCTTTACAACAGTGGGCAGCGTTTGATTGATGTTGATTGGCGTGGCTCTGCTATCATCCACTTAGTGTGCCGAGTCTTCTGTGCGGGGACAGGAAAGTGTTATCACTGAGCACGCTAGTGATGAGAACCTCAATTTCCTAGGCTTAAACATAATGTATACCTATATTAGTGGTTTTTAGCAGATCCAAGGAAAATTTATATTTTTGGATTACCCGCGGCTGTCCTCCCCGTCATTAGCGCAAATAATCGAGTCTACTGTACTGGTATTTAACGTACAGTGTTTTGTCAATTTCCTTGGTGGATGACGGCCTCCACCCTGCCGTGTCAGTCGTGAGTACTGTTTGACTATACTTCACCATGCTGATCAGTGTGGGGTGGTGAAAGAGTCCAGGTCTGGTTTCGATGTAACTTGAAACTACTGTTAGCCATGGCCAGACAATTAGCTCAGCTCACGGATACCGTTGTTTGGGTTGGATCGCGTGAATGTAAGTGTGTCGTACAGCCACCTCCATCCGACAGCCAATTCGTAAGGTAGTCACGTAAACGGAACGTGCCAATTAGTTGCTACTTCAGCACACCAGTGTGTGTGTTGGAGAGCAAACTCACAACATTTACAATTTGAGCATGACGTTTCGCTGGCGATTACAACCAGCATCATTGGGCGATTGGCAAAAGTGTGGAGGTGGGTGTAGAACACATTGACATTTATGCAGTCCTACCAAAAGAAACGTTGTCATAACTAACATCAGTTCACGAACGCGTTACAAATCAGCTGAGTTCATAGCATACCTGTTGTCAACCCATACGGTTTACCTAGACAGTAGAACCTCGGAGATCGAACGCACCAGAACTCGAACAAATCGATATTCGAACGATATTTCCGAACATTTTTGTTCCGGAAACCGAACAAAATTCGGAGGTCGGACGGGCAATCGCGACTTGAAAGAACCTGTACGGCTGAGACGCGTATAGCCAGCGTGCATGCCGCTTGCCCAGACAAAGGGGACTCCCCTTCCAAACAATAACACCACCACCTCCTCATCACCTTCCACTCAAGCCATCAACTCTCCTTACTACAGGTAAAGTGAAGTTTAATGTTCATTTATTTAATTTATTCCATATATTTATTCATTTATTCCATTTATTTATTGTGTTTCTTGTTGTATGATTTTATGCATGTAATTACTGTAAACTTCGTGTAAAAAATCTTTATAATGAGAGATATCTTGTGTCTGGAACCAATTAATGTCATTTACATTAATTCTTATGGGGAAAATTATTTCGGTGTTCAAACAAATCTGTGTTTGAATGGCCTTCTGGAACGAATTAAGTTCGATCTCTGGGGTACTACTGCATTCTTGTACAGGGAAATTGAGTTTTCGGGTCCATACGACGTACAGCCGTTTCAATACGGGCAAAAAAAATTGTCTATATGTTTGTGTTTCTCCCTTGTGATGGGACTTTGTGGGATGAACGTTGAGATGTATAAGGGCACGGAGTGACCAATAAGGTCTGAATTGGTCTGTAATAAGGTAGGCACTGAGAAGGGGTTGACAGGTTTGTCATAGTGCAGTGTACCGATTAAAGCATCACCACTCCCCCACTCTGCCAATGTCATCTGGAGCAGCAACAGAGAAGGAGAGACCTCCTACTGAGCAACGATCAAATGGGGGAAATTGGACGGGAGGCCTTGGTTGCTGAAACGGAGGGCATTGGGAGAGCAGTGGAGTGTGGATGAGAGAGCCCCCCCCCCCCCACTGTGGTGAAATGACGGTGTCAAATCCCACAGTGCCCCGCTGTCTGGGTCACTTGGTCCTCCCTCTCTGAAGTCCCTCTCCGATAACATCGCAGAGCCACGCACGGAATGTCTCGCCGCCGGATTATGAAAGCGCTGTGCCCTGCAGCAACGTCCTGTGCCGGCCACCAGCCACGGTCATTTGTTTATGAATGCACGCTTAGCGGGGGCGCATTCATGTTATTGCAATTAAAACGTTTGTTTACTTTTTCGCACGTATTCATTGCATTAATGTGCATATATGTCATAACTGGGTCACTATGCATGAGTCAATGGACACTATAGACACACCCTTGAAAACGATCTGTTCCATCAAGGTGTATTCCAGATTAAATATTTTAAATACGCAAACAAAAACAAATACAATTCTGGAACCAGTTCCACATTCACTAATTGTTTGTGGGGGAGGGAGCCAGAGTGCCTGAAGAAGGCCCATGCATACAAAGGAACAATACTCAAAAGTCCACACGGACAGGTTAGCAGCCTACTTGCTGTACTGACATCTAGTGGCCACCTCGTAGACCAGCATATGGATGTCGCACCTGCATGAACCACCAACTGCGCCTCCTAAGCACCAGGCTTTGCAGGCGTTTGCCACCACCTGCAGCAATAATAACTCGCAATCACTCCTCTCCCGTGTCTTTTCACGTTGAACCGAGTATCGCTCGGCGCAATGTCCGACGTTAAGTTCCACGTGCAGCACAACCGCGAAAGCTTGCGCAGTGGTGATAATAATGTAGTGAGTTCAACTGAGTCGCAGACGTACACTTGGAGGCAACACATTTAACACACGGGGAAACTGCCCCTTAACAGAATAACCTATGGTGGTGACCACCAGGCTAACTACACTAATTACGACGTAACTAGCTACTACGGGCCGGGACCAACAGCTTGGGTCCAGGTCCACGTGTTGGAGACTCGGTAGAACGTAGGACGTAGACGAAGGTTTCTTCAGGATGAACAACAACGCCGATTCCTCTGGGGGGACCCGGCTTATATTCTCTGCTGCGTGGCTGGCTCCGCCCTTGGCCACGACCACCTTCCAGAATCCTCGAGCAGGATCTGGACCCCGACCACGTGACCACCCCGAGCCCCCACTTGGGGCCCCTTTATAGACTTAATTAGTCACGTGTCCTCTCGGGTCAACCAGAGTGCCATGTCCTTTAGTAACCCCATTCCTACGCCGGCACTCCCACACCCTATCCTGTGGTGTTGGCACTGCACGCCAAGCGTGGTGCCATCCAGCGCTATCAATCAGCGCTCACCGAGCCCCTCTAGGGCCGGTACTACACCCACACCAAAGTGGTATCCGCGATGTCAATACACCGCATGCCGTGCCTCTCTAGGGCCGGCACTACACAGTGACATCCCGCGATGTCACTACAATGATAACTGTTTACTCGAAGTGTGTGCCACCACGCCCAGCACTGAACATCACTGTGTAAATGGTGGTAGTTAATGGAGGCATCGTTGCATTGTGAGTGTCATGGTCGATATTTACCATAGCCTTACAGTGGAGTTGAGAGCCACCCCTTTGCTAACAAACACGGACTTCATGAATACCAATGTCATTTTAATCTTCCTAGAGTTACTCTCGTCAGACCCAATGTACATTCACAACGATAATCTGAAGAAAGATTTTACTTTAAGGGTCCACTCCCAGCTGTTTAATGAAGCAAATCGGTGCAATGTCGAAGGTGACCAGTCGTCGTCATCTGGTGAGGCTGTAAAGAATGCTGCGCAGGAATTTGAGAATGCGGGAACTCGGAGCCCAACAGTGTGAAACCCATACCTAGCCGCGGTGTTCTTGCAGCGCAGTACACGCAGTCCCCTAGAATTGCAATTCCCTTGAATTTTGGAATGAGTCGTTGTACCATGACGTGCCATGTGAGTCGAAAGCCACCCCTTTAAGTAAAAGGACACCTGCAAATTGATCACACCCAAGTCGCAGCGTAACCAGCGCGACGTCTCTCAAAGAAACAAACAACCGCGCACGCACACACGCACGCGCACACAGAGCCCACCCACGCACGCACAGTGTCAGCACATGGCAGCGTAGGCGATGTGTGCATGCACATCATTACACTCGCATACACGCACAGGCGTACACGTGGTGGTCCCCCGTGCCAAGGCACAAGGCAGCAAAAAAGCAACCGGCATTTGCCATTGATCTGCGGCGACATCGCTACAGTGCTTGTGCCAGGCTAGGTGCATTGTCGGCCACGTGAAGAGTCGAAGGCTTTCTGGAAGGTCGCGTGACAAGCCCAAGTTTTATGGATTCAGTGAGTGACTGAGATTGCTGCCAGATCCACCATTCGTGCTCCACACTGTTCCACCCAGCTGTGTTTGAGCTGCCTGGCAGCTCAAGCGTTGTTGTGAGAGTCGCTCATTCACCCTCATTTATTGCTTAAGAGTGCGGCGAAGCTCACTGATGGGACTGTGCTCAGATCTTGCAAGGATATGCGAGCTCCTCACACAATCCAACCTGGTCAAACTCAGGATGAGGATTGTAGACAGGCCAGCCTGTACGTTTCAAGCCGGCGCAGGTTTTCCTGTAAAGGGGTCCATATAAGAAAGAAGAAAAGTTCGTGGCCGAGAAGACCCAGAGCTTCGCGTGGAGCGAGAGGCCAGGAGGCGGCTTCCACAAAGCATCACGCAGCTGATGAAAAGATAATTCCGCTCCGCTCAACTGCTTTAGTGAGACCTCCGCTGCCAAATCAGAGCTGGTCGTGAGCTCACTGCCCAAGTATGGGGACCATAGATCACACCCCCCCCCCCCGACACACACAAATATTACATACATACGTGCACGCAAGCACACATGCCCAGCGGTGTGCATGCATGAGTGGGCCTGCACCCACAGCACTCATCCGCGACTTAATCGGTCCAAGCGTGATTCCCACCCCCAGGTCAAAGCCCACATTTGTTTTAGCGACAAGAATGAAAAACATGAAAATAGGAAACGAGCTCTTTGTGCAGGCTGCCCTACAGCAGAAAGGACCCCCCCCCCCTCCTCTGCAGCGGACATGCAGGGGATTCTAATGAACACTACTGTGCATCACACACACACACGTGCGTACGGACCAGGCAGTCTCTATAGACACAGCCGCGATAGTCACAGTTATTACGGACGCATCCGCTACACACATTCGCTGTATAGGTCTGGTATTCAGTGGGATTCATATCCGGTGAAATGGGTGCTCACACAGTGTGCCCATCACGCCACAGTGGCTACAAGACAAAGATCCCCCGAGTAGCCTTAACAGATTCTAGATTTGAAGTTTTCGTGACTGCAAGGATTCATACTCTTTGTTTTTTTCGGTAAAGTCACGTAGGTAAAAATGTTAAATAAATGAAAACAACTAAATTAAATCACGACACGTCGTGATTTAATTTAGTTTTTTTTAATTTAGTTTTCATTTTTTTTACCTACGTGACTTTACCGAAAAAACTAAAGAGTATGAATCCTTAACAGATTGTTGGGGAAAATGCTGTTAGCGAGCACCTATGAAGGCTTGGACAGCACACAAGAGGGTGGGTGACCAACACCGCACCCAGCCGCCTTTGTCTCCCTTGTGGAGATGTTTACACATCACACCAGGTACTCAGCTGATGCTGACTTGACCTTGGGGAGGCCCAGGACCAGTTTAGATCATCGTCACCGGTGATGGCGATGAGTCGAACTCAGATGGCCGGGTTCATAGCGCAGCGCGTTAATACTCTTTGGTTCTTTCGGTAAAGTCACGTAGATATCATTTATTTTGTTTTACATCTACGTGACTTTGCCGAAAGAACCAAAGAGTATGGATCCCTGCAGTCACGAAAACTTCAAATCTAGATTGAATCGCTACACTACCGCTCCCAAATTGACGACGGTAACTTAGTCACTGTAGACACCGATCATGTGGTGATATTACAGAGCATGCCGTAGTGATAATGCATCACTCGCCATTCCACTGTCGTGATGTACGAGCAGTTGGGCTGGCAGGCACTGCTGTGTGTAACATCTATAGGCTGGCTACGTACGGCGCAAAGAAAGTGCCTCGATGTCAGGCTTTGATCAATGAGTAGAGCACACAGGTCTTGCTGTGGCCATTATAGGGCCGTCCATAAATGACGTCATGCACCGGGGGGGGGGGGGGGGGGTCAGACATTTGTGACGATGTGTGACGAGGGGAGGGTTTGAGAAATGTGACGTCACATCAAAATGCGCAACTTTAAATAAATATAAAATTGTTATAACGACACTAATTGTTATAACAACACTCCTACAACATCAGGGTACAGCGCCACATTAAATACGCACTACAATGACAATAGTTTAAAGCGATTTGAAGCATGTTTTATTTTCAAAATGGAAATATGGTTTTGGGGGGGGGGGGGCAGAGCTTTGTGACTTCATATTTGATGGGGAGTCTGACTTTTTGTGACGCTGTGTGACGAGGGGGGAGGGGGTCAAAAATCGTCCAAAATTCGCGTGACGTCATTTATGGACGGCCCCTATTCAGATGGCATGTGTCTGTCGACTTGTCTGTCTGGTTAGCCATCTGTCCGTCTGTTTTTAGCTGTCGGACCTGCTGTGTGCTTCGTTATCGGCGTGTTTTGTCTCTCTTTAGTCGATGACTTGTCACGATTCAGGGTCATGATACGATTCAAGAATTGAATCTTGTTTATCACTGTTACTGATGCAGCTGCAGAGGTTGGACAAACCCATCGCATGCAATGTATGTATACGATTTGAAAAAAATATCCTGATAATTGTATGTTTTGTTCACCAAAGAAAGCTTCACCGAGTCTCATTACCTTTTCAGGAGGGTCCTGCCAAGTTTCCGTAGGACGGGGGTCGATTATTATTGTGCACATTCCAATACCGTACATTTGCAGGTAAGTTCTAAATTTGGAACGTCACGATGACCTCCTCTTGCAAATGCCTTCATGGGATCTTTAACGTTCACTGTGAAGCAAAACGGTGCGTACTTTTACGGTTACCACACCCATAGTATTTACCAGGGCAGCCACTGGGTTAGAACCGAACGCGCATGTTTGTAACCGGCGATGAACTCACTACCGCTAGACCGTGTCACTGCCCCAAACTGATTAATGTATCCTTACACACGTGATTCAATGCAGGTAGCATGAGCTTAAGAATCAATACTAATTGACCAATCGATGCCTCGTTGCAGCTCCATTTCGCATGTCCATCCGTCAATGTTCCACTCTGTCTGCCTATCTGTCTGCCTGTCCGTTGATTTGTCTTTCTGTTGATCTCTCCACGTGTCCAGTTGTCTGCCTGGCTATCTGTCCATCTATCTGTACTGCGTGATATAAATAGGTGGGAAGGTTGGAAGTCTCTAGGTGCCTGGTTGTTTGACTCGAGGGCTGGATCACAAACTGAATTGTACACCACAGACATAATATACACACACCCGCAACAGTTTATTATGTGTCTGTGTGCGTGTATACACTAATCGTATAACAATATACTTATACTGTACTGTGGTGTCCTAGTAACTCACACAGCACACACAATACCATATGTAATATATTCATTCCAAATCTACCATATACTGACAGTGTGTATGCGTCAGTCAAAAATCGGTCTGTAGTAATAATAATGTTGATTTTAAACTCGATTCGAAGCTTTCGTGACTGCAGGAATTACTCTTTGGTTCTTTCGGTAAAGTCACGTAGAAAATAAAATAACAATATAATACGACGTTTCGATTGCAACACAAGCAACCATCACTAGGTAAGAATGTGTTGCATTGCATTGCATTACACTTCCTAATTTTACGAAATTTGCTTTCTCAAACTTCCGATTTTCTTGCTCTAAGAATTGCCGTGCCGGTTTGTTTAGAGTTCATTGTCTCTCCGCCGGCCACTATGGTCCGGAATTCCACACAACTCTCTCATTGTCCTCTGCCCCCCCCTCTCTCTCTG